ACATGGCTAATTTAGAAGGTAGTCCGAGCGTAAATATCACATACAGTATATCACATTGGTCCCCCCCCCCCCCCCGACGCGGAGGCCCTTTGACCCGCAGGACCCTCTGTTAGGTATTGCGAGCTCCTGATAGATACCGGGCCCCGAAGGGAAAAGGGGCCTCAGGCCCATGCAAACAAGGAGCTGACTCTGCGATACTGGTGGTGCCTGGCCGACATATGAGCCCATACAGGCGTGCAGTCAGAGCCTTGGTAAGGGGGCATAAGGTTGACAAAGGGTTCCCTGGCGGCAAAAGGGCCCCCAAAAAGTCGCCGATATGACCCATTTGTTAATGAATAATATGAATAATTTTTGACCCTATATATATATATATACACACACATATATATATATATATATATATATATATATATATATATATATATATATATATATACATATATGTATATGTATATATATACACTATATTCTATATACACACATATCATGCTTTTTATCTTCTATAACTGGAATAGAAGCCAGACGTTAAAGCAAAATAAGTTCTGCCTGAAGTTTCTGGTCAGTGAGCTTGAAAAAGATAATGCGTTAAACGACTGCATGAAATAAACCGTGGGCGCTCATCGTTTTATAATGGTCCAGTGGACTTTTTAAAACCAATAAAACTCAAACGCTTCGTATGTCAGACAACGCATATCAAGATTCATATCTGGGTCGTACAGAGACAGGCAAGGACGCCGCGAATGTAGATTGAAGATCAAAATGCGTCAACAATTTTTATTAACCGAACTAAGCCATGTTCGTCTGGCAATATTCAACATTCAGTCAGAATCGGTCAATGGCGCAAATTATGTGGCGTAGTTTGGGCATCCACGCTCGCATACCTTAACAACAAAAAATATAGACGCTAGGCGTTGCAGTTTCCGTGGGCCGCACTGCGTCGGCTCCGTGGCAACACCAGGCCGTGGTCAATAGGTGGACGAAAATGATGACGTATTTGAAAGAAGTACCTTTAAAGCTTTGGGACATGGAACCGCACATTAAAAGACATTTCGGGCGCATCTTTTACTTGTGCTATTTTTATACTGATGGTAATGATGCTGACACCGGTTTGGCCTTTCCGGCACTGCGAAGTAGTTCTGGAATCTGGTGGACGAACGGACACAGTTAAATAGAACCTCGATTTTTAAATAGATCTCGAATCTCGATTTAACCGACACAGTTAAAATAGAATCTCGATTTTTCCGCATTGGTATAACTGTGATCTATCCAGAGAACTTACTCAAAGCTGTGAAAATATCTTTTTAGCTATACAATTTTATGTTAAAAGACATTCAGATGTATTATAATTATGTATCTTTCTCATATATATTTCGTCGTCTGATATATTTTTGTGGCGCGCACGGCGCCCGCCGCTTGCCGTTACTTGCAGTGGCCGACTCTGTTCAGTTTTACGGAAACTGCAACCCAGGCCATCGCTGTTCTGGTTACCCGTGATTGCCGGCGTGTCATAAGGGCTCTGCGACTAAGCTGCTTAGGCTACATGGCGTTGCCTGCCTCTCATCCTGGCGGGCACCACGGGGAATCGAACCCCGTACCTCTGGTTTCCCAGAGGATCAGTGGTTGAGGCAGGTTCGCTGACCACCACACTATCAGCACCCGCGCGCAGGCTCGAACGTTTTGACGCAATTTGGTTCACTAGGCGATTCTACAAAATAATGAACGTTCTCAGGCAAACATGGGATGGCCTTGTGCGTTGTTTGCACTCGTTTCGACCCAATCCATTTAACACTAATGAGACCTCTTATTTCTTTCCGAGCACGGGGTCCCCTTGAGTAGAACACTACAGGGCACATTATCGTTCCCGGTCAAATACTGAAGGATCATTCTGTTCCACCGCGGTGCGTCTTCCGGCTGTCATTCTGGCCACAAGGGGCGGGATCCCACACACAGGGGGCGGGATCCCCTGACCGACCCAGAGGCCCTTAGAAGGATACATCATATCACATTGGTCCGCTCCCTGACGGTGGAGGTCTTCCGATCCGCGTAGTTAAACCCGGATCGGCGCCTGAACCGTCATTAAAGCAACAATATCCCTGTTCACCGCAGGTAGTCAAACAACTGGCACATAGATTCCAGTTCAGCTTAACGGACCGATACTGGAATTTGATTGGAGAGTCTACCTTTTGGCACTGGGGTCCCGACTGGCACAGGAACCTTCCATTGCTTCATTGTGAGCACTCAACATAAGTTCTCATGATTTCTTTCATTGAGAGGAGCTTCCGACCAACACAAGAGGTCCCCTGTCATTCGGGCTCCCGTCCCGTCGCTCTGGAGCAAATCTTACTCCGACCGACTCGAGGTCCCTTGCTGGCACATGATACCCTGTTAGGTACGGTGGGCCTTTGAACGACACAGGAGCCTTGGCCAATGCGAATCGCGGGCCCGACCTTGTCCCTCCTTAGGAAATGGGCTACCAGAGCTCAGGCCAACAAGGAGCCGACATCGTTGTTGGTGATCTCCGGCCGTCATAGAGAAACGCTCTGCCTCAGTGGTCCACATCGATGCAAGAGGTCCTCTTACTGACCGTTGAGATCACGGCACCATGGGCAGAAATCCTAAATGTGGCCTACAGTCAGCCCTTCGGACCCTTCAGCCTTCCATCGGACCCTTGATCTTTGGTCTTGAGAGACCCTTCGACCCCTCTTCGGATCCCCTCAAACAACTCCCCGACACGGGGCCACTTGCCGCCACAGGACCCCTGTTAGGCGCTGTGGCCCCTGACCACCACAGGAGCCCCTCATTGTGTCATGAACCCAAAACATTACAAATCACGGGCTCCGGCCTCGTTCTGGACCTCGTCTCGTCCTCGTCACTCTCGTCCTCGCGACCTACATCCAGTCCTTCAGGCCCTTATGCCCTCCAACCGGGCATTGGATCATCGGTTCCAGCGTGCCGCCCTGGCCACTCTCCGGGCCTCATCGAACACTTCCCTTGGTTGGCTCGCGGCCCTTGTGAGCACAGGACCCTCTGTTAGGCGTTGTGTGCCCTGACAGGTACAGGGGCCCCACAAGGTATAAATCACTGCCCCAGGCCTCGTCGCTGCTTGGGAAGCGGGCCCTCAGGCCTATGCCGACACGAAGGCGACTGTGCGGTACTGGTGGTACCTGACCGACACACAGGCCCATATCGACTGAAGGGGTCCTCGATCGGCGCAAAGGGCCTTCTGACAGTTAGTTCAGGGCCCGTAAGTAAGACTACGACCAAGCCGTTAGACCCTCCAATCGGGACCTTGGCAGTCGGACCCGGTAGGCCCTCTAGGCTCCTCGGGCCTCCTCGAATACTACCTCTGGCCAACTCGGGCCCCTTGCCAACACAGGGTCCTGTGTGCCGCCTCAGTGGCTGTGGGTCCATGACAGGTGCTGGGGCCCCGGCCAACGTAAATCGCTGGCTCTGGTTTTGTTCCTGCCCGGGAAATGGGACCTCAGGCCCATGCCGACACGGAGTCGACTGCCTGTCATTGGCGGTGTCTGACCGACATATAGGGTCCTATCGACGCAAGGCCCTCTGGATGGCATTGAAGTATCTGGCCCCGCGGCCCGGGCCCCTGGAGACGACCTCCGGTCTCTTCCTGCCGACCTTCGGCCGGGATTTCGGGCCCCTCGGGCCCTTAAATCAGTCAAATCAAGCCCTTTATCATAGGTCCCGAGGGGCCTATAGGGCCCCCAGACCCTGGGGGGGGGGGGGGGGGGGGCACGTGCCTCCTGTGCTCCCCGCCTCCGCCACTGGATGACATACTGCCATTGAAATCAAATACGCTCAATTGGCATACCCAGTATTTCGCCCAGAAAATTTCAGGAGTCCGTCCCACCGCAACCCATAGGTGCCACCATGAGACCTGTCAACGAATTCCATTGTTTCCCCATTATTCATGTCCCTAAGGCCTAAACCCTCGAATCGACCTCACGCTAAGAAGCGTCACCCACCACCTGTGCAAAGGTAAATGCTCCAAACCGAATTGGAAATTAGTCAGATACAAGTCGACTATCGCATAGATAACGAGCGGAAATGTAAGATGAGTTAGTGATTCGTTTAGTTGTTTTGTAGGTAAACGACAGCGTTAACACGTTAACGCAAAACGCAACCAGCTAACTAACCCGTTACAGTGTAACGGATTTCCGCCCATCTTTGATTCCTGGGTACATATCTGACTAGGGCACTAGCAGAGAGACAATATTTTGCTGTGAAGAAATACCAGATTGCTCCCTTGAACAATTTAACTCGGGCATCACGTTCCCGCAGTCCCATCCACTGCCTTTGACCAGCAATCTGCACCCTGTCTCCGATGTGGACATGAAACCGACCATGTCTGCATGCTAAAGGTATGTTGGGTGGTTTGGAAACGCGAAAGAAGATTTGTTACAGCTTCAGTTATGTTGCACTCGCACTGGTGCGCTTTTATTGTGACGTGTAGTGGTGATTATACTTCTCGTGCGGGCGATGTGAATGATAGAGCTAAGCTGCGGTCTGAGCCGGTCGCCCTGCTTTCCTTCTGTTTTATAAATATCCGACTAGAAATGCCATGATCGGCAAGACACAACCGCAACCCATCCAGATTTGAGCTGATTTTTGCACCGCACCCACGCCTTTCCGAATCACCGCATCCTCTCGAGCCGGAGCTCCTGCAGGTCCACAGATGCGTCACGGGACGCCGCGCCGGTATGATTGGAATGTGCCCAGCACCCTACTTAACCGCTGGCACGTAATGCGCGGCAACACTTGACAATTACTATCGGTGCCCGTCGCGGGCCCCGCTCTTACCAAGCTCTCCCACGAGGTGCCGTCCCAGACTTCGCGTATCGTTCACCTGTCCACACAGAGACTGTACTCCGCCGTGATCACGTCGGTGCGGTGTCCGCGGTCGCGTCGCCAGCCACTGTACCCCGCCGCTAGTTTGCGTTGCGCGCGCAATCTGCGGCACAGAATCGTTTGGAGTGCCGGGCGTCGCGAGTGCGGTGTAGGTGGGGCGTGGTCGTCGCCGTTGGTGGTGTATTGACACTTAGCTCGCTGTGCATCGGGTGATCATTATTTCTGTGCAGCGATTTGATCGTTGAACCGCCACTGAGCAGGACGCCAGCCAGCGCCACGGCTCTGCGTTGTCTTACGTGCTGAGAAAACCACCGTGAAGGTGGGCGTAGGAACTGTGACGGATTTGAATTCTGCGGTGAAATGGCCGACTCAGTGGCCGGGTACGCGGATTACGGCCGCCATATGTCCGTTCACTCGTCGATGGAATACGGCGAGGCGTCGAGTGATGACCTGAGTTCCGAGTGGGAGGCCGACGTCGAGGTCGAGGAGACACCCAGGAAGGTCAGTGTTACCAGCGTCTCTGTCGTCTGCTTCGTCTGCCTGCTGGGTCTGCCACTTAGTCGATGTCCATATCTTATCGGAACTCGTAAATCGACTAGCTGATAGCCGCTATTGCAAACTAACACGAGATATGGGCGGCCCCTATATCGCGCGGCTGCCGAAACTTGGGAAGATTCTTCGCGGCATTGCGCCGGGCTGTCATAAAATTTGGCATGAAATCAGAGATAATTAGCGCCTGTCAGATGTGCTTTGATCGCCCAGCACCATTCCGTGCTCTGCACGTCGTCCGACGTGCAGGCGCTGGCCCAGGGCCCCGCTGCGAGGTGTATGGCCGTTGCTTGCCGCTTGACATGTGTGCCACGCTATAAGTGGATGTGTTCTGTGCAAGGCCATTCATAATTACACGCAGACAATCAGTCATTGGCGTAAGAACAGGCGGGCCGGGTGGGCAAAAGCCGGCCAACTTTTGTGAAAGTTTGGCATTAGCCTCACGGGATGAATGGAAAGGCTAGGTCTCAAAACGTGGGTCTGTCCACACACTTCTTCGACGCCCCCACACCCCTGCAAGTATTCATCCGCCTTCAGGGTGAATTTGACGCATGCTTCCGCATGCCACCACCAGTCAAGCTCGGCTTAAAGATAATGTGGCATGATTGTGCAGTAGTAAACCCCATTCCCGTTGTTGATATGCGTCAGTGGCGGAGGAAGAGCGATTGTTCACGATGGCGTAGCTGCCGTGTAATAAATCGTGGGACAAATGAGCGCTGAGGCCCTGTGGCCCGTTTAATAAGCGAGATCTAGCCTGAGGGGTGCACCACGGGAGCAAGTGTGTGTACCTGGGCGTCATCAAGGTCATTAAACGGCAGTGTTTGTTTTATGACCCACAGGACCGAGGCTGTGACTCAAAGTTGCCCGTAGAAATCCCTCGTAGTAAATGTGTTTAAAAGGCGTTGTCACATGACGTCGCTGTCATGCATAACACTCGATTCAGAGGGCATGACCAATCGCCCGGGCTGCCCGCGTGGTGAGTGAGATCTCCACAATTGCGACCCCACCAGATGTGGTCCTCACGGCTACTCCGCACCAGGCACGTGGCCTGGCTCAGCGCTGGCCCCCACCCAGCGTGACCGGTTCGACTTGAAAGGCTGCACCCACCCACACCTTTTTTGTCTAGAGGTTTCGGTCATAATTGAAAGACCAGAAGCCAGCCATGTCTTGGCGCCGGTTCTGTGCCCCGAAAACGTGACGCTTTGCCTGTCAGCGTTTCTTGTATCTAAGAGCAGTCGGGACACATTAGCTGGCGGCGTTGAGGCTGCAGTAGTTCCTTTAAGCGAGCGCAAATCGGTGGCGAATGTCCTCGTTAGTACCGTCGTATCGGCACGAGACCACACATTCTTGATTCGCATAATATGCTGTGTATGACGCCAAACGGACTTGCCCTCAGAATGCCAATAACCAGCGCGTCAGCGTGACCTCTGACCCAGCTCGACCTCCCGGCTCTGATCCAGTGCCACTACGCAGGCTCGTCGCTTGTCATTCAGTCCACCGCGCTGGTCGTTTGCGCTGTCACCGAAGTAATGCTGTCGCTGTGCGCACGCCAGCAATGGAGCGGCGTGCTGACCTCGTCCAGGATCGTGCTCGCTGAGCTCACGGCCTCCCGGGGCGGTAGCTGACTCGCCGTTCTAAATTCAGATTGGGTGCCGTGGAGCGCACTTTCGGGGTGCATGGAGTGCGAATTGGGAGTGCGCATCGGGCGCATTAGGAGCACGGGATGCACATTGGGAGCATCAGATGTCGCCGCGCTCAGAACTTGAGTGAGTTTATGGCATTGAACGCCGAGCTAAACAATTGGTGCATTAAACGAGCGTGGCTGATTAATTTTGTGCTTCGATTGTTACGCTTGAGAACGTGGTTCCCGTATGATTCTGAACGCGCATGCAGTTATTTGGCTGTTTCTTCCCATACTCTGCCGTAGACCGCTGGCTCAACTTACCAACGCTGGGAGGATGAAGCCTTCCTTTCCAGCTGCAGTTTTGCCTCCTTTGCCCGCTGCAGATACTGCCCTCCTCAGTTGTTTGCCTGCAGCTGCGCTAGACATTAAATATGTAATCAACAGGCAAACTGCTGGCTATACCAAGGCCGCCGGGAGGGTGGTTCTGCGTCTTTCCTCTGCCGAGCTAGCTGGCGTCGCTAGCGCCTTCATCCGAACCCGCTGCGCAGTCTAAGCACGGGATGGATGGGGGAGGCAGCGGCGGAGTCGCCGACAGGGTGCGTCTTCGGCTGTGATCGGGGCGTGACATTTCATCGGCCGCCGCTCCCCTGCTGCTCCCGGCCGGGCTCCGCACTGCTCCGCGGGCGGCAGCGGCGGCGGCGGCGGCGGCGGCGGCGGCGGCGCGGCGGCGGCGGCGCCGGCGCCGGCGCGTCCGTCACCGCCGGGAAGGTCAACCAGTCGTCAGCACGCGCCTCAGAGGACCGCGGTGGCGGCCGGCGACGCCCTGCCCGACCCCGGACCGCTGCCGGCGGCCGCAGACCGGGCCTAGGGGGCGGCGGCACCTTCCCACCGAGGCGACTCCGGCGGGCGAAACCCCGGCGGACGGCCCACGGGTGTCAGGTGTGGTCGGCCGGCGGGCCGAACCCCGGCGGACGGCCCACGAGCGTCAGGTGTGGTCGGCCGACGGGCGGAACCCCGGCGGGCGGAACCCCGGCGGACGGCCCACGAGCGTCAGGTGTGGCTCGGCTGGCGGGCGGAACCCCGGCGGACGGCCCACGAGCGTCAGGTGTGGTCGGCCGGCGGACGGAACCCCGGCGGGCGGAACCCCGGCGGACGGCCCACGAGCGTCAGGTGTGCTCGGCTGGCGGGCGGAACCCCGGCGGACGGCCACGGGCGTCAGGTGTGGTCGGCCGGCGAGCGGAACCCCGGCGGGCGGAACTCCGGCAGACGGCCCACGAGCAGCAGATGTGGTCGGCCATGGCCTGATGGACCAGCGACGCTGCCCGCTCGCGCAGACGCTCGGCGGGTGTCGTGGACGGGGGGTGAAACAGGAATGAGCCCCCTAGGGACCGAGGCACTGTTCGGTCCCAGTTAAGCGGTGGCATTCAATATTTGTGATGTTTGACCTCTGTATTGCTACAGATACTGGGTATTCATATGGTATATTGAATGTTGCGTACGGTACGTCATTAGCTGTCTGCGGAACGTGACCTACAGCAACACATCCAAAAGTGTCGTGTCACTGATCAGGGGTGAGTCGAAATGGGCGCTGCGCGTGACGATCGCACTATGTCCGAAAAACCGCGTCTAGCATTTCGATTATGGTCCTTGGTGCCAAGCTACAGCCTTGCTTGCAGTCAGTTGCCAGTTCTTGCAGTTAGACGAACGGGTATTGTGATATTCAGTGCTTTTGGTATTTTTTGGCTACCTACTTTTGGACGGTTTTGGCCCACATTGGGGGACGGGACAGGGAGGTGGACGATGGGCCTAGGGGACCCTCAAGAGATGCGAAACCCGACACATGGTTTTAAGCCTTACTGCTCTCACCGGATCGACCCGTTGCATTATGCTGACAGGACATAATCCGTGCCGCTATGACGTCAGACTGGGCGGGCTGTGACGTCAGACAGAGCCGCGCTGACGTCATTATCGCCTTGCGGCATCGCCGGCCTGCTGATGTATGGTCGTAATCGGAGAGGAATGTGTTTGAGGCTTGCTGGCGTGGCCGGGGCTGAGCAGACGGGGGGGGGGGGGGGGGGGGAGGGGGGACGATCAACGTGGCCCTGGCCCGTGCAGGTGGCCCCCAGTTCGAGCCTCTTCAACAATGGCCGGTATGACGTCACACGTCTGGGCAGGAAACGGACGGCTACGGTTCGGCGGGGCGCGTGGCCGGGTCGGCTGGCGCGCTGGCCGCCGTTCGTGACCGGCTGGCGTTGCTATGCAGACGCCGTCGTCCCAGTCGTCTATCTCAGGAGTGCTTATATAAGGCACGAGTCCTATGTTGTCGAGCTCAACGAGATGGCGAAGCCATTCATATGTTTTAACCGTCATTGAAATGCATTACATACAAATAAATGTTCTTCAAAGCGTAGCGGAACATGTGCATGACCGAAACACTCGTTGGATATTCGTTCACAGCCCTGTGTTTTCCCTGGTGAGGTGTGTTATTGTGCACGCGGTATATCACAATGGACATGAGTATGCTCAGCTTTCCCCTAGTCAGGGAGTCAGAAAAGCAGAGGCTGACCATTTTGGCGGCTAGTTGCTGGCACCGCACGGCTCCGTTCTGCCGTCTGCGGCCAACGGAGACGGGGATGTTAAGCTCAGACGCATCTCTACACAGCGCTGATGAAATGGGTGGAACAATTACCGACGCCATCGTAAAAATGGGCAGAATTTAACACCATGTTAACCGCCGTCCGAAGACTGTTAGGGAGTATGGTATCACAATGCAGTCACCAAAGTAGAATCACAACTGCAAACAACCATCCTGTTTGTTGAATGGTCGCCAGAGGTAGCGCATCTGAGTCAGTGTGTGTTCGGGTGAGTACTGCTCAGTAAAGCCGGGTTCCAACTCGGCACGCTTGAGTTGTGGTGCGCTGGTATGGAGTTCACTTCAAGCCCTCCATTCAAGGAAAGCACCTTGCCGAGCCGATAGCAGCATGCAGCCCCGGAGGCCGTGTGCCATTGTAAACGGTTTGTGCAGTGCCTTAGCGCCTTAGTGACCTTCAGCGACCCCCCTCCGTTTGTCCGACTTACGGCCCACGTACTACATCCGTGCTGTGGCGACTGTGGACAGATGACCGATCGGCCTTGCAACGTCGGACACGGCACGACATTGGAACAAAGCCTGCAAAGCCCTCTTTGGGACTTCATGCTCAATGTTTTCAGGGAATGATGGGCCATAGTTCCATACGTGTGCTGCGTTGACGGTTTTGGTCCTGCTGTTGTTGCGGTACGGTGCACTTCTGCTTCACGTTAGTTGCCCGCCCACATTTCTACCAACTGACGGAAACTCCGTGATTCCAAGCTAGAGACGTTCACTCTGCATGGATCCAAACGTGTTCGCGACCTCCGGCTCGCACATCTGAGCCACCTGCTCGATGCGTTTTCAAACTCCACACTGGATTGGCGCAGGCTGCCTTGGCCTCCAATTAAGAGAGCCTTCCTGGCATTGTGGGCAGGTCTTGTCCACCCGTCTGTCTGCCCAGTGCGTGAAGAATCCAGGCGGAAAACCACTAATCTCTGAGTTTCCTCCTGGCTCGTAAGTGCACAAGACCTGCTGGGTTTCCTACTATGCCCGCTGATGGACCTTGAAGGACGCGCGTACCTGCCAGTTGTTCAGGTTGAGCACGTTCCCTGCGCGGCGCCGTGGTCACGTGCTCAGTGCGGCCAAACTCACCTCCAGGCGCCATATCATCGGAGGCAGGACAGCGCCGATTGTGGACGTCTGATACAGGACGGATTGCCAGCGGCCGACGGCCCTGATACGCAGAGAATCGGCGCATATATGACGTCACCAACGGGATCGAGTTGGCGCCGGCTTTGTACGCGTGGACTCATTCTATGCGCTTAGTCAAATTTGCCTGTCGGGTGGCAAACGGCCAGCTGTTCTTTTGATGACTCATTTGCCTGCGCTCGATTATGTAGTGTCAGGAATAATCCCGATGGGGCATTCAAAGCCTCAATCCTGCGACGTGCGGGCTAAAACTGAGCTCACCTGTGGTCTCGGCTCTTGCCTGGTGCCTACATTTGTGCTGTCTCAGTGTGAAAGTACGCGGGTGACAGATAAGCACGCGAACGCCGCGAGGCGAGGGCGGAGCTCTCGGCGTCGGCAGCCCGCGCGTGCGGGCCACGCCTCTCGCCAGGAGCGCGGACTCTAGTCAAGGCGTCGGAGGCCCACCGTGCCGCACAGTGTGGAAGCCACCGAACCACCAGTGGTGTCACCTGGCAGGGGCGTAGCCGGGCGAAAGGAAAACTCAGGGCGTGATTGGCTATTTCCGTGCACTGTCACGTCTTCTGGGCGTCAGCGCTGCCCACACCCTCGACTGGGAATCCCTCCAAAGCCGCCGCCATTCGAGCTGATACCGGACAATGGCGCGAGGAACGCGCGCGGTGGCACACACTGGCGGCCGCCCGCTCATGTCGAGGTCGTCGCCGTGCCGGCCCGGTTTTTGTCGGCGGATGATGTGGGGCGACGGGCGCGGCGTGGCCGTCAGAGCCATCGAGGCGGGTGCTGACAGTGACAGGCGGAGCCGACGGCAGCGCGTCAGCAGTTTGACGGCTGCTGTCAGAGGCGATTCACCGACTGCCAGCGCTTGGCCAGGCGGAGAGAGCGAGAGCGAGAGCGGAGAGAGAGCGAGAGAGAGAGCGAGAGAGAGAGCGAGAGAGAGAGCGAGAGAGAGAGCGAGAGAGAGAGCGAGAGAGAGAGCGAGAGAGAGAGAGAGAGAGAGAGAGAGAGAGAGAGAGAGAGAGAGAGAGAGAGAGAGAGAGAGAGAGAGAGGAGAGAGAGAGAGAGAGAGAGAGAGAGAGAGAGAGAGAGAGAGAGAGAGAGAGAGAGAGAGAGAGAGAGAGAGAGAGAGAGAGAGAGGAGAGAGAGAGAGAGGAGAGAGAGAGAGAGAGAGAGAGAGAGAGAGAGAGAGAGAGAGAGAGAGAGAGAGAGAGAGAGAGAGAGAGGGGGGGGGGGGGGGGGGGGGGGGGGGGGGGGGGGAAGAGCAGTAGCAAAAGCGAGAGCTAGAGAGAGAATTTCCATCCGCGTGCTTGGCGTCAAAATTAACATTGAGCAGATTGTCAGTTTAATTGAGAACAGCACTCCGTGGATGACGGGATCAGAGTACTATCAACCTGGTATGGAGCGCCGGCAGTGCAGTGATGGGCTGCGCGGCTTGGAAACCAGAGGTACGGAGAGGCAAGGCACGGGGAGGCGAGGTACGGGGAGGCGAGGTACGGGACTCGATTCCCCGCGGCGTCCGCGCTTCCCGCCAGGGTAGGAAGCAGGCGACGTCACACAGCCTCAGAGTATGAGGACATCATTTAGATACCATTGCTCCAATGACAACAAGCTACCAGGTATGCATCGCGTTGACACACTTAGAAGCAATCGGGAAACATTGATGAAAAGCATTTTTGTCGAACACAGCATGAAGTGTAGTCGGGATCAAGTGCATTGACCTGCGTTGTAAGGGACGCACGGCGTATCATTCGTTAGTGCGTCGTAGATTTATTGGGCTCTGTGCCCAGCGCGGAATTGTATTTTTGGTGTTGTGACCAGATGAAATGTCTGCTAGGCTTATGCCGGCTAAGCGGTAGCTTTTCGTGTACACTATCCGTTTAGGAGCCCCACTGGAGTATGCCGGATTATGACTAACATGCAGCTGCGCCTCCACCAAAACCGCAAGCAGATGAGCAAGACGCCAATAATGCCCGTTCGGCGTGACCAAGTGAACCTTTATGACGTTAGTGTATTTTCATGACGTCATGGCATGACGCGGCTTTTCATTTTTTATGCTTCCGTTGTACATACTGCCAATCCGCGCCGGTCTCTGGCTCACGAGCGATGAAAGCTGATGCAGTTTTGCTGCGGGGTGCTATCCTTCGACTTTCACTGGCGCCGAAGATCTGCCATGGAGAGGAAGATCAAGTGACAAACGCAGTGCAAACGCTTCGCATCTGCACGACTCCGAATGTCGTCACCGTCAGGATCTTGGGGGGGGGGGGGGGAGGGGGAGAAAGGGGATCGTGAAGGTTGTGCGCGTTACCTCCGGCACCCGTGCCTGCGATTGCAGCTTCCGGGCGGGCTGTATCAGGCACCGAGCCGTCGGCGGCGGTGTGAGCAGCATGGTCTCCAGCTCCACCGGCTGATCAGACCCGGGCAGAGCCACGGCCGGATACCGTGGCGGGTGCGCCAGCGGAAGAAACTGGTGCAGCAAAGCTCTGAAGGGGTCTGCCGTTTGCACTGGACGCAAGTCATGTTATTTGGCAGAGATGGGCTACTGTGACACTTTCCGCCACACTCTCCACCCACGTCGCCAGCGCCCAGCGCCAGCGCCTAGCGCCAGCGCCAGCGCCTAGTCGCAGATCGTTGGCTAAACGAGGCGCAAAGGAGCAAGAAACAGGACCTCATAAGCGACACAAAAGCCGTTCCGAATGAGCGATGGACGTGATTAGCCTTGACGTGACCGAGCGCTGTGCCGGTGGGCGGTGGGGCTGCACGAGCTGCGCTGCTAGTCAGGGGTGAGGCTGGGGAGATGTGGCGCTGTTGGGCGGTGGCGCTGCACGAGCCCTGCCATTGGAGATGGGGCTGGACGGGCCCTGCCGTTGGAGATGGGGCTGGATGAGCCCCGCCGCTGGAGATGGGGCTGGATGAGCCCTGCCGTTGGAGATGGGGCTGGATGAGCCCCGCCGTTGGAGATGAGGCTGGACGATCCCGGAAACTGGAAATGGGGCTGGATGAGCCCTGCCGTTGGAGATGGGGCTGGATGAGCCCCGCCGCTGGAGATGGAGCTGGACGATCCCGGACGCTGGTTTTCACCGGGACTGGCAGTTGCCGTCGATCAGTTGGCCCCTCAGCACCGGCGTCAGCCCAATGCACTTTCATCTCCCAAAATGCGTTGTTTGTCGTTTTTGTTGCATTTGTTTATTTGTGCCATCTTTTGGACAGGTGCTCAAAGGTTGGCTCCTTTCACCGCTTCATTCTCGGATTTTTAGTTACTCATTCGGCACCGGACATGAGCGGCGCATCCGCATGCTTTTCGGCGTCGCTTGGAGCGCTTGTGTCGTTGAGTCCGTCGCCTGCCGATTCATGGCGCGTTGTTGACGTCGATCTACAGCGTCCTCAATCCTATGAGACACGCAGGCCAAGCGGCGGCATAGCAGTCCAAGACCCATCATCGTCCGTTGATCAGAGCTGACTCACAAAGCAGCGTATCTTTCGACCTAAGTATTTAACCGATGCCTTCGGCATCGGTCCTGAGGCTGCACCCCCACGCCTTCTCCGGTCGTGCGCCCTGTGCCTGGCGCTCGTCGTGTCGCCACTACATAGACCGCGAGACGTAGCTTGCAAAGAAACCCAGGAGAGTGCAGTGCCGCCTGATGAGATCACCAACCGACGGGAGAGACGCCTCGGGCGTGCGGTGCCGGCACCGCCCACGCCGGCACGAGTCGGCCCGGTCGGTGACGTCATCCGTCCTCTGTTCGCAGTCGTCCCAGTGGCGGAAGGTGAAGGGGGTCGTCCAGTGGACGCCGTTCGTGCAGACCTACAAGAAGCAGAAGTACCTCTGGGTGCAATTAGCCGGTCACCAAGGTGAGGGCCTGGTCTTGTCACCAGGTGTCTGTAAGGGAGTCCTGCCGACCCGTCCGAAACCGGGCGGAGTGTGCGCGCGTCATTGGGGTGAGCGAGACCTACAGCGTTTCTCAGTCTTTAGTGCGGCGCAGTGGCGTTGGATGAGCGTGTCAGGTTTCCGTCATAACACCGCCCCGTATCCGTGTACTGCGTACATGGGTACATGGGTACATGGGCACGTGGGTACATAGGTACATGGGCACGGATGTATAGATTCACGGATTCATGCGTACAGGGTACATGGGTACCCGTGTACCGGGTACATGGGGACGTGTGTACATTCGTGCTGGGTACAGAACTGAACGCGACACGAAATTATGTTTCATGCACTACGCAGAGCAAAATAGCTAACTTGAACCGATCGGACCTACCATCCCTTCTTTATAGCATTTGGCTGCGTATGTGGAGATCTGCAGCATAATTTCGTATTGCGCATGACATCGTTACTTTTGACCAAAATACAATTTTGGCGAATAGCACCTAATAGTACCTGCGCTATGAAATTTTCTACTTCACAGCTTTACGGTGGAAGACAGAACGAAAAGGCAGCATTTTAGCCCTTGATGATATGATCTGGACAACAAACAATTTTGGCTTTGGAATAAAAATTTGTGCTGGTGGAAAGCGGAGATTAGGAGACTTTTTGTAGGCTCACTCATGGTTATCATTTTGTGTCGTTAGCATCATCACTTGTATCATTCGTTCCTTCGTGTCTGTGTTTTTGTCGAATGCATTAGTAAAATATGGAGCATTAGCAGAATCTTCAGGCGTCGCATTGAAGTAAAAAGCCTACGCGGTACATTAGATATATGATAGCAGTCCATCACAGCTGTAAGACGGTGCAGCCTTGGGAACCGGTATCAGAATCGTCAATGCTTTAATTGGCCACATTTTGTGTCACAGGAGTGCGTCGTATTGTCATACATCAAGTACAACGGGTACGATTGTTATTTGCCTGACACATTTTCATTATATATTTACTTGAGCTGTCGTCGTGGCGAAAGAGCATACTTACTTGAGAACACGGGAGTCCTAGCATGTGAGCATAACAGTGAGCATCAGACAACTGGACCGCTTGGTTTAGAGACCTTCAATTTCAGGAGCAACAGTGTGCTAGTTTAGGGCCACCAGTTTCAGGGGAATTGGTGCCCACTCAGCTACATCTTCACCACCCCCAGAGCAATGGTTGACGGGTGCACGATACTGCTCGGTTGCATCTGAGGATATGTCGCATAGTCCTGAGCATACTATCCCTGTAGCGTACCAATGACACGCATTGAGATACACGTGATAGTTTTCTTAATCTGATGTATGGTTGGTCATTTTCAAGGTTGTACTGTCATGTTCATGTGATTTTGCTATTTTGCCCGTGCTTCGGCCGTGTTCAGGCCTGGATTCCCTTCCAAACCGTCACTCCTCCCTCCCCTTGTCTGCCTTGGTACATGCCACTAGTCTCCCGATAAGAACTCGTGTGTATTTGCCCACTCGCCATCGACCTTTATTACGTAAGTGTATGTTTGCATGCGTTAACATATTTATTACGTAAGGGTATTACATAACCAAGGGGTTTACTCGCTGTCAGATAACGCATAGATGGCATGCGGTTGCAGAAAATGTTACTTCGCAGTCAGACGGTCCGGCCGGCCGCCAAAATCCCTCGGAAACCGACGGTGAAACGGTAGTTTGCCCATCCGAATACAGCCGGAGTCGGCCTCTGGTGTCCAGCATGCCACCACAGGCCAGCCGGCCCTGTGCGCCGGGCCCGGGTGTGTCGCCAAACTGGGCTGCATCGACCGCGGCCGCCCGGTCAGCAGCGCGAGCCCGGGGGCGTGGCCGCCCCGGACTTTGCTCTGGGTCAGGCCGAGGGGCGATAACGCGTACAGAGGCACACGGGCCTGGCACCGTCACTGCTGGCGTCTCTCCCCAGCTGGAGGATTTTGTTGGGTCTGTCGTGGACCAGGGTTTGCGGTACACCGTCGTTGGTGAATGAACAAGGTGGACTTCTGCCACTGGCTGAAGCATGAGCGAACCCGTATCAGCGTGATTTTCTTAACGGATTGCGGCCTGAGATCCTCGACCCTGACAGATGATCACTTTTTGTTCGTTTTGTGGTCACCAGTAGCACGAAAAGTCAGGCACAACGAAAACAATATCCGGATTTGTTAGCAATAGGATATGCAGGTGTCAAAGGATGTGCTAGTTGAATCAAGTAATTGAAATATGGTGACGGGTATTTTCAGCACCCCATATAGTGATCCCATTTCATCTTGTGATGCAGCTGCCGGGAGAACACATGGCTTGCGTACGGCATCGTAGCATATGGGCATAACTGCGTTGACCTATTCTTTCACGAGACGTACATCACGAATTAACATATTTTGCGAGTCGAAATCTTGCTGCATTGCCCGGTAGCAGTGCTGCAGTTTTGTCATTAAAATCTCTCTACGGTACACTTTAAAGCGTGGTTTTTACGCAAACATTCATGGGTCGCCGTAGCTGCGATATGATGGATAAGGCTATCTGAAGTTTCATTTAAAATACCTCCGTTTTTGGATTGGCTGGTTTCATTCTTATGAAAGACACAAAACGACGTGGGAAGCCTCATCCCACCCAGAAATCCAAGTCGTCAGGCGTCTCATGGACCTGAACGCGCCTCTGCGTTCTGCATGTGAGCCCCCGCAGTGAGTTGAGCAGCTCGATACCAGCGGCCCAGGCCTCCCAGCCCCCAGGCCTCCCAGCTCCCAGGCCTCCCAGCTCGACACCAGCGACCCGGGCCTTCCAGCTCGATACCAGCCGCCCGGGCCTCCCAGCTCCCAGGCCTCCCAGCTCGACACCAGCGGCCCCGCCCGAGACTAGCCGTGACCCTGGGTAGGCTCCAGTCCAGGCCCCTGCCCAGGGTCGGGCATGATGGTACCAGCCAATCAGCGAAGAGTTTCGTGAGGTGAAATTGCAACCAGCAAAAGTTTTAAAATCACAACGTATCTCAGTCAGAAACCGATAATGTTTCATGTTTTGACGTTTAAATCATTGGTGAAAAGGCGGACGGTGACGTTAATCAGCTTACGATCCGTGCGTTCGTGGGATTAAGAAGCGAGTGAGTGGCATTTTCTCGTGCAGTTGGCCGGGGACCGTGGCTGGCTGTTTGGCTGGCAAGGACCGGAGGCCGTGCTGGCTGTCTGGCTGGCACGGACCGGAGGCCGTGGCTGGCACGGACCGGAGGCCGCGGGTGACTGGCTGGCACGGACCGGAGGCCGTGGCTGGCCGCCCGGCTGGCACGGACCGGAGGCCACGGGTGACTGTCTCACTAGCACGGGCCTAAGTCCGTTGCTAGCCGTCTGGCTAGCACGGGCCGGAGTCCGTGGCTGGCTGTATGGCTGACACGGGGGCGCTGAGGCCGCGGCTATGGGGCATCACGTCCGGTGGCCGGCCGGTGGAGCTGGCTGCAGAGGGCAGGGGTCGCCGTTGGCCACGCAGACCCGGAGAGCGTGTGTCTAGGGCGGAGCCGGCGGCGGTCGGTACTGTCGGGAGTGTAGTCACGCAGACCAGGAGAGCGTGCGTCTAGAGTGAAGGTGGCGGCGGCCAGTACTGTCGGGAGTGTGGCCACGCAGACCAGGAGAGCGTGCGTCTAGAGTGAAGGTGGCGGCGGCCAGTACTGTCGGGAGTGTAGTCACGCAGACCAGGAGAGCGGGCGTCTAGAGTAAAGGTGGCGGCGGCCGGTACTGTCGGGAGTGTGGCCACGCAGACCCGGAGGGCCTGCGTCTAGAGTGAAGGTGGCGGCGGCCGGTACTGTCGGGAGTGTGGCGACGCAGACCAGGAGAGCGTGCGTCTAGAGTGAAGGTGGCGGCGGCCGGTACTGTCGGGAGTGTGGCCACACAGACCCGGAGAGCGTGCGTCTAGAGTGAAGGTGGCGGCGGCCGGTACTGTCGGGAGTGTGGCGACGCAGACCAGGAGAGCGTGCGTCTAGAGTGAAGGTGGCGGCGGTCGGTACTGTCGGGAGTGTGGTCACGCAGACCCGGAGAGCGTGCGTCTAGAGTGAAGGTGGCGGCGGCCGGTACTGTCGGGAGTGTGGCCACGCAGGCCAGGAAAGCGTGCGTCTAGAGTGAAGGTGGCGGCGGCCGGTACTGTCGGGAGTGTGGCCACGCAGACCAGGAGAGCGTGCGTCTAGAGTGAAGGTGGCGGCGGCCGGTACTGTCAGGAGTGTAGTCACGCAGACCCGGAGAGCGTGCGTATAGAGTGAAGGTGGCGGCGGCCGGTACTGTCGGGAGTGTGGCCACGCAGACCAGGAGAGCGTGCGTCTAGAGTGAAGGTGGCGGCGGCCGGTACTGTCGGGAGTGTGGAGTTTGGAGATATTCCGGCGGCGGTTTATGAAGCCAAGCCAGGAGAGCACCGACAGGAAGGGGTGGTTGGGAGACCGATGCACCGATGCCGCTCTCACTCGGGGCTCAGATACGTTTTTGAAGCGATGCGGACATAGCATCACCGTGTTCAGGTCTGGTGGCCGAGGAGGCGGATCTGCGACTAGAAACCGGTTATCGTCGGCTTGTTTGGGATGGCGATCACGTGCAATTGATGCATCTGTAATACCATCTCGTAAAGCAGCTGCTGTCCATTCCAGTTTGGCTGTTGCTCACTTCTGCTTGTTCTTTAGTTGAGATCGAGCAAGACGAGTAGATGACGGCTTCACGATGCACGCCCATATTCTGCGCACGTATGAGGTGCGCTGCATGATGTAAGCGGGCACAAGACGAGCAGATGACGGCTCCACGATGCACGCCCATATTCTGCGCACGTATGAGGTGCGCTACATGATGTAAGCGGGCACAAGACGAGCAGATGACGGCTTCACGATGCACGCCCATATTCTGTGCACGTATGAAGTACACTACATGATGTATGCAGGCAAAGCCTTCAGCTCTTGCTTTTTCGGATACATGAATTGGAAATTCTTATTCCGAAAATAGTGGAGATACAGTATTTCAGGAGGTGATGGCCAAACGATGCTTAGCAAGCAAGCACTGATCATATAGGTACATCAGTATTTGATGTATTAAAAGGTCGGTTATTTCCGTTATAACAACTGCCAACTTATGATCATCCATAGATGCCTCCATTGCCTCGGTCTGACAGAGCATAGCCTAACGCTGGTTCTACTCGTTATGCCCATGAATCCGGAAGCCATGAGTGATTGATCAAGTTTTCTGTAACAAACATCCATCAAAATGAAGTAACGTTCAGAAATATTTTAAAAATCCCTATCCAACTTTGCGGACTTACATCCTACGTTGTTGCTGGGCTTATCGGTGAGGAAGGCAAACGCCGATTCATTTATAAATCCACATTCCAAGCTACGGATAGATTTTAATGATGTTTTCTGTGATCGTGAATGGTATTGAGTATGTCATGTTAATGTTGTGAAAATTATGGAAACTCAAATGCTGGCATTTAGTAAAAGCACGTTGTACCGATGGTATGTAGTTAATGTTGTGGAGATGCTGGACATACATAAAGGCTTGTATTTGGGAAATATATGTATCTGCGGTGTGGTGTACCCAGTTACTAACTCCCTGTGTTGATGCTGTTTGCTTCCATGCAAGTTTGCTCTGGAACGCTCTGAGTTGTTGATAATTACGTGCGGCCAGCAACCTGTTCGCTCTATCCATAATACCATCGCACAGGAGAGTGGAAGCAGGCACTTGGCATGACTGGCGGGATCGCTGGGACAAGGGTGGATTGGTTTGGTGGGGGGGGGGGGGGGGGGGGGTCAACCGCCTCGATTTTTTCCTGCCCACCTCTCCCCACGAACTGTTTTGGAGGCTCACACGCGACTGACAACATGCATTGGACGGGATAACACTGGCATCACTGTGCCGAACACTTTGCTCGTGGTCTTACGCAAGGTACCTCCAATTCACCAAACTGGGATGGAATATTGCTCTATATCTGTGTTATACGGCAAACTCTTATCACCTGTTAACAATTGTGTTTGCTTGTAATGGGCTGCAGGTACGCCATCATTGCAATGGCACGTGACGCTTTTCGCAGGGAACTTCAAAGCTGGCAAGGACGGCACTATTCAGAAGCGGCTATGTGGCAGGGAACTGGAGTGCCTGAAGCTGCTGATGACTGACTGCCTGCGGCCCTACGTACCCGAGTACCGGGGAGAGGTACGGTACCATCCAGGACTGCCCTCAGGCACCGGGGTACCGGGGAGAGGTACGGTACCGTTCTGGAGACATGCTCGGAGGCGGAGGACGTGAAGCTCCCGCTGGCCGGAGCACCAGTGTCAGGTGAACTACCGTCTGTTAAGCGACCGTGAGTGGTGGACCGGGCCGGGCCGAGGCGAACGATGGTGCGTGGCACACTGGACACACGAACCCAGTGCGACAAGGGCGAGAAGAGCCTACCCTGCCCGCGGGCCGCTTGTGGAACGGTGCGCAGGGCAGTGCGTGGAGAGGAGGTGATGGAGAGGCTGATGGTCTGTTTCTGTCGATATGTCGTGCGGACCGGAGGCAGACATCATCCAGCGGGCGACACATGTCTGGAGACAGACATCATCCAGCGGGCGACACATGTCTGGGGACAGACATCATCCAGCGGGCGACACATGTCTGGGGACAGACATCATCCAGCGGGCGACACATGTCTGGGGACAGACATCATCCAGCGGGCGACACATGTCTGGGGACAGACATCATCCAGCGGGCGACACATGTCTGGCCGGCTCCACGCCGTGCTCGTCGGGCGTGGCCGCGGCGTTTCCTCGCTCGGCGATGAGGATGGCGTTGGGCACGAGTGCGTGGTCCAATCGAACCACCTGGCGACCAGAACGCAACTTTTTCAGATTTGGTCCGAACCCTTTGAATGGATGAACTTTTGAGATCAGAGCTCACGCTAAATGCTTAAAAACATGGGGCCAGACGTGTTCAGGTAAATTCACAGCCCCCACAGCTAGCAGATGAGAGATAGAGACGCCCCATCCTGCCGCGTGCGATCACCATAGCAGCTCTATCGAAGCCACTGGACGAGACATCATCAAATGAAGTCATTTAACTTCCCTTCGAGGGTGCGCGGTGGTCCCGTTAGGCTAGCGCGAGCTCTAATCATAGCGATTAGATAAGCGGGCGCCGAGTAAGAAATGCTCGCGGGGTGGACCCGTCTTCGGCGCCGCGGCCGGCGCTGATGACGCCAGTGCGGGACGGGCCAGCGGCTGACCGGGACAAATGACCCGCGCGGCGCCACTGAGCCCGTCCGCCGCGGCTCGGCGGCGGGGCGGCGGGTCGGCGGGCGGCGGGGCGGCGGGGCGGCGGGGACGGCGAAGCGGCGGGTCGGCGAAGCGGCGGGTCGGCGGGTCGGCGGGTCGGCGGGGCGGCGGGACGGCGGAGCGGCGGGTCGGCGGGGCGGCGGGACGGCGGGACGGCGGGACGGCGGGACGGCGGGGCGGCGGTCGGCGGGCGGCGGGGGCGGACGGCGGGCGGCGGGGCGGCGGAGCGGCAGGTCGGCGCGGCCTGGCCGGCCTGGCGGGCCGCCAGTGCTGCCAGACGCCGCCCGCGTGGAACACGCGTCACTCGACGCCCGGTCGGGACGCCACTGCCGGGCGGTGTTTTGGCCGGGCCAGACGGCCGCGCCCTGCCGACCTGGCCTGGCGGCTGAGCAAAGCGGTCACGTGGTCTGTCACGCGCCTCCCGGAGCCAGAGGCGAACCTCCCACGCGACTGCGTTGCTCGCTGACGGCGTTTCGGGTCCAGAGTCCCGCCGTGACGTCCAGATTTTCTCTTCGGATCTAGTTCATGCGACCGGCACCATTTTATCTTGAGTCCGGGGCCCCTTTTATTACTTTGAAGTGCAGTGTCTTAGTGCACCCGTCTTTCAGCATCAACGGTTCTCCGACTCCACCGCAGTCGCTGCCGCTGTCGGTCATCTCGTCTCCATACTAACCCGGCCATTTCGTGCACCTACATGTTCTCCCAAACGCTCCATCATGACCTGTCCTCCTCACTCGTCCTTTAGGGAAACTTATCATCTATTTCGATACAAATTATCCGTTCAGAGCGGGCGCTAATCGTCCTGTAAGCTACTACGCGGCGCACCCAATTACGGCCACGCCCAACCGCGCAGACGAATGGCCGACCTTTCGGAGGTCGCCGTCGGTGCTCACTGGCGCCACTGAGCCTCCGGAGTCCCGCTCAGCGGCCAGGCGCCTGTCGCGGCCTGTAGCCGCGCGTGCTGGCCACGCCTGGTTCTCAGCAGAGGACCTGTAACGCTCTCCCCCCGCCGCCAGCACCGCGCCGCGGTCGGCCCGGCCTGAACCTCGAGTGGCCACTCGCTCGACCTCCGGATTCCGGCGTCGTAGTGGCCCGGATTCCAGCGGCGCGGTTGTGGCGCCGCTGGCCTTGGAGGCCGTTGGACCCGTAAGCAGTCGTGGTGGCGCTCATACTTTTGCCACTCGCGACGGATCACGGTACGCGTCTCCTCGCGCGCGTCACGTGACGTGTGTTGCGCCCTTTTGCCGGGTCATGGGGTACCCGTCAGCGCACTTGCGAAAAATAGTGTCCATAGACTAATCGTACCGGTTCGTGACTTATTCAGTGTCCGCAGGAAAGCTTTTCTGAGCCCCCTCTGAACACTGTCTGTTGGCCGATTGAGGTTCACTGATTCACTGATTCACCGCTTCACGGATTCAGTCAGTTGATGCGCTCATCTGCCGCGCAGGGAAGGCGGATCAGTTTGTGAAAGTCCGCGTGGAGTGTGTTTGGAATGTGCACTTGATGTGTTATCGGGTTAACGTTTCGCGTTCAGGGGGTTTCTGGGATCGGTGATATGATCTTGACTCCCAACTCCCAAGCTTGCAGGCCAAAAACAGGGGTATGTAATTGTGGATAAATGTGTGGTAAAAACCGTGTGGGTGAATTGAATGTACGTTATGTCTCATGATGCTAAACATTTTATGAGGACGCGATTGGCGTGCCCGTAGTGAGGTTATTCTGTTGCTGATTGTTTCGCCCAGCGTTGGGTGTGCAAAGAAAACGATAATTTAGAATGCGTGGCCTAGTCGAATTTTACATGCACACAATCTCGATTAAGCGTTAAATCCGATGTTGTCTTATGAAAAGCTGGTCGTATTCCTCCCTATTGCAATTCGGATGCATTTTCTACTAAATGCACCTCGCTCGGTCCTTACGTGGTCATTTCCTTGCTTTCAAATGGACAGCCGAAATGCTGTCGCATTTGATTCAGGTGAAGATCGACCAGCCCGGGCGTCGTTTGCTTCCCGCCATCGGCCCCAGCACCGCCGGGGCACCATCTCCCTCCATCCGCCCCACCGCCGTCGCACCATCTTCCTCCATCGCCCTACACCGCCTTCGCACCTTCTCCCTCCATCCGCCCCACCACCGCCGTGGCACCATGCCCCTCCATTGTCCACCGCTGCCGTCGCAACATCCTCGTCCACCCGTCTCACCACCGCCGGCGCACCATCTCCCTCCATCCGCCCCCAGCACCGCTGTCGCACCATCTCCCTCCATCGCCCTACTACCGCCTTCGCACCTTCTCCCTCCATCCGCCCCACCACCGCCGTGGCACCATGTCCCTCCATTGTCCACCGCCGCCGTCGCAACATCCTCGTCCATCTGCCTCACCACCGTCGTCGCACCATCGCCGTCCATCGCCCCACCACCGCCATCGCACCATCTCCCTCTATCGCCACGCCGCCGCTTTGTTCGACCCGCAATCGCGGGTCGCTGCGAGCGGCCGGCGCCCTATCAGAGGCGACCGGCGGCCGTTTTGCCGGCTGTTGTTGGCCGCCAGCGCCGGGGCCGAACACGGACCCGATGATCGATCGCGGCCGGCTCGGCTCGGCTCGGCTGCCCAGACAGGGTCATTAGTCATTATGGGATTTTTGTTCACGTACTTACCGTCACCGCTCCCAGCGGGTCTTTGTGTCGGCCGGCCGGGGTGCCGCCGACCACGAGACGTCGGTGAGGAGTGGAGACGGGCGGAGGTCGGCGCCGCTCGGCGAGAGAGGGCCACGCACCGGCACAGGTGGCTGAGTCCGACGCGGTCCAGTCTGAACCTATCACCGGAGGGACGACGGGCGGACGTGTATCATCGTGCAGGCGGTATATTGTGTGTTTTTACTTGCTGTAGTCCAAGTTGTGGAAAGCGGGGATACGTCAAGACCCAACCTCTGACGCATGTATTGGAGGTACTCTGGGAGCTAGAGGTGTGGCGTGCGCTATTATCAAGGATCGTCGAAGCCAGGGGGAACACATCTGCGGCAGGGACCGCCCCCCCCCCCCTCCCCCACGCACACACACACAGGCGCACAGACGCAGACCTACACCCACCTACACGCACACCCGCCCCCGCATCCATGCCCACACCTGCACCCTCACCCTCACCCACACCTACACCTACACCTACACCTACACCTACACCTACACCTACACCTACACCTACACCTACACATGCACATGCACCTACACGTACACCTACACCCACACCCACACTCACACCCACACCCACACACACCCACCCACACCCACACCCACACCCACTTCAAACCCACACCCACACTCACACCCACATCCACATCCATATCCGCGCCCACACCCTTACCCTCAACCGCATCCGCACTCGCATCCGCATCCGCATCCGCATCCGCATCCGCATCCGCATCCGCATCCGCATCTGCATCTGCATCCACATCCACATCCACATCTGTACCCGTACCTGTGCCCTCACCCTCACTGCACCTGTTTTCGCACCCTAAATCTGCACCCGCATTCGCACCTTGCATCTGGGCCCGCACCCACGCTCACACTGCATCTACACCCGCACCGAACCCACACCCGCACCCGCACCCGCACCCGCACCCGCACCAGCACCTACACCCGCAGCCGCGCCAACATCCATACCCACATCCATACCCACACCCACACCCACACCCGCACTCGCCCACAGCTACTGGGGTGGTAGTGGCACTCACACACGCACGCTGCGCAAACAGATCACCAGGCCTTTAGAGCTCTCATCCGCGTCACAGACCAGACCAGACCAGAACCAGACCAGACCAGACCAGACCAGACTATCGTCCCCGATCCCCGCTCCACGTATTGGGCTGCCGCATCGGTAGCAGGACGTCCTCGCGCAGCACGATATGTTCCTCTGTAAGCACACCACCCTAGCCCTGCGGTCCAGCTGTGAGCCCGCTCGTGTTCGCTGCGTGTGAACCTGCACGTGGCAGACGGAGTGTGCTGCGGTCGGGAGTGCGGTTTGCATGGGATTTCAGTCGGTGCGGACTACCTCCATCCGGCTTTATTGACTCGTAAGCGGCCTTGTGCACCCCCGCTGCGTCACGAGGCATTAGCCCCCGTTAATGCATCTGGTCTGGTGCGGCCGGAGAGCTAGATAGCGCGGACTGGACACGTAAGCCCAGAAGTCTGCATCAGCAGGCCGCACGCGGCTTCCTTGCTGGTCGTGCGCGCCAGGACTTGCCGACGCCACCCGTGCACGGCAGCACGCCCCGACCTTACTGTGGTCTGTGTGTGCCCGCATTTTAGTGTGGCTGGGCGTTTTAATGAATGACGAGGACCACCGTCCTTGCTATGTACAGCTGGTTGGGCAGTCCATGAACTCATCACGTTGGTATGGTGCAGTTCCAGTGCAACGGACACTTGTGTGGGGCTTCAGTGTGCCGCTTAATGCCATGATGCGGCTACCGCGTTTCAACTCAGCATGGCCTGTTGCCATTTGGCCGTCGTCTGTGACGGGTGACATAAGCGGGTTTTCAGAACATGAAATCATGTCTGCCGCCCATGGTCAGGATGTCTGAAAGTGCCAGCTGCCCCGGCCGCGGGCAGTTCAGCGCCCCTTTGTAATCCGTGACCTGACCCCAGTGTGTTGTTTATCCTTGTGCACTCGGTGACCTGAGTGTGTTCTGCACCCCCGTGCGCGTCATGACCCGACCGCAGTGTGTTCTGAAATCCCCCACTCCGTGACCTGACCCTGGGGTGTTCTGTACCCCTTGCACGCCGTGATCTGACCGTAGTGTGCTGTGTACCCCCGTGCAGACGGTGGCGGAGGACGGACAGCACTTCCTGCAGCTGCAGGACCTACTTGGCGAGTTTGTCGAGCCGTGCGTCATGGACTGCAAGATCGGCGTGCGCACCTACCTCGAGGACGAGCTGGCGAAGGCCAAGGAGAACCCCAAGCTGAGGAAGGTAGGTTCAGCTCGTATCCATCATAAAGCCTCGGGAAGATTGGGCTACCGTAATCAAAGGATTGCCAGCTTAGGAGCTTTGAGAGGCTTTTTGGTGTTCATTGCGCTGGATGCTCCTGTGCAGTCCACTGGGCAGCCAGCCTGCGGAATGTGATAAACGGCAGGCGTCTAACTTTTTTTGATGGTGCGCCTATACTTTGTAGATACCGGCATGGCGATAGCTTTGCTTGTACCGATTCACCTGCACTTTTCCGAGAGGTCAGGCCTTTTGTAGTCCTGGCATTCTGCCAGTAGCAGGCGATTATCAGAGCGCTTGGACTGCCACAAAGCCCTCTGGAACGCACTGCTGATAGCTTTTGCGTGTTTGTCCTGGCACGGGCTGCTTGGTGTTTCAGGACATGTACGAGAAGATGATGGCGATTGATAAGGGCGCTCCGACCGAGGAGGAGCATCGTCTCAAGGCCGTCACCAAGCCCAGGTGAGGCCGGCCGGGCCGGACTCGGACGGGCGGCCGACCGGCTGGAGGCCGTCGCCGTGTGGCGGCTGTGGCGCACGTGTGATTCAGGCCTGATCGCAGCCTGTCACGACGGACGCTGGGCATGGTTACAGTTTCCGGTGATCGATGCAACGCTGGGCATGGTTACAGTTTCAGGTGATCGATGCAACGCTGGGCATGGTTTACAGTTTCAGGTGATCGATGCAAGGATCATCTGCACGTTTTCTGGAGTCGGTTGGACGACAGATGTCGGATATCAGCTGATAAACGACATGCGCAATATAGCTTTCCAAGGACCAAAACGAGCCTTATGCCCGAAATGCGCGATTTTTGCAGTGGACGAAGACATCGTGTTGTTCTGGGTCTTTGCGAGGCTCGAAGTAACGATGCGTTTTGCCATTGAAGCTGATGACAAACGTGTACAGCGCGTGGTGAGGTTACATGCAGTGATCCATTGTCTCCACTGTCACAGTTACTTCTTGCACGCGAGTAGGGACGCCCGTTTTTATTAGTTCGAGCGTCAGAGACTGGTCAACAGTCGGCTCACGCGAGTCCTGCCATTTTCACCGCCATGTTTTGCCATGCACCCGCGTTTGGCGACCACCGCGCGCGTGCCAGCCCCCCCCCCCCCCCCCTCCCTCCAGCCGTCCGACATGTGACATCCCATCGCGTCGCTGTCACCGCAGGTACATGGTCTGGCGTGAGACTATCTCGTCCACTGCAAACCTGGGCTTCCGCATCGAGGGCATTCGCAAGAGCCAGGGCTTCTCCAGCAAAGACTTCAAGACTACGCGCTCCAAGGACCAGATCAAGGACGCCATTGTCATGTTCACTGACGGATATCCGAAGGCGGTGGTACGTGTCTGTTGCACGCTCGCACGCACGCACGCATGCATGTACGCACGTACGCATGCGCACATGCGCGCACGTATGCAGTCGTTTTCACCGCTAACCATCGTACAGGTGCGAACCCACAAGCCAGCTGCATCTGTTACACATCTGAACGCTTATCACATTGCACTGGACAAGGTCACAGGCCACTTTTCACTTAATCCGCCGCGCTCCGAAGTAAGTCAAGTGCAATGTTTTCTTACTGTTTCGGTAAGTGCACGCGTGGTGTATCATTGCCAGTGTACCTTGGTTTATGGCCGCCCGAGTGGGGTGTTCCCCGTTCAGCCGTCCCCACGATAGGACGCCTGTGTCCGAGACAGCGCCTGGGGCTGTCCGAGATTACGGCGGAGGTCCCCGCCCCACACACAAACACTCCAAAGCACCAGAGCCAGGCAGTCACGGCTTCAACAGGAGAAAGCTATTTCTTTTCCATTTGTGCATGTTTTTGGATGTCTTGATGACGGCCAGTGCAGAGGGGAGAGTGTTGTGGAATAAAGTTGGACGATGTATCCTCACATACGTCTCCGTACAGCGAGGTTGAGCCGGTTTCCGAACGTAGACACGTCATCAATATATACATCGGTACAAGTGTACGGCAGCACGGTGGTCTTGACTTCTGCGCTTCGGTGAGCCGTTGGCGTCTCAGCTAATGGATGTCGGTCCTGGTGTTCCAGCCTCAGTATCTCGAGCGTCTCAAGGAGATCCAGTCGGCACTGGAGAACTCCAGCTTCTTTAAAGCTCACGAGGTGGGTTACCTGCCTTCGTCTGATGTGCGTGCTCCATTAACGTCGGGATGTTGGACCTTTCTGCGGCCTGTCCTCATAACGCTCCTGACGAACCCGCCACCCCGCAGCTACCATGCCGTGGGGAGAGACGTTTGAACTGAACTGAACATGAACCACCACGTCCCCGCGTCATGTTTTTTAAAGTCCGTGAAAATTCGGCCGCTGCAACTGGCGGTACCAGGCACTGAGATGCGACCAACAGTTATTATCCACGTCCCCCGTCGTACGATGAACGACCGGTACCATAGACTTTGAGGGTCGGAGTGTGCACGCTCCAAACGACGCGGGAGGGGGGAGAGGACGACCCGCCCTCTGACCCGGCTATGGCTTCGAGAGAACGTAGACGGCTCCGTTTCCCGGCTACGGCTCTGGGCTGGCCGCGGTGCCCTCAGATGACCTGGGTATGGCTTGGTTGGACAGTTTCCGCGCCCCATGGCCCGGCTATGGCTCAGGGTTGACCGAGTTGCCACCCCTTGACCTCCCAGTGGTTTTTGGATGGTTTTGAGCGCTCCGTGGCCCGGCGGGCGTGCAGTGACCGGTGTCTGACCGGCTGAGCGCCCGTTGCAGTTCATCGGCTCGTCGCTGCTGTTCGTCCATGACGCGAACCACGCTAGCGTCTGGCTAATCGATTTCGCCAAGACGACTCCGCTGCCGGCCGGCGTCAGCATCGACCACCGGAGCGCCTGGCAGCCGGGCAACCACGAGGACGGCTACCTCATCGGCGCCGGCAACCTGGCCGACATCCTCTCCGAGATGGCGGCCGCCCGGATTGCGACGTAGGACGCGTTGGCCTGGCGTCCGGTCCAGGGGCCGCTGCCGGACGGCGGCGAGGTTCCGCCGATGGCCGCCAGGGGCGCCAGTGGCGACGCGGCCGGTGGGGACGACGGCAGGCCGGGCTGGAGTGGGAACTGCGCGGGACCGGCGAGATGGCCAGCAGGGTCGCAAGCCGAGCCGGTGGCGAGTGCTCCGGCCGCGGCGCGCGGTGTGCCGCTGAGGTCTGTGCGGAAGGACCGGGTCTCTGGAAGCGTGCCGGACCGCGCCGGGTCGACCCCCCCCCGCCCCCTGTGACCTCCGAGCCGACCGCTGCCGACGGCGAGGTCGACAGACGGCCGCCTGCTGTGGCGCCCGTCCCGACGCCGCGGTTGCGCCCCGCGCCGACGCCGGCCAACGGTGTCAGAGTCATGAGTCAGAGTCAGGACACAGAGGAGTCAGCCACACCATGTGCGGAGCTAATATCCGGCCCGTGACGCGGAAGGGTCGGTAGTGCCTGCTAGTGAGACGAGTGCCACGATTTGTACGCACGCCCCAGACAGCGCAGCCTGGGTGGTTCGGACAGAGTTTTATGCGTTATTTTTCCAACTCGGCTGTGGATGTTGTTTTAGGGCAAGACCCAATGACAGCAACGCGCTACCCACGGCGCGGGCTATGTAAGAAATTGCGAGTTACAGGTGCCTATCATTACTAAGTGAGACGTGGTGTGCAGCTGCCTGGACGACGTGCCTTATTGTCATGATCGAGCCCTCGCACACGAAGGTGCCTCGCTTTAGTACAGTGCTGTGCGCTGCCCGAGATTCCAGACGGAAGTTTTACCTCTATTTGACCGCGTGTGAGACCTGCTAACGTACAAACGTGCGGACTAGCCTATCGCCCCCTGGCCGCCAGCAGGCCGCTGCTGGACAGGCTCGGCGCCCACTACGGCGCACCTGTGTTGTAACCACTTGACGAAACGCTTGAACTATGTTGTATAGCCTTCCGCGAATCAAATAAAACGCGTACGAGAGGCTGCGTTGAGTTGAGCGTTCGCGCGGCGCTGGCAGCGAAGGGGGCGCACCGTTGAGCGGCGGGCGATGACACAATGCGACACGGACATAGTGAGGACATCGGTGCGATTTGCGTCACTAACGGCGCGAATTTCGTGCATATCAGCGGATGCATTGCGCCACCACTGCGAGGTGTCGGCCGATTCTGCGGCGCTAGCCGCGAGCCGGGGTGACCAGACGTGCGATGTCTGCATTGCCGGCATTTGCACTGAAACAGCGGCTGCAGGCAGGAACAACAAGCAATACGTCCGATCAGCCTTGCGGGGAGCTATCAGCTGCAGGCGAGGGGATTCGGACGATTGAATGGTGGGTGTTGTACCTCCGAGCGTGTCTCCGAGTTGGGTTCTCGCTGCTGTGCTGTAATAGAAACTGTAACCGGCCGGAGGAGTCAACTGTGAGAGCATTCCAGGTCAATGAGATGATATATGGAATACGGCACCGTGTTTCAGTGTCAGCTCCAGACACAGGAAGCTTGCTTGATGCGCTGGGTTGCACCTCAGCCCAGGTGAACGGTCTATTGGTAAAGTGTCTCTGTCGTTGAAGCTCCCGGATAACCTCCGGCCCGTCGCTTCTTTACACAAGTAACTAACGAGTACGAGTAGGCAACTGCTGAAGCTTTTCCAGGGTGCGGGTACCGCCTTACACCTCCGGCTCTGCAAAACGCGCTCTGCATGGCCATGCCATGCGGCAGGACCCCTCGCCCCTAGTGGCCGTCCAGCGTGGCGTTCGTCTTCGTTCTGGTCCCAGTAGCATCCATAACGAGACCGTTGGCGGACGGGACGTGTGTCACTTACCCCGTTTCCGTAGCCGCTCGTTTATTAGACGCGCCGCCAATGTCTCTGCCTTCCGTACCGCATTCAGGCAAAGGCGGTGCGGTCACCAACCACTCAAGCGGCCACAAGAGTGTAACCAATAACAATGCAGGGATACACCATGTCGCGAAAGGCGAACACGAACGCTGGGCCGTCATTTCAAATATATCAGTGGGGCGTTGAACCTCTCAGCTCTCCGGGGTTTCCTGCTGACTGTTCTCTGCGCTCCTTCAGCTCATTCTTGCTCCTCGTGTACACTTGCAAAGCCCTGTCTCACACCCCCACCATGTCCGGTACTTCCCACAGCCGGTTGGTCCACCAGGCACCCCCTCGATGCCCGGCCCGCCCCTCGCCCTCTCCGCCTGCGCCGTGGGTGCTGTTGGTGCTGTTGGTGCTGCTGGTGCTGTTACTGCTACTGGTCGGCGTCTTGGTCAGCACCGTGCCGAACAGCGCTAGACCGAAACCCAGCGCCAGCGACACCACGAAGATGACGAAGAAGTGGTGACGCACGACGCTGCTGGCCATGACGTCCGGATGACGGACGCACTCGTGGCCTGGGGAGGCGGGGGCGGCGTTATCAGGGGAACATGCTCCATCCTTACAGCCAGCACCGGTGCGCCGTTTGTAGACAACAGAACATGGATGAGCCACGTAATGGCTGCCATGAATGGAGAGGTGGAGTGAATACATTGGCTAGTGCGCTGCTCCGGCGTGTTTGCCGCTTTGCAAAGGAGCATCACTCGCAGTAAGAGTGCATGTCGCAAATAAGGGCGCATAATGGAACTGAAGGCGCACACCCAATGCACTAAAGGCAACTGAACATGCGATAAAGGTGTAAGGTGCAAATGAATGTGCGAATGCCGCTAATAAAAGACAATGTGGCTAGCCGGCCGGAACATACACTTTGCAATGGGATGCTATTGCAAGGCTTATTTCAGTGCAGCTGGAGCTGCACCACATCCCCCACCCCTGGCTCATGGAAGCATTTAAAAGCGTGCGCCAAACAAGGCGCAGTGCAAAACAGATGCACGGCACGATGGAAAGGGCGCGCGATAATGGTGCATTGCGCGAGACAAGCGAGCGTGGTGCCCTGCGGTGAGCACACTGCCAATACTCACAGCGGCAGGCTGGCGTTTCGGCGGCTTACTGACGACGACGAGGCACCCTGCCGCCGCGGCCAGTTGGAGCTGATGGAGGCGCTGGGGCCAGCCGGAACCAGCCGTCCAATGTGTGACGCCCGGTTTTTATGGCCGAGCACTCTTTCCCTCTTGACCATTGTAAGCTTGATGACAAATGGTGCTGGTTTTTACACGCCGTTGCCATGCACTTTCAACTCTGCTGCGGGTGTCGGGTACAGTGGAGCATTAACTTGCCGATGAGCAGTGGTAAGAATGCGGTTTAAGCGTCAACATGTTGTCTACAGGTATTTGCAAATTCAGCACCTGTCCAACAACCCCTAGTTGAGCCCCGACCATTTTACCAAACGGCACCACAGTCTTCGTAAACGCCCTCACTGCCGATATCCTGGTTTAGTGCCGCCGCCACGCTCTGTCCCTGCTTGCGTGGGCTGTCAGCGTTCCGTGACGCGAGCTCCCCGGGCCCTGCACACCGCACGGCAGCGGTCCTCACCGTAACATGGGGCGGCACCTGGCACCGGCTGCAGACGTTCCGAGCTTCACTCCAGCAACGCATGTGTCAAGCAAATGTCTGCAGAAACAGGCCACGCCGCGAACCTCACAGGTGCTGGTCAAAGGTTCGAAAGTCTCAGCTCTGTCGGGTCCCGTTGACCGCGCCACGTCAGTCGAGCCAGCACACCATTGTCACCTGCCCACAACGGCCACCCCGGCTCACGCCGCCGCATCCATGTTGGGCACCTGCCAGAGCCTGCTCGTCCACTGCGCTCCGAACTGGTCCGCGACCCGCTCCGCGTGCTCCTCAGTGCCACCACTGGTGCCGTTGGTGTTGTCGGTGTGCGAATCCGCCGAAGGCATCGCCGTGGTGAGGAACACCAGGCCCAGGGTCAACGCCAGCGTCACCGCGAGGATGATGTAGACGCCGTAGCGGGGGTCACCGGCCGTCATGGCGGCTGCGGAGGGGGTGACGGGCGGGCCGGCACACGGCGTCGCCTGGGGACGTGGGGCGGCACTATCAGGGGCAGCACACGTCTGAGCCTGGGGGCGTGGGGCGGCACTATCAGGGGCAGCACACGTCTGAGCCTGGGGGCGTGGGGCGGCACTATCAGGGGCAGCACACGTCTGAGCCTGGGGGCGTGGGGCGGCACTATCAGGGGCAGCACACGTCTGAGCCTGGGGGCGTGGGGCAGCACTATCAGGGCGAGCACACGTCTGAGGCTCGCGGCAAACCCGGCAGACTATCTCAGGACGGCTCCATGCTGAAGGACGACGACATGGAGAACTGGCGCCGGGATGCATAGTGAACGGCCCAGTTACGCATCACTGTGCTGGTGAGCATCGCGTCCAATACCGGTGCGAGATGTGATGCCCTTGTAACGATGCGCAGCGCAGCAGTGAAGGTGGACATATAAGTTGGCGAACTGTTTCACAGTGCGTTCCGCGGCGACCGGCAAGCGGCGCAGACGCCATCAGAATGCGCAGTGCACCGACTCAGCAGGCCGTACAAAGCCGTTGTACGCTACACGCGAACATGATGCGAGACACGTGCTCAGTGTCCTGTCCGCCGCGTGTCCCGTCCTGTCACGCCGGTACTCACGGTGAAAAGCCGGTATTCCAGCAGCGGTCGGCGGCGAGGCGCGCCGCAACTACAGCCAGGCTCAGACTGATTGGCGACACCAAGACGCAGCCCCCCCCCCCATTCCCCGAAACCAGTAACCGTATGTGTGGCGTCGGGTTTTTACTACTGAGCGCTGCCACCCTTCCTGCTCATGACAGTGCTGAGCACAACTGGTGCTAGTTTTTTCGACACCTTTACCACGCTCCTTCGGCTAAGTTACGAGCATTTGGTTAATACCGCCGCAGCTTAGCTATGGAGTCATCCTAGACGCCATTCTGAGTGCATAAAATACGTAAATTTGTTGCAGTTTTATGATTGTCAGACACCGACATCAGACAACATTATCAGACAACTCAAGTGAACAACGGCTGCGCGGATCTCGCCGGTCCCTCCCCCTCCAGGTCGGGGTCCCGCGTCAGTCACCGGACAGCGGGTGGTCCCAGCCTCAGAGTGCAGCACCGCGGCGGCCAGCGCCGGACCGTCAGGTGGCGGTCTGTTCGCGCGCCACCAGGGAGCCGCAGAGGCCGCGGGGTGCTGCAGTGGCCCTACACACAGCAAAACAGGCGTCTGCCGACTATATCGCGCAGCAGACGGTGACGACTCGGGATCAGCGATTCAGAGTCTCGGACGGTTGCCAGATGCTTCAGATTTCCGTCGGCTTCCGTTTATCGTTCCGCACATTATGTCGGCACATCGCTGCCGACTGGCCGCGCCTCACGGTGCCGGCTGGCACCTTCTCCATTGCCGTTGGCACATCCCAGAGCTGCAGAGGCGGGCCATCTACTCAACATTACCTCCGTCATCGTCCCAGTGTCTGCTCCAGTCTCCTCCTCCGCCTCCGTGTCTGCCCCGGGTCTTTGTGTCCGCCTCTGCTCCATTCTCCGTCTCCGTCTCCGTCTCCGTCTCCGCTCCGTCTCCGTCTCCGTCTCCGTCTCCGTCTCCGTCTCCGTCTCCGTCTCCGTCTCCGTCTCCGTCTCCGTCTCCGTCTCCGTCTCCGCTCCCGCTCCCGCTCCCGCCTCCGCCTCCGCCTCCGCCTCCGTCGCCGCCTCCGCCTCCGCCCCCTCCCCCGCCTCCGCCTCCGCCTCCGCCTCCGTCTCTGACCCCGCCCCCGCCTCCGTGTCCGACTCTGGTCCAGCCACCGTGCCCGCTGCCCCGCGCGGCCCCGGCGCGCCGCTCGTGGACGGCATCGGTGCCGTTGACGCTGTTGGCCTCCGCCTGTGCCGCCTGCTGCTGCAGCACGCCGCCGAAGAACACCAGGCCGCTGCCCAGCACCAGCAGCACCGAGCCGATGATGTAGGCGTTCAACAGCGGGTCGTCACCACCCCGCATGGCGCCGACGGCGGCAGGAGGCGGACCAGCGCGGTCGTACCTGAGCAGCGGGCTGGGGGTCACTGGAGAAGATGGCAGCGATGCCCACAGCGGACACCGGACAGTGGACGGGGGCCGGGCACACACGCTTCACATGAGATGTACATCGTCTCCAGACGGTCACGGAATGTGGATGCATATTCCATAGCCATTGGCATCCACGGAGAGAGGAATGGGCCAATGAAGAATGCGCTCCGTTGCAAGGGCTCACTGATCACCCTGCAACAGCGCGCACTGTGCTTTAACTCAGTGCACGTTAGTTGGGACGCGCAGTGCATTCTTTTGTCCCACATTACGCTGCGGGGTAAATTATCGGCGAGAAGAGTGCATCACGTGCTGCACTAGTCTATAATGCGCTGTGCTAGCTATTGGAATGCAGTGCGGCTTCTCGGCAATGGTACACAGCGCTGCGCAATGATGCATAATGTGCCACAGGGGCGCGACAATTACACGGGCACCCAGTGCGCCGTAAGCCTGCGCACTCTGCAAGCAGTGACGTTTTTACACGGCTACTGCGCAAGATAAGCGTCGCCAGGACACCGCTGCGTAGAAAGCCTGGTGCGTGTACTCACCGCGGTCGGGTGTCGCCGCAGCGGCCGGCTGCCGGCGCCGGGCCACACTGTTGCCGGCGCAGCCCGGATCAGGCGGCAGCAGCGGCGAGCCCGCCGCCGCCACCGGTCGGCCGATGTGTGCCGTCGAGTTTTTTACAGCCGAGCTCTTCTGTCGCTCCCGGTCTGGGTGGCGGTCCAGGAGACAGGCGATAGCTTGTCAGGGTGGACGTCCCGTACTTCGCAGCCGTGGTTCTGCCGTCACCCTTGTTGGGTTGCCTGTACAAACAATGCTGCCCAGTCACGACTCTGCCTTGTTCCGGATGCAGCTCCGAGTAACTACAGAACGAGGCGATCCAGTCCTTCATACACGAACCGCTCATTCGCAGTCCATTTCAATTTCAGTTGTGGTTGAAATTCATTCATTTAATTCATTAAAGGTGCATTCATTCTTTCAGTCATTTAAGGTGCATTCATTCATTCAATCCGTCCAGTTTTCCTCTCAAAATTCAATTCATAGTTGCGTTGGAGTGAGCTCTCGACACACGTGGGTTGGGCTCTCCTTCCAGGCCCGGGCCTCTCACCAGTTTTTCACCCGCCCGCAGTAGCCGGCGTGCGACCGGCGCACCCCCCCCCCCCCCCCCCCCTCCTCCCTAGCGTAATGCCGCACTGGTCTGCATCACAACGGTGCTCTGCAAAGCTTCGGCCACGATGCCGGAAATGCCGCAGCGCATGCCACGAGCAAAGTGCCGAAACGTCAGCCAGGGGTGGGCTGGCAATGTTCTGTCCGCACTTTTCCGAGTTGGCGCTCCACCGTTTCCGTACAGCAAACGATATAGAACGGGAGCACTTCAGCATTCCGTGAACTTAACAAATGGAACGCGCGGCAGTTCCAGCGACAACCTGTCGAGACGGGCCAAACAACACTGGTCCAACGTCGGAGAAACTGTATTCGGCGGCGGAAATAAACATCTTAAAACAAGACGACATTCAATGCTGCGTAGTAAGGCCCTTAACCACGTAACAGCACAGTCCCAAGGCCACCGCAAAGTGCGATGAACCAGCACGTAACGATACACCCAGCGACCGCGTTTACGGAGTATCGCATCGCGTATGCTGACAGGCGCCCACTGCTTGGAAAGCCACGGCCCCGCGCGGGGGCCAAGGCCGCGACGCGGGCCTGGCCCGGCGGTCGGAACACGAGAGGACGCTCTCCAGCGGATTTCAGCAACTGTCCAATTATTTCACAAAGCATAAATTCGCCACACCCGTCAGCCAGCGTCGGCCCCCGCGCCCGTCCCGTCAAGCGGAGCGGAATGGAGAGTGATCACCGCCGGGCCGAGTCAAGTCGATGACGTGTCGGCCCGCCGAGCGCGAGATGACGTCACGCAGCGTGTCCGCCGCGCACCCTCGCCTCGGCGCCGGCATTCCGACAGCACTGATGGCCCCGGCACCCGCACTGGTCAGCGCCGCCTCTTCGCCGCCAGCATGAGCAGCTGCCGTGCTTTCTCCTGAGGCCGAGCCCGCACCGGTGCCGCGGTCAGGCGGCGGCCGCTCCGACCCCCGGCACCTCGACCCGCCCGAGCGCCGCGCCCTGAGGGCTCCCCCGGCCAGCTGCTCCTAGGCGGCCTCCCCCACCAGCTGCTGCAGATGTCGGTACTCGGCCAGGCCGTCGGCGGCCACGCCCAGCCGGCCGATGAGCCGGCCCAGCTCGGTCACGTCCAGCGCCAGCTGACGCCGGATCTTGTCGTCGTCGGTGGCGCCGGCCGGCGCCGCCGGCGCCGTCGCGCGCGCCTTCTTCAACTTGCGCAGCGACTCCTCCATCCGCTGCACGGAGGTGAGCACCTGGCCGACCCGCTCCGCGTACCTAGAGGGGGAGAGGGAGGGGCGTGAGGCCCAGCGGAGGACGCGACGGCGTTACGTGCGAGCGGACACCACCGGACAGGGCGGGCGACAACACAGCACTGGACATATCGCCAGGCCGTCCCCCGGCGCTGGCGATACGCTTCCGTGAAACGATGCCAGCATGTTGGGGGATGTCAGTGCGCAGTCTGAAATGTACGCGCCATGCTGGCCAAGGGTACAGCGGTTGCCACCAAGGTTTTGTCCCGCTTACACCTCGGACACCCATCAAAAAGTCTCCACATTTTCCGTTACCAAAGCGCGCGATTCTGTCCCACCTCCCAGTCCGGCAGCCGGTGGTGCGTACCGCCCCCGCCCTCCCACCGCACGCCTTCAAGCGGCACCGCGCGACGACGGCGCGCGCGCAACGCTCTCCGCACACTCACAGGGTGCAGAGCTGCGTCACCACGCCGGTCAGGTAACGGGCCGTCAGCGCCGGCTCCAGCCGCGCACACACCGTGCCCGAGAAGTGCTCGAGCGGCGCCACCATCGCCGCCACGTAGCCGGAGGCGGTTGTGGGCGGGTCGCGGTTGGTGCGTCGGTATAGGCGCGGGATGTCCATCACCACGCGCATGGCGGCCGTGGCGTCCGACAGCAGCGACTCGGTGTAGACGCCGGTGAGGCGCGGCGGCAGCGCGCGCAGCCGCACCGCGCCTGTCTCCAGGCTGTCTGAAGGCGGGGCGAGGGGGCGCGCTCACGGACCAGCATGGGGGCGGGCGTCTTCGGATTTTTCTGCGTCAACCGTATTCGATGTCTGCATCTCAACAACGTTTAGTACGCAACAGATCGATTTATATAAGCACAGTCAAGACGAAAACACGCGCCTGATCTCCTAATCACACGGCGCCAGGTTCCCCATTGTCGGACAAGGCGGGTTAATACCTCTCATGGACTGGACGGCTTCGTCGGGAATCTTAGGCACCATCGGCAGGACAACCGCGTCGATGAACGTTTCCAGCTTCTGGGAGAGGTCAGCAATGTCCGACAAATAACGCACGCAGTCCTCCAGGCTCAAGCCGGCCTTCTCCTTCTCCTGCAAAGACCAACAGGTAACAAGCTGATGCCACTGATATCGATCCGCAAATGAGGATGTAACGAAAGCAGAACGTCTGTAAACCAGACATGTTAGGACTTTGCTCAAAAGTCAATGACGCGCCAAACCAGCTGACAGTAGATCACGGCTTCTGGCCCCATCCCGTAGGCAGCCGGGTGCGAGCCCGGGTCGGCGCCGGAGCACCTCTCTAGCGTCCTGGCCCGCCGACTCACCCCGTGCTCGAGCCGGCCGCCCAGCCAGGTGCTGTAGCGCGACACGATCTGGAGCGACAGCTGCCAGAAACGGTGCGTGAGCGGCCGCAGGAAGACGTCGCGGCCCCAGCAGCGCCGCAGGGCGGCCCACATGGCGGCGGCCGAGTCCGGCCCGGCCAACGCCGACTCCAGCGCGCCGCCGATCTCCTGCAGTCTAGGGACACGGAGAGAGAGGGGGTTACACAGGAGGCCCGGCCAACGCCGACTCCAGCGCGCCGCCGATCTCCTGCAGTCTAGGGACACGGAGAGAGAGGGCGTTACACAGGAGGCCCGGCCAACGCCGACTCCAGCGCGCCGCCGATCTCCTGCAGTCTAGGGACACGAAGAGAGAGGGGGTTACACAGGAGGCCCGGCCAACACCGACTCCAGCGCGCCGCCGGTCTCCTGCAGTCTAGGGACACGGAGAGAGAGGGGTTACACAGGAGGCTCGGCCAGCACCGACTCCAGCGCGCCGCCGATCTCCTGCAGTCTGGGGACAGAGACACTGGGTGATCTCCTGCAATGTCTTGCGGTCTTACGCCGCCGTCTAGGGAGGAGGAGGCGGGGGGTTACGCGTGAAGGTGCGCGCGGTCCGTCTCCGAGAGCCTGGACGGCAGGAAGGAACACGAGTCACAACCAAGACACTGGGCAGCCGGGACAGCGGCGGAGGGAGGGCAACACAGACTAGCAGGCCCAATCCAGCTTTCGATGTCGAGCCATGTCATATCGGGTCAGGTCAGGACAGGACAACCCAAGCCAGGTCAGGTCAGGTCAGGTCAGGTCAGGTCAGGAAGGACAGACAGCGTCACATGGTCGGACCACAATCCGCATATCTGGAGTCTCCAGAAGTCTCGACAAGGGTCGAAATAGCATTATACGCATTCCTGATGACCTGATATTCCACACACACGGAACAGTGCTAGTTGTGGAAGACATGCTTCATCCAAAAGAGCCAGTACCTAGTGACGTAGAGTACATGCTAGCATACTTGCATCGCAGTCCCCATCACCCCACATGAGCTTACAATTGTCGCCATTGTTCGGCGATCCCTACGTCGCACGCGTCCACTCAGCTGACCTGATCTGGTAGTAGACAGGCAGATTCCAGCGCTTCATGAACCTGTCGTAGGCCTCGTGGTTACGGAGTCTCTCAACGCTGGCTGCCGTGCCGCAGGCCGCCTCGAACTCCTCAACAAAATCCATGCTGGCCGTGTAGCGCTGAGGATCACCAAACCGGCTAAAATTACTCGCCTACAAGCCGGGTATTTGTCGCGTGTCACTCACAGTATCCTGATAGCAAACAGTGACATATACATACTCGTACATTATCGCTAACAATTCTGCAAACTGCACCACTGGAATTCATCAACAGGCATCCCCTGCTGATGTGTGCTGCAAGGGCAAATAAACTCAGTCAACCTTTCACGACCTCAGGCAGCTTAACAGCCACTGAAGGGCCGCTGGTGTCAAGTCTCGGCAAAACACAGCATGCCAGGGGTCGGGTACGTGTTGTGGCGCGTGCCCCTCGGCCGGCGCCTCCGGCAGCCCTCCCCCCCCCCCCCCCCCCCGACGGACCTCGAACAGCGTGTTGGGGTTGCCGGGCGCGTAGATGACCGGCAGCTCGTCGTCCAGTCGCTGGATGATACACGGCCAAACGGCGTTCACCAGGAAGTCGTAGCGCGGCCCGGTGTGGGCGCTGCGGCGCGAGAACAGGTCAGACCACGCAACCACAGGTCAAACCACATGACCACAGGTCACAGCACGTGACCACGTGACCACAGGTCTAACCACGTGACCAAAAGTCAGACCACGTCAACACGGGTCTAACCACGTGACCACAGGTCAGGCCGCGTAACAACAGGTCTAACCACGTGACCACAAGTCAGAACACGTGACCACAGGTCCAACCACGTGACCACAGGTCAGACCATGTAACCACAGGTCAGACCATGTGACCACATGTCTAACCACGTAACCACAAGTCAAACCACGTGACCGCAGGTCACACCACGTAACCACAGATCAAACCACGCGACCACAGGTCAGAACAGGTCGCCACGGGTCAGACCAACCGACGACAGGTCACGCCGCGTGACGCCGCCGATCGGCTGCGATCAGTCACGGGCCACGATGGCCGCCAGGCCAGCCGCGCCGGTGCCCCTTTCCGCCGGCCGCGCGTCGACTAACCCGTGCTCTCGGCGCGTGACGGCCACCAGCAGCTGCGCGTGCTCGGGGACGAAGCGCAGCACGTTCTGGAGAAGGCCGCGGAGGCCCCGCGGCTCGTCCCGCAGCGCGGCCGGCGAGATCACCTCGGCCATGTACGGCTCCACCACCCGCTCCCGGAACAGAGACTCCGCCTCTGTCACCTGCGGCAGGGCACGCCGACACGGTCACTGGCGGGGGTCGGCGAGAGTGACCGTTGAGGCAGGGACAGACGGCTGACGGCAGAGCACGGCCGCACCCACCGGCGACGAGAGAGGGTCCGATGGCATAGCATCCTGCGGGCGGCAACCATGACCGCGGAGCCGGGCCCGGTCAGTCTACGGGGATCGGCCACAATGACATGGCAGCACCGAATCCACTGACGCGGCACATCCACCAGACCGGTCGCCCGCACGGCAGACGGACTGAGAGGCGGACGGACCAGGGTCCAGCACCCGACGCTAAGCCCCATCCTTCCGATCACCGACAGGCCGCGGCTGCGGCAGCCCGCATCAACGCATGGCAACCAGTACGACCTCCACCCAGCGCCGAACCCAACTACCAGGCGAGGGAGCGGCTCCAACCGGGGACCGCGCCGCTCGCAGCGGCTCCGACCGGAGGCTGCGCCGCTCGCGGCGGCTCCGACCGGAGGCTGCGCCGCTCGCAGCGACTCCGACCGGAGACTGCACCGCTCGCAGCGGTTCCGACCGGAGGCTGCACCGCTCGCAGCGGCTTCGACCGGAGGCTGCGCCGCTCGCAGCGGCTCCGACCGGAGGCTGCGCCGCTCGCAGCGGCTACGACCGGAGGCTGCGCCGCTCGCAGCGACTCCGACCGGAGGCTGCGCCGCTCGTAGCGGCGCTGCGCCTCACCTGGTCCAGGGTGGCGAAGATGCGCAGCACGTGCGCCAGTCGGTCGGCGTCAGCCTGGTCGAGAGCCGCCAGCAGGCCGTGCTGCAGCCGCGCCGACAGCCGGCCGGCCAGCTCGCGCACACGCGGCTCCAGGCGCGCCACCAGCGCGGCGCCGCCGCAGTGCGAGAGCGCGTACGTCAGCTGGTTGTACTCGGAGGCGGCGCGCTCCACCACGTCGCCGTCCTGGCCGGCGGGCGGCGGCGGTCAGTGCAGCACTGGGGCCGTGGACGGGAGCGGGACAGGACGATGGAACCAGGAGTCGCGGAGTCGAGGGCAGCCAGGAGGCTGTATATGGTGTCATGGTATGTCGAACGAAGGCACTTCGCATTGGCGGGCATGCGAGACCAATCAGCGCAAGGAGATGTAATACGGCGCCACTGGGTGTCAAGACGTATCACAAGAGGCCATCTATCAGACATGGTCAGCCGCAGACGCGTATTACAGCGCAGCTGTTCACAAAAAGTTCAAAGTTCAACGAAAAACAAAAGCGATACAAAATTCCACGGAATCGAAAAACCTGAAGCCGTGTACGCGGTGCCGAGCTGTCCTGCGCGCAGAACCGAGCAACGCACCTGTTCGCCGACCGCGTCGTCACCAGAGCTGCTGAGCAGCACCTCCAGCCGCTCCAAGTAGCCGGGCAACGAGCCCAGCAGGCGCAGGTACTGTTTCTGCGCGCGCACCTGGTGCAACCTTGTCAGCCGCCAGCCCGTCTGCTCCAGCAGGTCATCAAACGAGCGGCGCACGCTCTGCCGGCGGAGACGGACCGGGTGACGCACGGCCCGGCCCGCACCAGACGTAACCACGCGGGCACAACCGGTACCTCTAAGTGATGCCATTCAACCAGCAGCATATCGTTGGTAGGAACCCAAACAACTCTGCTGCGACGATCACAGTTGTTGACTGCGGCGTGTTGACTCGATGATCTGCTTATAACGGAACCAATGTTGCGATGCCATGCGGGGTAAGTAAAAGATGCTACCCACATCAGGACGGCAGCATCACCTCTTGGTCCCCAGATGGCTACACTATCAAACACCTACCAGAACCTCCTCCCGGAGCTGCCCGAGGGGCATCTCCAGTTTGCTGATGCTGGCATCCAGTCCGACCAGATTGGACGAGAGGTTGACAAAATCGGCATAGTCCCGGTTGATCAGATCAATCATGGATGAGCGCAGCACCTTGAGATAGACGCCCAGATCGGTTCGAAGGCTCTCCAGGCCAGTCTGCTGCCTGTACCGCAGCACAAAGCCATCCACGCTAAACTCATCCTGAAATGTTTATTTATACATCAGTCAGCAAGTCAAGTCTGTGCTCATGTACCACTCACAAAATTATTTGATAACCCTTCACAGCCACCTTCAAACTGCTGGCACAAAATGGCTGGAGTCCCAGTAACAAGCCTAACCGGGAATTGAACAGAATGGGTCCAGAGAAAGAGCCTTACTGAATACAACCACTATGCATCACAAAAGTTATTCATGTGTCACCTACAAACTCAGGGGAAAAAGAAACAAGCTAACATCACTTTACACCACTGAATCATACATTTCTCAATACATGATGAAATAACTGAACATCAAACAATATGCCAATCCAGTATTGTTATTGACCAGCAATGTTAACATCAACATTAATGGAAATGAAAGGTTTAATGACAGGGCAAGCATACTATATTTGACATGTTCAAGATAAGCATGAACTGTGAAAGGCTATACCTGCACCCATATACACCAGAAACAGCAATGATATGCTTCACAATTTTTTTGACCACTTTTTTGAAAAATTTGACCACTGGCTCAACAACTGCACACTAGCAAGCAGCTCCTGTATATCAAAACCATAAATGCTTTAATTCATGCCTTAAAGTTCACTGCAAATTCATACTGCATCTTGTGGGAAACCTTGCAACCAGAGTCTACAGTGAAAAATTGAGATCAGTAGCATGCCATGCATATTCCAATATGTAATATATGCATGCATGCACACACACACACACACACATGCACACACATGTATATATATACCCATATATATGTGTACATATTATATGTGTATGTGTACACATGCTATATATATATGTATGTATGCATGCATCACATGGTGAGCACAGCATAGGCATAAGAAGATGCAAAATAGCATAGGGAAATTTAGGGCAGCCTCATTCACTTCAAAAAAGGTTTATCATCTCGCTTTCTGTCTCAAGTCATGTCACATATGTGAAATACTTCAAACATTGCTAGCTTCAGACAGTGCCAAGACAGGAAAGCATAACAAAGCAAGTTGCAGAAAACAGCAGCCTTTAAAAACACTATAAAAACTTTTTAAGAAGTATAGAAAAGTACTTCAATTGACACCAATAACGATACATTTAAATTCTGATAAGTGCTATAATCACCTTGAAAAACTCCTCCTTATTAAAGCAAAGCTGCGAGGAATCGAAGCCAATAATGTCCTTCATCTTGCGTGGCTGTGGGACGTGAACACTGACTCTAGGTTGACAAACAAAATCCGAACATTACTTATGACATAAGCAACTAAGTTTTTTGACGCTGAGTTTCGCTGTATCCCTGTCATTTCTCCAGCTCAATATACCAACACATTTACAACTGATCCAATTCCGAAGAAATACTCTGCCACCAACACCGAGACTAAACGGAAAACCAACAGGAAATATTAGGAATTTGGTATGCTAGGAGCGGCGCCTGCTAACAATATCTGACCACCTGACCACGATTAAAACGCCACAAATGAAACAGCAGTGTCGGGACTGTAGAAAATTTCTAGACGATGTGGAACCTAAATATTTATATTTTTACTTTTTCATATTTTTCATAAATTGTTCATAGGCTTAAAGCTTACTTTTCAATACATAAATAGCAACTTAATTTTGAAAACCATTTCAGAATTGATATTGAATGCAGAAAGGAGCGAATGGCTTTGAAAAGCTCAAACTTTCTTTATCGCAATATTAGGCTGGAAAGGAATTACAGCCAAAATGAGACAAACAGCTTATCCGGCGCGGCGAAAAAGACGTGTATAAAGCATGCACAGTTTGTAATAGTGCAGCATCAAAGTATAGGCGGCATATGTTTGGATTAGTAGGTGTCAGGCTTCGGGTGTTAGTAAGGTAAAATTAAGGCCTAAATTTGCACTCCATTTATTTTAGGTCAGCTAGGTACGATACAAGTAAAATTTACACGTGGATAGTTGGGGATCCGCAGAGAAATCCTGTTATTGGATCCTTTGCTAGGACGCTTGGTAGGTCATGACGTACGTGACTGCAAAAATGCGTGTGCGCTGAACGTGTTCAGTCTAGCAGCAACAATGGAGGATCATTCTCAGTGTATACACACTGTAAATGATAGTGGCCAAGTTTGGTGTACAGTTGTTGCTAATGTTGGTGCATTGTGAAGTAATCTCGTGAGATCAGTGTGTTAGCAATTGTACCAAAAAATACCCCAAGTAGATATTATGGCAAAATGTATTGGAAGATTGGCCACAAATCAGGTTGAACTGACCAGTGCTCACCTGAGCTGCATTCAGCATATCAATGTCACTTTGGCATCTGTTGCAGTGGATGATCTTGCGCGGACTGGGTGGGGAAAGTCAGGCTGTGAAAGATACATGTTAGGTGGAACTTGTCTAGCATAGCAACAACTTCATGGTAGCAGTGTCTGTGCATGCATAGTAGAAATTTGGGGGCCCTTGATTTAGTGCATGGCTAACACCTATTTCAGCTCATTGAGAGCCAATGTTGGAAGGAATTGTGTTGAGATAATTTTAACAAAAGTCCTCTGCAAGTTCAGCTGTTAGGCTGACCTGAATTACGTGAAGCTGCACTTTACGTTCAGCTCAAATATGTCATTTAATTGTGGAAGGGAGTGGATACATTTTTTCATGCTGGGGAAGAGGAGGGGTGTAATATACTATGCCTACTTATTTGATGTTGCCATGTGGAAGGTCTGTGTCAGCATACCTTTCAGCTGTTAAAAATTGTGTCACTGCTGTCACTGAGGAAGCAAGTCAAGGAATCTATGATTTTACCAAATATTTTTGCATTATCAGAAACTGGCTTACATGTAACTAAGGACACCCCTGATTGTCATGGGGACTGGTATGTGTTAAGTTGTTATTAGGTCAGCTTTAAGGCCAATTAATGAGCTTGCTGATAGCAGTTATGAGTATTGAGAGGTGGCCACTGGGTTTGCTTCTTATTCTGAATTGATAGCCATGCATTGTTTATGCCTTGGGCAAAATTTGGCTTCTTTTCCAAAGTTACACTGTTTTGGTCCAACTGGCATGGAAATGGCAACCTGAAACTACTCAAATGGGCTGATTATCCTGCAAGAATATATTTATTTCCATAGAAAAACAATTATTGAGGATATTATTGCAGATAAGTACAAAGGGAAATAAGCCTTTTCAGGACTTCTCTCTGCATATGTAGTTTATACATAAAGGTTGTCTGGCATTTGAGTTGGCTGTTCTTCAGTCTTATTCATCACAAAGGCTAGGTGCAAAATGTTGGGTGTGCTAGTTTGGTGCTAGGTGGGAGGTGTGTTCAAAGAACAAATCATAAGGTCTACTTAATGAGTGTTCTCAACCTTAAGATGCATGTTCAAACCTTTGAGTGAAAAGTTCTACAAATATGATGTGCATTCAGGCATTAGCCATATTTGCATAACAATGCAAGGAAATAAAGTCAAGGTAATTTATAAGGTGTGGTAGATATCTGGCATTAAGGTTCATGTTCTGATATTGGGCATACCAGTGGAATGTGCTGAGGAGTATGCTGCACAACCATGAACTTCAAAGCCTGAGTCACATTTTCCTTGACATTACTCTTAAATATCTTTTACCTCATCTCCATTTGGTCCATTGGTTATGAGTGTTAAACCATTTCTGTATAATGGGTGTAGAAACAGTCTGGAGATTTGAGACAAATGATGGTTGGTGTGAGCATGACATTTGGCAGGGTTATCCTGACCTAAAAATGATATTTTTGATAGGGAAATGTATGAAAGAAGTCTCAGTGGAGATGTTATTAGTGTTCTCAGCATGGAAAACATGCATTCAATAGGCAACATTGGAGAGGTGCAGGATCATATGTTGTAAAAGTGGAGGTGTCACCCCCTAGCCCCCAGCACCTGTATTGTTTCACTCATTCCATGTGACACTTTCCATGCTCATGTTGTATCCTGTACAAAAATGTCAGGCATAACTATGGTTAAAATTCAGGTATATGTGGAATGGTAACTAACCACAAGACAGTGTGTTAAGAATTCACCTTATGGTAGGTTTGTGTGCATATTATTTTATTACGTTACTAGCTCCAATAGATGTGGTCAGCCTACATGCGACTACTTATATTGCACACATTTATAACAATGCAGACATTTCTCAAATAGATGTCTTGTCTTTTGCAACTGAGTTTAAAAATTAAGGTTTGAGAAATGATGATGGTAATTATGAGCAGAAGTAAGACACATTCTGACTCAGTTTAGAAATCATGGAGGCTATTAGCATAATGGCGCAGCGCCCAGCTCCACCACACGTGCTCATAGTGACATGTCGCTTAAAAACATATGTCCCAGGGGCGTCGTCGCGTCGTCGTGCAGTTGCACTTCTGGCATTAGCAAATAGTACACTAAACAACCATTGAAGTGGCATTTGGATTGATCCTCACTTCAGGATTGTATCTGGATTGTGGTTCACCTCTTATGTGGTTTCAGTAACCAACAAGGACATGGTTTTACCCATGCCTTTGAGCACTTGGGGATTTTATGACTGGGGTCTTTTCTGGGTTGCAAAATGCATCATGCGTGACCCCAAATCAAATTCGCACGGAGATAGACGTATCTCAAAACCACTTATTGTCACACTGATGTCAAAAAACTCAGCAAGGAGTATGTTGCAGCCCTATCATTTTGCCTGTGTCATATCTCCCAGGTGGACTGGTTAGGGTTTCACACACCTGGCGTGGCTGCAGAACGGCTGCTCCCAGGGCATGTCAATCCTCCTTGGCTTATTGCCAGCTGACCTTTCCACGTCAGTTGAGCCAAACACTGATCCCTCCCAGAGTCACACTCATTGCCAGTGGATTGCATGTCAAGTGCCTCTCCTCCAGACCATAGAGATGGCCTGCACGTGTTAGTGGCTTTGGAATGAGACTGCCCTGCTATACTCTACACTAAGAGGACAGTTGATAATGCCATCAGCAAATTTGAGGGGATGCCATGGTGATGGCACATACCATGGTGATTGCACATGACATGGTGATTGCACATGCTATGGTGATTGTACATGATATGGTAGTTGCCCATGTCACAGGGACTGCATGCACCTTGGTGATTGCACACAACATGGTAATTACACATGTTATGGTGATTGTACATAATGTGGTAGTTCAACATGTCATGGGAATTGCACATACCATGGTGATTACATACTTCATGGTGATTGCACATGCCATGGCGATTGCATTTAATTGGCATTGCACATGCCACGGTGATTCGTTTTATGGAACGCCTACGATTACGGTGATCATGCTCGTGCTAAGGAGGCATGGTGTAGCGGAGAGTGGATCCCAGGCCATCCCCGTGGGAGTCGCAGGTCACAACCTCTAGAACATCGCGACCTCTCCCCTCACCATTGTGAATGTCATCTGAAGCGCTGGCTATCCCAGCTCTCAGTCGGAATGCAATTTCGATTTAATTTGTAGAGCAGTTTGGCAATGAAATCGGGACGGCCGGCTCTCTCTGCAGTTGTCGCCTCTGAGGTTATGCCGTTAGTCATGCTGGTTAGTTCCAGTACGTGCTGCGCTCGTAATCTGGCGCCACTAGTTTCACGTTCCAGAGCGCAGAACGTGCGCAAACACCTGAGACATAGATCGTATCGGTTGGACGCGCAAACAATCAAGGTTGAGCAAGTATGCGAAATGTATTGGATGGCTTTGAAATCTTGTTAATTGTCAGTCCTACGTAAAATGCTTATCAAAAGTTCTGGCTCCGTAATCCGGTGCTGTCGGGAACCGGTTGGCCGTCGCGTGCCAAAACTGTGGCGTGATCCACAGCATCGTGTTGTGGCGGGGTGGGCCGAAATCTGCATTTTCATAAGGAACGTTGTGCGGTTTTGTTGAGATGCGCAATACCAGTTTGCAGACACAGTGTGCAGGAGGTGAGGAGACTAGTTTGTGCAGCTGACGGGTGCTAGTCCAGGCTAGAACAGCTGGTGCTCCCCATATTCAATAATTTTGTTTTAGATGCATTAATTATTAGTTAGAATGACGTTGGGCCACCTCCAACTTCGTAAGCGCCAACGCCCACACATTTTTTTTCGGACGTAACTATAAGATGATTTTATGGATTCTTGATATGACATAGAAATGTTGTGGATTGAGGTCACTTGTAAAAACACGTGTTGTTGGGGGAATGCTGGATAAACACACACACATTCTTTTAGCCTTTGGTAGTTATGCTGAAAGCTTTCATTCGGTATTACACGTCACATGTCGTTGAAATAATATATTTTATTATTATGAATGGGTTCGAAGTCGGGCTCGTGTCTTTTTTTAACCCTGGGCTCACCGAGTCTGCTCCTCTCTGTGAGTGAGACCGGCGCTCTTTGAGATATACGAAATGGACGCGAAAATGGAAATGTGACCAAACACACACCTGTTGAGGATGGCATGCGCTTGAGGTTTTGTGATTTGTATAGTGCAAGCCTTCTAAATTGAGTCTTTTTCCAGGTGATCGAGTGGAATCATCTTGTACGGGCCACAGCAGATGAAGATGGAATAGATAAGCTTCTTCGTGCCTAAATATTACTATCAAATAGGTAGTTTTTATATTTGCAACGTCTCTTATCATTGTCTGTTTTTTGTATTTGAGCGGCGCCATGACATTTTTAAAGTCGTGGCCAGAATTTGAGAAGGCTGTCGAGCATCTGTATCTAGCGAACCCAATGAAGGTAAGAAATTATTTTTGAAATGCTAGACTGATAACTTTAAGGTCCGCTGTAACGTCCTCGCCGCCGGCAAAAGCAGCTCATCGTGTACCTGTAGTTATCCCTTTCCATATAAGAGCGTTGTGTGTAATATACCAACCCGTCACGCTGCCGATATCGTGCATTGAGATGCTTCAGTTCTGTTTAGAACCTGCCGTAGTCTGCACAGTGTGATCTCACCACCTCCCAGTCAGCAATGACGGGCGTGATAAGCGCAGTTAGCTGGGGCAGCCCCCGCTCAGAGCACATGTAAACACATTTTGCACGCTAGATTTGGGCTTTAAGTGATGTTCACTCGGCAATAAGTTTTCGACTATAGCTTTAGACACTCTGACAACTGAGCGTGGGTGACTTTCAGGGAACAACAAACAGAACCAGCACGCCGAAACGTAAACCCGGATCTCACTGTCACGATGTGCTCTAGCCATCTGTGCAACGCTGAGCACATGTTAATGGATAAGCACGTTTTTATCAACAGAACATTTGTAGGGAAGCCCCTAATATGTTAGCGCAGGGGACGAGTCAAAGAACCACCCGGTGCACACTAAAAAAAAAAACAACAGCAGAAAAACAGACGAATGAGCTCGTTCAGGTTCGGGCCAAGTAAACTGCAATCAGGTTTCTGTTGGAGAAACGGCTTAATAGTAAAGCTTTACCATCCGCAGGCGCAACTATCAAGGACATGATTCGGTAAAGGGACCTAAAATGCCGAGAGCGTAGATGCGGGCTGCTGGAGGTAAATCGAGCAACGTGATATGAATCAGAGCAGCACGTATTCATTGTGGTGCGTGGTAGTGTATGTACTATGCCCAGTAGACAAGAGACGCCATATGTACTCCGTCGGCAAGCCATTTGTTTAAGGGAATGTGCCACATTTGAAGATGTTGAAGCAAATATCAGACGTGATGAAATAAGCTCACTCTTAGAGCTCTTTGTATGCTTTTAAGTAGAAAAGACTGCTCTAGACAACACATTTTTTTCTTTTTAGTAAATATTCTCTTTAATACCTTATTTATTGATTTCATCATCGTACCTTACACAACATCGATTGAGAGCACGAGCGCTGGAAATCGTGCACACGAAAACCAGATATGAACGACTCGACAATTATGTTTTCCAGGACCTCAATCATCGCGTGACCCATTGAATGGTAGGTTTTGGATGACGCCATTATGCCATCATGAGTGCCTAAGTGATCTGGAAATAGTCTGCATGACATAGTCCGCATATGTTTGCGAGCGGATAGCTCAGAAACCAGAGGACTTATGTCTCAAGAAGGGCAGGGCTGTGGACTACATGGAATGACCTTCAACATGCTTATGTCAGCTCAAAACCCCTTGCAAATGTGGAATACTCCCTTCAACTCTTCGAGCCAAAGCGCAAAGGGTTGAACATTGCAACATGTGCAATGTTCATGCATATATGCATGAATAATATGCCTTGCGCAACCATACTCCCATGCAGTGTAACGGTTCGTGCATGGACATAATGGCCACAGCGCTGAATAGGACCGGAGACTACACTTTTTGCAAGGATGCTGAAAGTGTTGCGTTTTGACCATATCAAACAACATCAAAGTCGCGTGTACCCTGGTAACATAGAGCGCATGGTGCAACATATACGCAGGTATCTCACTGGTCATTTGGTTTCGTTTAAAGGAATGGTGCGACCTTGTGGATGCGTCACACCATATGTACGCATCAAAATAGAACGTAACCGACTAGGATTGCATAGCCACTTTCACCCATTGCAAGAGCCGAAGTTTTTTTTTGCCATTCAATTTTTGTCATTCAAACAAGCTTTTGTGTTCTTCCGGGGGACCCCCTGCATACATCACTGCCAAAACACGTCACTTATGGGGGAAGGCACTTTGATTTTGCAAAACTGCTCTCTCAAATCTCTGAATGCAGTATCGAAACATTTCAAATGTACGGGCCTGGTGCGAACGAACCGTTCGGCCCTTGTTCATGGAGTCCCGCTACCGGCGCCAAAGTATTACCACAATGAGTTGTGGTTAATGGCTTAGGCCTGTCAGACATCGTCTGTGCGACAGGCCGCCAGCTGTGGCGGCGGCCATGCTTAATGCTTGGTAGTGCTGGGTATGGTTTTGACCTGTTTTTTTTTGCCGGCAAAACGATAGGCTTGTTTCATATTTTTGGTGGCCCAGGCGCATCTCCCGTGAGGTGTACTGTGGTAGCCAGTTCCATACATTTGCAGTTGCATGTATTCATTGCGGACGGCGTCCGTGATAGCGTACCACGGTGGCGCCTTCCCGTCAGCCTGCAGCTTGTGGATATTTTGTGTAGGTAAAAGGAAGGGTACTAAGCTCAGGCCTGACCTGCTATTTGTTTGCAGGTGAGGTACACAATGAAGTACATTCACTCGGAGGGCGTCCTTGCCGTGAAAATCACAGATGATGTGAAGGTGAGTACGGGGATCAGTCACATGGTCTTCCCAAGTTGTGGTTAGCTAAGCTTAAGCCTCGACGAACACCGGCTTCTTTTTCTGTGCTGTTCAGTTTTGTGCTGGTTACTATGATCGGTCAGCTGGAGTCTGTCCTTGGGGTGACCTTGACATTAATCAGAAAGCTGAGGTCCTTGGTTGTTTTGTGTATGCATCACAGTGGTCTTCACAATCAGACAGTTTGAGTGCACTCTTCTCACAATGAAAGGTCGGGGAAACGGATTATTCATTGATAATCATGGTGCGGTGCTATATTTTCCCGACTTTGTGCGTGCAATCCTCCTCGTGATGATGATCTCACGGAAGTTTTGAGTGCATCAGCACGTAAATACATCTGTCTTATGTTGGTTTTGTTATTAAATGCTACAGATACGACCTGTAGCGGTGCTCCGTTGGGTAAAGCTTTCATATGACACGATCTTTTGTGGCGCAGTGCGTCCAATTCAAGACGGACTCGCAAAGTGACCTTAAGAACATCAACGCCCTCCTGGCAAACCTTATGAAGCACATGGCCTCGAAAGAGGAATGAAGATGCTGCTATCTCATGCTTTGGACGATGCTTCAGAAGCGCCGCTCGAGGCCGGTGTCACGGTGTTCACGTGCTCTTCGGGGAGGAGTATCAGTGACGCGAGCGTGTTCGTGAGTTGAACTGCGCGTGTTATGATGCAGGATGTGTTTGTTGTACGCGATGAATGCCGCTTGTGGGTCTTAAAGCTGTGTTGCTAGGTGGTGTCATGGACGTGACGGTAGTTCGCTCCATGCCGGGTTATTTATTAGGTGCTGGTTGTGGATGAACAGAAAAGGCTGCCATTGTTTTTTCACCGAAACGCTTTGATGAATTTGTCATTACTTTCTGTTTCCAAGTGCTATGCGTAGTGCATTGAACTGTGAAATACATTGAAACGCCCGCGCCGTATTTTCAGCGTTATTAGAAGTGGATCATTAGGGCAACATTCTACACTGACGTGTCAGCCAGCGGCCACCGTGCGCCACTCCTCCCAGTCACGTTCCATTACGTGGGGACCGGTTCTTGCCGCGCTCCGCTGAAGTGATGATGTGACTCATATAACTGGGGGTGATGGCCTCCAGCCCGTGCGCTGTTTCCACACCTGTTGGCCCTCGTATCGCGCACATGTATGTGGCGAGCTACGATGTGGTTAGGAGAAGAATGTCACTTGTGTTTCATAGAAACTCGGCGAACGTGTGTATTTCGGGGCTGACACTCATGCTGTGCGCGTACACATAAGTATCCCACTAGCTCACGCCTCTCACTTGAGGACTCGTTGCTCCAGCAGCCTGCTGCACTTGTGGACGACCCCCGTTGGTGGTCGGTGGCGGACATTCCTATGCCAGGCTGAGTGGGCTCAATATATTATATATATATATATATATATATATATATATATGTATATTACTCTTCATGTCATAGACCTTGCTGGAAGCAAACGCGGATGCCCCCAGCGCCCTGGTCCGCATGAAATGTGTTAGTTCGAATACCCAGGCGAGCGCCATTCCCAGCTAGGACCCGCCCAGAAGCGGGTTCAAACCGCAAACTCTCGTGCGTCTCATGACACTGGACCGGCGCAAACCATGAGTGGACTTGCCACGCGTGCCCACCATACTACAGCGTATATGTTGCCCGCTTTCTGTTCGCGACCGATGTTAAAAAATACGTGTATTAATCCTTCGTAAAACGCATTAGTGCTCTTCGTTGCGACACTGGTATCCTATTTTGCACCCCGTCCACAGGAGGTCAGCCAGGATTTTCTGAAGGAGTGGGGGTGGGGGGGGGGGGGGGGGGCGACAGCGAGTACGCGTCGTAGGACGACCGAGGGGATTGCAGCTTGTGAATATATGGGCGACAGCGAGTACGCGTCGTAGGGCGGCCGAGGGGGATTGCAGCTTGTGAATATATTCGTTTAATGTTAGAGATCTCGCTTTACGACCCACCAAAACCCACGCACGCGGATTTTCTTCGCCTGCTGATACCCACTTTCAGTGTTAATAAAAGAAATGAGATGAATCACTGCCCTCCTTTCCTTTGCTGCGCCTCCGCTCTCCACAGATCTCCACGCGATGGCAGGGGGAGGGGGGCGGCGCCTGTGTCGCTGGCCTACGTCACTGCGTGACATTCCAGGCACGCGGCTTCTGCGAACGGGGGGCGCCCGGGGCGCTCTCCAGCGCCAGACGGTCGCGACTGTATGGCGCCGTGTCATCGGCTGAATTTACATGAGGGAACCAGCACCCACGAATAAGAACGCGATTTTCTCGTATCGATCCGTCACAGGTCCAAGAAATGCAAGATCAAGTGTCCCGATTTCACGAAAGTCGACCGCGGGCAGCCGGCAAGGGATGGGTCCCGTCATCGCGGCGCGCCCGCCTGTCGCCAGGGATGCGGCTTCCGCCTATCCGAAGGATTCCAAGGCCGTGTGGGCGCCGCGACCGAGCTCACTCCGAGCGTTTGTTCGGGGAAAATGAGTTTGCAGAATTGGCAACGCGGGTAGTGCATGAGCGTGAGTAGTGGTGTTAGGTTAGTGGGTCCCCGCCCGTTGAGGGTCGCTCCTTGATCTCCAGAGACCATACTGTGGTAAGGATGTTTTAAAGTATTTGTTTTCGAACTGAGATGGCGATGTGATCCCGTATCTGCAATACTTTTGTGTTATGGTGCTGTTCTTACGCATGGGCCTTTTTGGTGCGCCAGAATTGCCGCCGCCTTTTGTTTTGTTTCTGTTAGCGTTCGGCCAGCGGCTTCGATCGAGGTGATTGCACTCTATATGCTGGAGCTAAAGCCATTTACAGGTACAGGAGATGATTTTTTGTCTAAAATAAACCATTTTAGCCTTAAATATTTAACAGTTCTTACTGGTTCGTTGTTATTTGAGCCCTGTTACGTGACAACGAATCTTGGTTATCCAGGCTCACTATCAACAATCTGATCTGGCATTGAAATCCGGTCTTCATTGTCAGTGAAATTGTTGTGATAATTCGTATCAACCATATGACCTGCTATATCGTTTCATTACGGCGCGAATTTGCATTTATGTGATGGCAGTGTGTGTTCATGTGAATTTACATGAGGTCTGGAAACTGGATGCCACTGAGGAATACTGTTCAAGCTATTTTTAGTTGCATTTTCAATTTTGGTGTGAGTAGTCTTGGCAAAAATCACTCAACAGCTGATTACACATTCTCCATATTCACAATTTTATTCTTGCAAATTCAGTTTAGAGGCCAGGTACCCAGTTTTATTCTTACTGGTTTAACCTCAGTGGGATATCAGGGGTCTGTAAGGTAATGGTTGTAGGGCAGGATTGGCTCTGCCATTTTTACCTGGCATCTGCTAGTTTGTTTGAGCTCTGTGCTTTACTATGAATTTGACCAAACATATACACAAAATATGAAAATTTCAATTTTTAACAGTGTAACAGCTATCAGATTATACTGCACACTTTTATATTGCATGCAGCAGCCACACCTGTCATTTGATATCATACAGCTCTTCAGATGAGTATATGTAGCATAGCTGATCACAAGTTGAGTTATCCAGATAATTAGTAGGTTAGAGAGCCTGCCTTCTTATCCACCCTCATATGGCAAGGTGGGGTCAAGCCACTACAGGTGTTCACCTTTAGCCTTTGATTAGAATTACCTATGGTTGGTGGCAGCTGCTGTCCTTATGGGCAGGAGAGAAAATGCCAGGCAGTTAATACCACCATATCCTGCAGTAAATCTAGATTGTCATGATAAGATTGTGTGTGTGTGGGGGGGGGGGGGGGGGGAAGGGCCAAGCTGGTACAAGTGCTGCTTAGCATGGGCTCTGATCACAGAAGATATCTGTTTTAAAGCTTCAGACTATTTATTAAAAAAACAGGTTCATGCTGTGGGGCAGAGGAGTTGAGAACATTCCTTTTTGGGACAGAAAATAAAAACATCTGTTGAGGGCTTGAAACACTGACAGTTTTCTGCCTGGAGCATTATAAAAGAATCCAAGAATCCATTGAGATGGAACCCTTTGGGTCCCTGGATCCACACTGGGGACCCAAGCTCATGTTTGGAGCTTGAGTCAGTTCTAGAATTATATTTATGAGAAGTAGACTGAATATTATAAGACAACTGCATTTTTAGGATGTTTGTGGACCTTATTTGTTAGGACCTCATTTACTTTGCCAGAATCATAAGTTTTTTTAACAATTATCTAGTGTCATTGTTGGGTGCTAAGGTTTGTGTAATGGGATTGGTTTATTATTTTACTTAATGCATTTCCCACAATTTTTGTCTATCACTTATTTAATTTACTCATTAATTATGATATTATATATATATATATATATATATATATATATATATATATATATATATATTGTCAATGTTCTTGATGTCAACTTATTGAATGTAGAGCCCTGTGATACCCACCATTAACTGGCTGTTCTTGGCTAAATTCATGAATAAATTTTTAAAGAAAAGCAAGTAGAGATATTACATTTTTGGATTATGCCCAGCAGCTGTGGAAAGATAAAAGAAGGTATGGAGTTCATGGCATTCAAGATTCCAATGGAGGGTTTGGTTTCTTTCAGCTTTTCTAGCCTGGAACTTTTGGGGAGAAAGTGGGCCAAAATTGAGTCTTTTGTGCATTTTGCAGGTATTTTTAGCTATTTTTGCTGGCTCAGCCATGCCCTGATTCAGCTTTCAGAGGTACTGCCTTTAATCCTGAGCTCTGAAGAAATATTTCATTTTCCAGCATTGTCATAAATTAGTAATTTGGCCACACCCCCTATATTGTCACTGATACATGCCTGGATATGTTCTACAGGCATATTTAGGGCAAATGTATAGAACTAAGTTACACAAAATATTTGATTCATTCTTACTTTACTAGCATGATACCCAAATGCCAAAAGCATCCCACTTTGCATAGTTCTCACAAACAGCAGACTCAGCATTTTAATCTAACACAAAACCAGCTCTGAAAATTATATTAAATAAGCTTTTGTAGCCTTGTGATGTGATGGCAGTATATTACTTTAAGATTCTAATTGTGCAAGCAACTCTGATGTTTTTTCCTGACTGTTATGCATCTTCTACCAGCAGTGCATTTCTAACTGGGCCAAAAGGAAAGAGGGAGGCATTAGTGCAAATCTGTTTAGATTTCAAAGATTTCATTATTATTGATGTACAGGGAAAGTATCTCACAGCATAGGCTATGCTCACACTGTCCTGACACAGTTAGGCCGAATGCTTTGCACTTTTCAGAAATAGTTACATAGAAAATAACATTATGTTGGAAATAGCGGGACAAACTGACCAGTGATCAGGAGGAATGAATCTTTTTGGTTGGCATTTCTGCAACATTCAACAATAATGGTCTTGAAATAAGATAAGCATGGACATAAGACTGTCTGGAAGCTATTCCCTTCATTTCATTTTTAATTGTTTACTACTTAGGGGTGTCTTATATTTCCACAGTGGTGATTGATGCCTTTCAAATGGAAAAAACTGAATAATGGGGTTAAATGCACTTTTACATGAGGCAGATTATTTTGTTTGAATAATGCCCCACTCCCTGAGAATAAGCAGATGCCTTGCGTGCCTGTTTACCCCTCCCCCTGTGAATAATCATTGAAATCTCTCCTGGCTGAGTTGCCACAAATGCTGTTTTGCTTTTCCTGTCACCAGAAACCATCAGAGCACAGATATGATAGAATAAGACTGGCAACCACAGGTGTTGAGTCAGAAAATAGCAAATCTAATGCAATAGAAACATGGGATGGGCACCTCGGTCTGAGGTAGCAATGTGGCACCAACATTGACATGACATTTGACATTGACACAACATGACCTTGCATGTGTATGAAAACAATGAGGCCCAAGGCATATTTCAATGCAGTTTCACGTTCATGTTTATTTTCAAGTTCAAAATGTTGTCTTTCAGGTTTAACAGTGGTTGTTAAGATTTAAATCCCAATTTTAGGAATATGATTCATAGTTTTGAGAATCAGTCAATTACAAAAACTGGAATGCAGTTGAATGTATTCAGATTCTGGGAATCCAAATCCTCAGCTCCGCTGGGTGGGCTGGAAAGCCATTGCCTTGGTTGATTCGGTTTGGATGTATATTTGTCATACTACAGCAGCCTTAAGCATATTTGTGAGCAGCGTCAGAAACAAGGTCAGAAACAAGGTCAGATGCATTTCTATGTGTGTTTCGGTGTAAACATTTTTGGCCACTGTTGCCATGGAGATGGATTGTCTGATTTTCTCCAGGGGGTACCTTGACTGATGATGGCTTGGTGCCTAAGTATATCTTGAATGCTCAAGATCTTGTTTTTCTCAATGCCTGACTGATAACATGTAAGAAGGTCCAAGTGAAGGGGGAGGAAACTATCCTAGAGAAGAGCTGTGACAGCACATGATATAACTAGTGCTGTAGGTGCAGGAGTACACGGTGCAGCGGATGACGCGGGCTGAGACAAACTGCTGTGTATTACACTATTCATCGCTGAGCCATCCTCGCTTATCTAGATTCCCAGAGTGGTGACGTGGCGCCTTGGCCGCCAGGAACTCGGCTGTGATACGTAGAGCGCAGTAGCCGCCGCCGCCGTCGGGCCCGCACACCATGCCGCCATGGATGTGAGTGTCAAGATGGACGTGGACGAGAGCTGCGGCGCCGGCGACGGGCCGCTGTCGCCGGTGCCGGCGGCGGCCGCGCGCCGGCCCAAGCCCATCCCGCCGCCGCTGGACCTGCGGATGCCGGCGTCGCCCGGTCTCTGTCCGCCGCGCACCGCCATCCCGGTCATCTCGCCCAGCAGCCCGTACCACCAGAAGAACCTGCCCTTCCGCAAGCGGTCAGTGGCGGGTCCGGGCAGCGTTCGGGGGCCCTTGAGACGCGGGGCAGGCGGCGCCCGTGCTCAGGGGCTGCCGTCGCGTCGCGACGGGGGATGCCGGCTTTGGTTTTCTGCAGTGTTTGCTTGGATGACGGAAGCTGAGTCGCTCGATAAGTTTTTGTGTCGCGTGTTTGGCGAGCTATTCAACGGCGGTATGGTGGTTACTAGCTTGTGGTAGGACGTCGAGTGCAGAAGCTTTTTAATGGTTTCTTGAGTGCAAACCAGCCATGTTTAAGACATACTGAGTACGGAGCTGACACTGACATTCGTTTTCTTTACCGTTGTTTTAAAATTGTCTTGAACCGACTGTGCCGATTGTGGCACGCGCCAGACGCCGTGCGTAGTCTGGTTATCCCATGCGCTCGACACCTTTTATGAACACAGCACAGTAGCGGGCTGTTCTCATTTCTGCACGAACCTCGTCAGGCCTCATCTCGTGCCTTCAGTGTGTAACAAAGATGGCGAGAGTGGAGAATGTTTAACGCATTGGTCACGGTCGCATTGCACACGGATTTGCAGGTACTGATTGCGCCCTGTGCTTTCCAATGTAATAACGCCTGAAGGCCGCGAAGTCAAAATTAGAATTAAATAAGAAAATGGTGGCCGCGGCATTCAAGGAGAGGTGCACGGGAGCCGGCATTTCGCTGCGCGTGGTATAAACAGGAACGGTCGATGAGTGGAGAGGCCTGGGCGGCGTCGCTCGCAGGGCATATACAGGCTGCACGGCTGTTGTCGGCGGCTGCGCCCGCTCGCTGCGGGCCGGATGGGACGGGATCGGCGCCGGGCGCCCGCCCGTCTGGCGCGGCCCGCGCGCCGGTCCGGCCCCAGCCCGTGACGTCACGGCTCGGGCCGCGGCCGGCGCGGCCCGGCGGAGCGGCCAAAGGTCGTGGGGAGCCCGGTGGCGACGGCCGGTCCTGGCGCGACGCTGTCTCGCGCCAGGGTGGCAGACGGGGCCGGCCGGACCGCCGCTGAGTGCGAGGCTACATGCAAATTTGCACTAGGAAACAACTTTCTACGGGGTGTTCGAGGCAATTTCTTGGTGCAATTTTCGCGCTGTGGATCTCGGCATATCAGCGAAATCTGTCATAAAAGATGTTTTGTGTGTCATGTGCGTGCTGTGCCGTACTCTGTGCTGCTCAGCGGCAATGATGTTTTGTGGGTCATGTGTCATGTGCGTGCTGTGCCATACTCTATGCTGCTCAGCGGCAATGATGTTTTGTGAGTCATGTGTCATGTGCGTGCTGTGCCGTACTCTGTGCTGCTCAGCGGCGATGATGTTTTGTGGGTCATGTGTCATGTGCGTGCTGTGCCGTACTCTGTGCTGCTCAGCGGCAATGATGTTTTGTGGGTCATGTGTCATGTGCGTGCTGTGCCGTACTCTGTGCTGCTCAACGGCAATGATGTTTTGTGGGTCATGTGTCATGTGCGTGCTGTGCCATACTCTGTGCTGCTCAGCGGCAATGATGTTTTGTAGGTCATGTGTCATGTGCGTGCTGTGCCATACTCTGTGCTGCTCAACGGCAGCGCTTGGCCGTGCTGAGATCGCTGAACTATGTAGATAAAGGGTCCAAAGTCAAGTTTGTTATCTACCCACCATTGAAAGCCTGCCATCGTTCACAAAGAGCTGATATCTCGGCTGCAATGATGGCCCTGTTGTTTGCTGTTAGACTTTGGACGCCCAAGGTCCTGGGGCTGTTGTTACGTGCCAGGCGGCAGACCGTGCGTGTCGTGAACCAAAGTACCGATTTGAGCGTGAGCGACCGGGCCCGGTGGTTCCGCTTCGTTGGGGGGTAATATCGTTACAGTTACTGCTCCCATGGGCATGCCGTGTCAGCTACAAGAACCGAATTCATCTTAAGTCGGGTATAAGTTGAGAGGTGGTGAGCTCAATTTTTTTCTGCGTCATTGCAATGTTGATCCGACGTAATCTCCGAACCGATGAACATGGAAATCTTGAAGTTTTTGAGCTGCGAAGAGCCAGAGGAATGCGGATGGGTGCTGGGCCAAAATTTTGATATTGTCCAGGCGTCCCACGGCTATTACACCGCGTCCCACGAGCGGAACAGGAAGCGAACAGGAAGTCGTATCGGCGAAATGTGGGTCGATGTACCCCGATTACCACGTACTGCGCGTAGACAACGGGTCCTCCCGTTTTTGGGTCGTCAGCATTGATGTCAGATCCCAGCAACTGGGATAGGTGAAGGTATGACACCAACTCCATGGTGTAGGCGAATTTACGGGCTATAGGCGGTGCTGCGTCTCAAGCTGTCCGACACAGTGGTACGCCAGGAATGCCGGGAGGCGGCCAGTGCCATCTTTTCCGGAACCGCTGACGCTGTGGACACTGTGGGCCTATCTGTGGGAGTTGTACGTTGTGACTTATATCCACCTTTGGTATTTGCGTTTTGTCTCGTCACAGCAAGAGCCGAAGTGGACAGATCTGAGCAGGCTTATGCCCGCCGTTTTCCGAGCAGCGCTATTTGTGAATAAACGGGCGAAGGCTACAGCAGTGGCCCTCTCTCTGCTAAGCTTGTGTGTGATAGATTCCAACGCATTCGTCAAACCCATACACACCTGTTGTCAAAGATGCCTGGGGTCCATAAACATGGAGGTAATTTATTGTTCTTCCTGCTATATAAGGGGAAGTGTCCGCCTCGTTGCTGGCAATGTGTTCGGATGTATTTCCTCGCCTAAATGTCTTGAAAGGCGCCGTATGCACCTCGTAGTACGTTATGTCCGTGCTCACTTTCCTATGTCCTTGTGGAACCAAACTAACACCGATGTGCTAAGTGGACCGACCTGCGTCATTGACCAGCACATAAACTGTTTGACACAATCCGCACGTGATAATCATGCAAAACAGAAAGCCACGAATCATTGCTGGGCGCGAAGGAGGACCGCGCCCCTGACTGTCGCCACGGCTCGCGCCCACAGAGCGTTCAGCTGGTCGAACCTGAAGCTGGAGGACGGCTGCGGCGGCGGCTGCGGCGGCGTGGCCGAGGAGGCGCCCGCCTCACCGGCGCCTCCGCCGCCCTCCGGTCTGCTGCTGTCGCCGCGACCGCTTGTGCGCGTGGACGTGCCGTCGCGCTCGGTGCCGTGCACGCCGCAGCTGCCGCTGCTGACGCCCACCAGCCTGCTGAGCCCTGCGCCGTCGCACGTCTCGTCGGCCGGCAGCAGCCAGGAGGAGATCCGCAGCACCGACCGCTTCCTGTTCCCGCCGGCCGGCGCGCCCGTCTCGCCGCACGCCTGGCAGGCGTCCGTCTGGCACGCCTTCATGGCCGGTGAGACGCAGGGACGGGCGGATCAGCAGGGTAACACGCCCCCCCCCCCTGGTGCGTCCTCATGGCCGGTGAGCGAGTGCCACGGGCGGATCAGCGGGGTAACTTGTCCCTCTGGCACGCCTTCATGGCCGGTGAGAGACCGGCACGGGCGGATCAGCGGGGTAACTTGTCCCTCTGGCACGCCTTCATGGCCGGTGAGACGCAGGGACGAGCAGACCAGCGGGGTAACACGGCCCACCCCCTCTGGCACGCCTTCATGGCCGGTGAGAGACTGGCACGGGCGGAGCAGCGGGGTAACACGGCCCACCCCCTCTGGCACGCCTTCATGGCCGGTGAGAGACTGGCACGGGCGGAGCAGTGGGGTAACTTGCCCCTCCAGCACGGCTTCATCGCCGATGTGGTGCGGCAAAGGCGATATTGAGGAGGTGTGGCACGGCTTTGCAGCCGGTGATACGTGGTTGAAGGGGAGGGGTTGATGCGTTGCTCTGCGCTTTGATCCCGGGGCGTTTGCGTCCGTTTCTTGTGGTCAGTTGTGGTCAGTTGTGGTCAGTTGTGCTGCGGCCGTGGGCAAATCTAAGAATGGGATGTGCCTTTTACAAGCAGGTAAGAAACAGCTGTGGTGATAAATGACCATATGGGCTGGATGGAATGGTCGGTCGTGGGGCGGCTGATGTCTGACTTTGTGCAGTTCAGGGGTAAGTTTTGTGCGGCTGCCCCAGTCGTGGAAGACTTGTCGACTTGTCACTGGCATCAAGAGAGATCGTTCTCAAGGTTTGAAATGTTATGGCCGTTGCGCTGGGATTCTAGCAGAGTTTTCTGCACGAGTAGTAGGGAGCGCCCCGTCTGCACATGGCCGAGCCGCATCGCGATAGAGAAACACCATGTTTATCAAAGGCAAACCACATGTGCGGCCTCGGACTAAGTCCTGAACCAGTCACAGCGTGTCCCGCCCGTGTCTGATGGAGCAAAGCCACCCGTCCACGCGTCTGTGCATGTTTTGAACCCCTCGCACCCTTATCAGCTCCGTCGGCCATGAAGTAAGCAGTTATCGCCAAGTATCTGGTGCGTCATGAAAGCCACCGTTGTCCTGGTCTTTATCTGGTTATGAGTCAGGTTTAAGTGTTGATCATTCTGTGGGATTGGTTCGGGCGCCGATGGCCGTGTGTTTGCGTCCTATCCTCGCTGCGTCAAGTGGCCTTTCATTAAACAGCACACTACAAAACCATGTGGGTTCGTCGAGGTGATTTGCATCGACATCGCGCCCTTCTTACGATACATGGCTCGTTGGCAGTTTCCAGGAGGCTCATGTTATCTTATCGTTACATCAAATACAGTGAGCAGACTCTGCTCATTGTATTTTCACGTAACCGTGCATCAGCGGATCTGCTTTGTTGTGGGTTTTAAAGACTTGGCCAGAAGGGAATCGGAGCGTATAGTATTCTTCAAGGACGCTTCGCAAATTATGCAAAATTTAGAAGTTGGAGAACACCTCTGAGTAGAAACTGCTGATCTCAATCAGCATACAGAACAGCATGGCGGCAGCTGGAACGGTTAAACTCACAACGATAATATTGCGTGAGAACGTGCTGCTATGATGAACTGCCAGAAGACCTCCGGCGTGTCGGGCTTTGTTGAGGTGGGATACCTGTGTACAGATTCCGCCGAATCTGGTATTGTTTGGTGCCCGCATACAGCCGTTGACAGGCTCCCCGCAGCAGGTAGCGCCGTCACTCACGGGCGTCGCCACCTGCCAGTTGCCGGCGCGCGCGCCCGCGTTGCCAGCATGGCCGCGCTCCCCCAGCACGGGCGTGTCACACGGTGCGCGTGTTGCAGGCACCAAGATCAGTTTCCAGCTGTCGGAGCCGTACTGGGTGCCGGTGGAGGAAGTGGCGCGTCGCGACGGCTCGGACGCGCCCTACGGCCTGCTGCTGAAGGCCGTGCACACTGACGTGGCCGGCTTGGAGCCGGACCGCTGCATCCTGCACATGCAGGCCATCTACACGGCCCAGCCGGACTTCCTGGCCGCCTGCCTCGTCCAGCAGCCGTTCTTCGTGCAGAACCACGGTCAGGGACGGCCACATGTCTAGTCATGACTCCCGCTCGGATTCTCTGTCGGCAGCGCTTGCTTACGGGTTTGCCGTGTAGTTCAATCACTGCTCATTTCGTGTCATTGTTTCCCGTTCACTCATCGCTCACCCATTTATTCATTCATATGAATGAATGAATGAATGCATGATGAAATTCAATCAGGCTAAGTTTAGTGTCACGTCATCGCCTGCTATTCTGATTTTCACGTCAAGCCTCAATATCTGCATAGCTCCGTTGTTTGTTGGTAGGAGCTCCGTTGTATACCCGCCTGAAAGTATCGAGGTTTAGAAATCTCAGTGGATACAGTATTTATTCATTGATTGTGTGCTCAGTGCTGTTATATTTCTAACCACCACCATCAGGCGGCCCTGGTGCCGCGTCCAGCTGGCCTGGTCTGACGCAGAGTCGTCCAGTTGTCGCCATCTGACGCCGCGCCGCGCCGCGCCGCCAGGCTGGTCGTCGCTGTCGCCGGAGCAGACGTTCGAGCAGTGCTCGGTGCCGTGCCGCGAGCTGCGCCAGGGCGACGTGTGCCTGATGAGCGGCGGCCCGCTGCACTCGCCGCGGCCGCTGGGCCTGGCGCCGCCGCTCTCGGCCACCCAGACACCGCCGGGCTCGCCGGCTGGCCGCGGCCCGGCGGCGCTGAGGCCAGCGCCGCCGCCGCCGCCCTCACCGGCCGCCGCCGCCGCTGCCGCCGGCGCCGACAAGCCCGTCAAGCCCAAGCGGCCCATGAACGGGTTCATGCTGTTCGCCAAGAAGTACCGCGTAGAGCTGATTAACCAGCACCCGGGCAAAGACAACAGGTGGGTAGGCAATGCATAGCAGATGGCTTCGGGGTCTGGGCTGGCGCGTAGGCGTCTGATCCTCACTTGTACGCCAAAAATGATGATAATGATGTATTTGAAAGCGCTTCCGCCAATTAGGCCATGTTGCGCTCTAATCTCGTCGTGCGTATGATCTCATTGCGATTTCACGACGCACGCCAAAGATTGAGAGATACCATTTGCCCTTAGGTGCATCCTGGTCAAAGGCGTTGTTCGTAGGGCCCAGTCGAGCCGAGCTACGTTTGACCTTTGCTCACGAGCCAGTAACGCCGGTCAAAATCCCCTGCGGACGTCGTGTGTGTCGCTACCGACGTTGTACCACGCGTGTGATGGACGCCAGCGACGCCGGGCGCTAGCGGCGCGCTATGCCCGTCACATGTGCTTAGTGGCGGCTGCGCGGCGCTTAACCGCGGCCTGTCCCCACTGCAGGGCCATCAGCGTCATGCTGGGCGAAACCTGGAAGGCGCTGCCGCAGGAGGAGCGCGAACGCTTCACGCAGCAGGCGCGCGTGCTGGCCGAAGAGAAGAAGCGCATGTACCCGGACTGCTGGAAGCGCAAGCGGTCGGTGTCGGCGAGCTGAGCGGCCGCTCGTGGCGCAGACGACTGTGATCAACCGGGCTTTCACGACGTGTGCTGACAGGGCGGCGACCGCGGCCCGGCCCGGCCCGGCCCGCCGCCGAGGGGCCGGCGCGCCGCGCGCAGCGGACGGCGGCCGCCGCTCCGCCCCCGATGGGCTGTCGCCGGCGTCGGTGATTGTTGGCTGTTGCCGCGGCGTCGGCGGCGGCGGTGGCGCCGCTCGCCGCCGACGGTCGGCACCGTCGCCGCCGCGTGGGAAGCGGCCGTCGCCTGCTGCCGGACTCGTCCGCCGCATGGGCCAGCCCCGGCACACAAGCGCTGCCGGCACTGCACGGGTCCGACGCGCCGCCGCGCAACGAGAGATTCCGGCGCACAGATGTTTTAACGTTCGTCGTGGACAATCGGCATTGTTTTAGTTGCGTTGTGGAGCGGATTTTACGGCGTTGTTGTCTGGGTGCGGTCGGCTGGCGTGCGCGGCCGCCGCCCCCGGCCGGACGGTCGGCAAATGCTCCATGTCCCGGTGAGATGCGTCCCGCCCGCGCGCGGTCGACCGGCTGCATGCCGAGCCGGTGCTGCCCGCCGCGCCGGCAGTATTTTTATAGGCGCGCTTTTGCTGCGCTCTTTTGATCGGACTGGCTTGTGATACATGTGATCTCGCGGCCGCTGACTGTGCACGCTCCAGGTGATCTCAGGCGGCGCCGCGCCGCGCTGTTGCCGCCGGCTGCCGGCCGTGCCAAAGGCCGCGGCCGACTGTCGCGCTTCCGTGGCGGCCGCCTCGGTCTTGCCCGCCCGCTCGTCCGCTCGCCCGCCCGCCCGCCTCAAGAGACACGCAACGCCCCGCTAGGTGGTTACCCTCCGTTGAAGCTGTTACCGTCGCTTTCTGTAACATAGCTGCGGCCGCAAGCCCGCGCCCGGGGCACAGGGCCGCGGTCGGCTGGCTTCGCTTCGCACTTAAACCCGCGCCCGCGCCGCCCGTGTTATGTTTTACCGTTTACGTGTGCTGTCGTCACTGTTGCGCCGTGTCTGCCGCGTTCGCCCGCGCGCCAGCGCAGGTGAGCGCGTGCCGGTGGATGTGGCTCCGATCGTTCTCATCCCCCCATCAGCAGGCTCAATAAATCCGTCGCTAGATGTGAGGGTTCGGCCGCGCGCGGCGGAGTTGCCCTGGCAGCACATGCACGAGTTCGGTGTCGGGTGGAGCCGGGGTGACGGGCCGCCGATGTTTGGCGGCGCACGCTGGGGCCCGCCGACTGAAGCGTCTCCGAAATGTCGGTCGTGGCGTCATGGAGCTTGGTTTCTGGAGAATCGTGACGTGTGCGCTGGAACACATTACAGAGGGTTCCGGGACAAGTTGAGCACGGTTCGGTGAACCGACCGAACGAGAAGGTTGGGGTTCTCATGTTACGTGCGAACATTCGTCAGCAGAGGCCTGTGCAAATGTCGATTTCCCATCTCAAACTGGCTGGCCCGAGGTCGGTTACATCCTCATGGCGTGACGCTGCGTTTCACGGTACGGCGGAACTACCAGTTGGCGACCGGCCGGTCTCCAGCAGGTAATACGTGACCGTGCAACACAACGCGGGGCATTTCGACGTACGCAGAGCATCGCGCGAGGATCTCAGCAATTCTTGGAATGGATTTTGCAACTCTCGTAAAAGCTTCACAAGCAAACATGACTGCTTATGAACAACATACGGGTTGACAAAGAGTCCCTGGTGCTGAAAGCCGCCCTTCCTGAACAATTGCAGGATTTGGCCTACTCGATTTTGATTAGGCACTATTTTCCTCATTTTGCTCTTTTATTTTTTCCTCCTTAACTGGAACAAAGGCCCAGAAGCTCGCGCACAGTGCAATTCTGTATAATTTTTTAAGTAAGTTGCCTAATGCATTAGCGAGAAACATTTTTCACATAGATACGACAGTGGTAATAGCCTTATTTCGCGGGGAAAACAAGGAGAGTGAGGATATAGATAGGTTGATATTTCGGCAACATGCCTTTACCGAAGTGATAGCAGAGTTGAATTAAAAATTGCCTGCCGATGACCCCACTCGATTTTTCAGTTTTTTAACAGTAAGCCACAGTTTTAACAGGAAACCAACATTCAGGGGATTAAAGAGTGATTGCCAGGCATTACCACGATACAGTGCCTATCTAAGAAGAAGAATACGCAAACATAAGTGTACCTACAGACGAGTTCAAACAAATAGGCCTCATGCATCACGCTTCATTGGAACATGCAAGCGATTTGAAATAAACAGGCACCACACATCGCGCATAAATCATAAATGCAAGCGATTTCAATTGAGCAGGCATCGCACAATACGCGTCAGGCATCACTTACACATGTAAACGATTTTAAGCTAGCACACATCACACATAAAGACACATATCACGTTCGCATAATCGGCGATGATGGTAATGTCACGCACATCACGCGTGATGCATGATGTGCGATGCCTTCTCAATCGAAATCACTTGCATGTATAATTGGTGCGCGACGTGTGATGCCTGTTTGTGTGCGTGTGACTTGAACTCGCTTGCAGGTTAGAATGAAGCGTGATGCGTGATGCCCATTTGCTTGAATTCATTGGCGTGTGCACATGTGTTCGCGTATTCCAATTCTTAGATAGGCACTGTATCGTGGTAATGGCTGGCAATCGCACTTCCTTTAATCCTCTGAATGTTTGTGTCCTGTAAAAACTGTGGCTTACTTTCTCAGAAAATAAGTGAAAAATGAAATAAGATCATCAATTTTCAAAAAGGGCAATTTTGAATTTACATCTGATATTGTTTCGATAAAGGCATGTTGCCGAAATATCAACCGATATATGTCTCCATTATCCTGGTTTTTCTCCGAGGAATAAGGCTTTTATTACCGTTTACATTTTTAAGTCATTAAACTGAAGGAAGTGGGCGTTAAATCCGTGTATGGGATAATTCACCGAGGTTGTTCGTTTTGCGATGGCTCAGTCCAGTTGACTGGCGGAACCGATGCAGTTCAGAGGCTTTGCCATGTTTTTTCTTGGCTGTTCAGAGACGTTGAGCGCCCCACGAACAGGGGCGCGGGAACCATGTGTAAATTGAGGCGACCTAGAAACGTGAAATTGGGCCTTCTTCAGGCTGTAATGGGCAATCTACAGGCCAAAACTAACCCTCCACAGTAAAAAATGGCCCGTCGACATATCAGGCCTCATTAGACCGGAAGAGCCTTTCACAGTTAATAATATGGGCCCTCCACGGTTAATAATATGGGCCATGTACAGCTAATAATGGGCCCTCTGCATACTCAGAATTGCGCTGTTTTGGTCAGGATGAAGCCTTAATAGGTCAGAATGAGCGATCGACGGGTCAAATGGACTCACATGCTTACATGATGTACTTGCAGCTCAGAATGATCCTCGACATACATTAGTAGGTTCTCTACAGGCCCTCCAAGTTAATTGGAGGGGAGCTGCCCCTACTGCCCTCTCGTCTTCCAGGTTTCCGGGTCCTCTCCATGAGGGTAGATTGTTGATCGAAATGGGACCACAAACATGTATCAACATGGCCGACCCATATTCCTTTGGGAATCTTTAGCCCTTAGCCAGAACAGCTTAGCGGAAAAACAATACATAACATAATGAGCATGCACGTTAGCAAGTCTACAAAACGAAAATCCGGCGCTGCTGTCTCCGCAGTCCACGCCGTGTCGGCCTTGCGGCGTATTCTAGGCGGTGACCGAAGTCACAATGACGAGACGTCCACAGTACTTACCTTTGAATGCTTTCGGGCATCAATTTATACGTTAAGAAGGTCGTCCTCTTGTATATGTGACCTGTGCTATTTTGTATTGATAATGGAGTTGGAATCCTGTGTTAGAACTGGCAGAGTAAAGGTATAAGTCTTTATTTCTAGTGTTGCTGCAACTGCTCACCTGTTCAGAGGACAGCCTGTAAGTTATTAAGGTAAAGGATGCATACCAGTCTAGTCTTTGAACGGCTCAAATTGATTTTAGAACACTTTAGGAGTCGATATTTCGCGACGATCGTTTTCGCCCGGCCGCCGCCCGCCGCCTGGTGTTATCTGCGGTGCCCAACCCCGCTCGATTTTACAGAGACTGCAACCGTGGCCATAGCTGTTTGTAACCCCGGCCATAGCTGAAATTTGTTTCAAAGGTAAATTCTACCAAAGGGTGGACGTTCTCATACAAACGTGGGCTGGCCATCTTTTCATTAACCAACTGAGTGAAATGATGCCGTAATTCACTCAACTGAGTAAAATGATTGGGTCAATTGGAACCTCGCATTGATGCGTGATTTCGTATACAAAATTCTGCGCGGGCACGGAGAAATGCAATAACGCGATGTGCTGCCTGAAGCTAAGTCCTGCAGCGACCGACGACTCGCTGCTTCGCCGAGCTAGCTCCTTCACCGCCCGATGAGTCGCTGCTTCGCCGAAGCCAGGTCCTCCAGCGACAAATGACTCGATGCTTCGCCGAAGCTAGGTCCTGCAGCGAACGATGACTCTCTGCTTCGTCCAAGCTAGGTCCTGCAGCGACCGATGACTCGCTGCCTCGCCGAGCTAGGTCCTGCAGCAACCGATGACTCGCTGCTCCGGCTAAACCCTGGGCCTTTGTCGGCAGCATCAGTAGCAAGGCAGCCGTTGTCCTATCCCGAGCGGTCTCGAGCTGATATGTCGTCTCCTTCTTCCCTTCGAGGATATTTTTTGCCCGACGCGCAGCTCCATACAGACAGCAGGATCAATCGCCCACCTCAATCGCCTGCCATCCTCTGTCAGCCAGCCTCTGAGGCTTACACCAGCGATGGGGGAGATAGCAAGTCACTGTGTCCAACTGTGGCTCAGTGTTCCGTTTCTTCGTGTGTGGGCAGTTGCATTAAAAACGGCTTCAATATGGCTCATTGCTCATTCATTGACGTACTTTTCCAACCTCCTGAACACTTTCATTGCGATGATTTCCCTGAGCTAAGCCGACATTTGGTCGACCCAGAGTGAGTCCGTCTCCGCGTCGGTTCTGGGATCAAGCGCCTGGCATTGCCCCGTCCTCGCTGCAGATCGCTACGCAGTGGCGGTTTTTCCATCGCACTGCTCGCGGTCCACCGCCGCCTGGCTGCGCTCCGACCATAAATATTTATCTGTGGACGGGGCAGCGGAGTGGCGACTCCTGCTGACGGGAGGGCCGCGGCGACCGGCACTCAGCATGGCGTACTTCTACCGCCTCCTTCTGGCTATCGTTGCAGCGCTCGCAGGTGAGTGAGATTCACCAGGATCCCAGTGGTGGCCCGGAGACCAAAACGCATCCGATGGTTAACTGGCATATTGTCAGTCCTGCAGCTTTTTTTTGACGACCTTGTCATCTTTCTGTTGGGGATCTGAACTTGTGTGGACAGTGTGGCCACTGGTGTGGACAGTGGACGTAGTTTCGTGGCATAAGATTGGGACCAAGCGGAGAAAAATGTCTAAACCCACATCAAAATCGTCCAAAAAAAAAGTTTGTGCCTCCGGCTCAGGCGCCGCTGGGCGCTGCGGTGCGGTCGGAGGGCGCGGCAACGCAATGACGGCGCGGCTGTCTGCCGTGGGCCCGCTGAAAGGACAAGTGGGAAGATGAGGGAGAACGGGGAGCGAAATGTGGGTTTCAAAACCGTTTGTTCCTTTTATGAGTTTGTCTCAGTCTTTTTCGAGTGACGCTGTCAAGGTATTCGAATGCCTTCATATCATCCAAATCGTACCGTCTAGCGTTTAGAACATCCAAAATGCCAGCAATTCCGTGCCCACTGGCGAAATTCATATCTCCTAAACTAACAACATCGAAAGTCGTTGCGTCCAGTTGCATGACATCCAGCGATCAAATCATTCAAAAAGGGTCCAGAATAATGAACAAGACTTGCTCAAAAACTAGCTCTGATTCCTGTCGCTAGACGACAGAACAATACCAAATTTTCGTCTTTATCCAGCAGATGGCACAGGTACCCCAGCGTTCAACTCACTGCCCCATGATCGCTACAGCGGAACATGGCCAGCGCGAATCACCTTAAGTGCCTGGCGGTTTGCGGTACCCCATTCCGTTCCAGCAATGGCTCCAATAGTATGGGGGCACCTTTGTCCCACCGGCGTCAGCAGATTTTCGATTCAACGTCACGCTTAGGACGCGTTCTCTCTATGACCCAAAGGTGGGTTCATTGGTTTCAAAAAGTCATTGACACCAATTGCTCCATATTTGGACAGCTATGCCAATCGTCCCTCATTGAAAAATCAAATATATTTCTGTTCACCATCTCCTTAAACATATTCTTGATCAAACCTGTGCGCTGAAATTTTTGTTTCGCGGGAATGATGGGTAAACACATTATCAACTTGAAGGTGTTGGGATGGGTTTCCCTTTTTCGCCTTTATATGCCAATTTCTTGATGGGATATGTGGAAGCTGACATGCTATCAAATGACGACTTGAGACCCGACACTGATTTTCGTTGGGTAGACGATATCTTTGTGGAGGTTAAGAACACCGAGCGGCTAAGAGGTCTAATAAACACATTTTTAGAGCGATCTGGCTTAAAACTCTCAAGAGTGTTAAGAGTAGAAGATGCTATACAGATGTTGTACGTGACTATAGAGACGACAATTTAGAACGGCTGTGGAACGATAGGCGATGTGTTAAAGCTGCGGAACTGAGGAACAACGGGCGATGTGTTAAAGCTGCCAGCTAATGTCCTCGACGCTACAAAGTTTCGGTCATAAGGTGGTTCCTTAGACATACATTTAGGCATTGTTCTGGTTGGGAAAGATCACATGCAAAAGTACGAATCAGACATACCTTGGTGAACAACGCTTGTTTTTGAAATTCTGACATTGGGAACGAAATACAATGCCACATGACACTTCACCCATAAATTAAGACAAGACAAACAGACATTTTTGCCGACTGTATTAACAAAATAAAAGAGCAACGGCACACAAACAATACGAAAAGGCTGCACAAAACTCCTCCTTTGGCATGAAAAAGCAAAAAATCATCCTCAAAATAAATATTGCTGTTAATTATCGCAATAGAAAAATATCCAACTTTCCTCCGAGAAGCAGCCCTGAAAAGCCAACATGCTTAAGTGCACCAATGCAATATATCAATTCAGATGTAATCTCGATGGCTACAAACTTAATTTCATACACTACATTGGTGTAACCGCAACGACGCTCTCACGACATCTGACAATGCATTTATGCGACGGGGCGCCTCTGGAGTACATGCGACATGAACGTGACAGGCAATTGGTTTCAAATAGGCATTTACACCAATTGCTCCATATCATTGTGTAGGCATGCCTACTGAACTGACGGGCAACACTTTCAGACATGCATTGACAAAAGACTCCTTCAAGTGTGTGAAATCGTATGCATAAACAAATCATTCCCAGTCCTAGACAAATAGACAATTTTTTTGCACAACTCTTGAGTTTTTAGGTGATGGGCGGTTACTACCGTTTATGTGATCGCGGCTATATGCCCTTGTAAAGTTTCTGCTACCGATGCATTTTATGCCCATCGAAGAAACCATAGCAATATTTGTCTCCTTTGTACTTAAAGATGCTTTGAAAATTGGGATGAACAACTGTCGTCCTCAAAACTCAAAATTCATCACTTGTGCCGGCTGTATTCCTCCGATGATGAAATACGGTCTCAAAAAGCTAGAATATACAGATGTAGAAGAATATATATATATATATATATATATATATATATATACATATATGCATACATATGCATTTTGTTTACTCGGGCAGTATGCTTTAATTAATGTAAGTTTTGTCCTGCGCGAAAACAAATGACATCTAATCGGCTTCCTTTGCGTTTTTTCGATTGATGCAATTAGTTCCTCGTTGTTTTCGGTGAGTCATGAATAAACTCGCCTGCAGTCATATACATTAGTTCAAACTAGCTTCCGTTTCAAGGACATTCGTTTCCTATTCTCAAAGTGATGTTAGAGGGTCGGACGGAAAACATTCGAATAAGGGAAATATGAGGCTTGCTTTACGGGCCATAATCAGGTGAGTCACAGATAACACATCTGAGTGTCTAATCAAATTACAAACCACATGCACACATGCACATCACTTTTCCAGGCACTTTAACACCTTTACGTCAGTTGTTCAGCGCATTTGCGAGGAACATTATTCACATAGATAAGACAGTAGTAAGAACCTTATTCCTCGAAGACGAAAAAACAGGAAAATGGAAATATCAACCCATCCACATTCCCATTCTCCTGATTTTTGTCCAGTTTAACACTACGGAAAGGCAAAAACATCGAATCAGCCCGCTGTCATCGGGTGACTGGACAGGTCCGAAGGGATGCATGGCAGAAGCTGTTTGTTTAAGTCAGACATTGTTTTCTGTGACGGGGATGGCCTTAAAAACTTGCAGACGACGCTTGTTTGGTCATGGCCTTAAAATGGGTATATTGTTTGGTCATGGTCTTAAAATGGGTATATTATCAGTCAGGTCAGAGCGTAGGAGTTTTTGGCTGCCGGTTTTGCGCATGTGTTGGTCTGGCGCTCGCTCCCGCAGGTGCCTAGCCATGCGTTGTGATAGGGATGTCGTGGTTAGTCCAGTATGGGTCGAGTTGCGGAGCCGACAGCCTCCGTACGGGCATTCAAGCTCATACACTAAATTGGTGCGCTTTAGTGATTTTGGTCCGTTGTCAGGTTGTTTTTCGTTATTAGGCTACTAGTTGTTCTATTCTTGTAACAGATGATGTTCTGCAATACTTTTTCATCCACCATATATGACGTGGACATTTGATTTCAATGAAAAAGTTGATAGACCGGTTTCTTGTCGAGTGGTTTCTGGTTTCGTCGATTCAAGATGGGTCAATATCGTTGTCAGTGCTCTGTTTGAATAGCCATCATTAACGAGTTATTGCTTACACCGTTCAAGTTCGTGGCGCGTACTGGACCAGCTGGAGCAGTATTTTAGGGCACGTCGCACAAACGAACGAGTGACGGCCGTGTGGTAACGCTTTGGGCATTTGCTAGCCGCGTTCATTTGCCAGCATCAGTGGGTTTACGGTGCACTTTAATGACGAAAGATCCGTTGTTTGCATCCACATCGATATCAAGAAAAGGTAAATGGATGTCGACACTCAGGTCGGTTGTAAATCATAATGATGATTGCCGCTGCATGGTGACCTGCAGTAAGTGGAGGTGGGCCTCGTCTCTGACATCAACAAATATGTCATCGACATATCTGCAGTACATGTGTGGTTTAAGGCTAAGATTTTTGAGGATGCGGTTCTCCAGCCAACACATGCATGTACATATTTACAAACAGGCGCTCGAGCGGTGACGCCATCGCGACACCATCTACTTGACGGTAGAGTTTTCTGTTCGGACAGCGGAAAGGTGCCTCTGTTGTGCAGCATCGGAGCATTTTTTCGAGAATGGGTCGTGACAGTTTCAGTGGTGGCAAGGTTGGATGACTGTAGGCGCAGTCTATTATTATTTGGATCGTTTCATCAACAGGCGCGTTTGTGAACAGAGTGTCAACTTTTAATGAAGCAAGTAAACCAATGGGATTGCCAGATTTGATAATGTCGATGAGCTCTCCTGCTGATTTCAAGCTATACTTTGCCGGTGAGAAGTGTTCAATAATGTCATTTAAAGCTTTTACCAACTGATAGGTAGGTGTTGGCATTTGAGATATAAGTGGTCTCAGGGGCTGCCCGTTTTATGGGTTTCACATTTTATATATATATATATATATATATATATATATATATACATATATATATATATATATTTTATATATATATATATACATATATCTGCATATATATATACATATATATATATATATCTCTCTCTCTCTCTCTCTCTCTCTCTCTCTCTCTCTCTCTCTCTCCTCTCTCTCTCTCTCTCTCTCTCTCTCTCTCTCCTCTCTCTCTCTCTCTCTCTCTCTCTCTCTCTCTCTCTCTCTCTCTCTCTCTCTCTTATTGCTGTTTTTGACCGACGGCAGGCAGACCAAGCAAACGCTTGCACGTTTGTTTCTCTGCGCGCTGATGTAATATGGTCAGGAGGACTGCGAGTGACCGGTGGCAACGCTGTGACGTCAACTCCCAGGTCTTTGAAGCGACGCAAGCTGGCAAAGCTCTTAAGACATGTAACGGGTAATCGTAAGGCATATAACTGAAGGGCCACGAGATGATCGTCGCCAGGCTCACCCGGGCCGGTCAGGGCGCCCGCATCTAGAACACGACATCCATTAACTCCAAACAACACTTGCGAGAGCACGGCAGTAACAGAGCGAATGTCCGTCTTGTAACGTCATTCGGCGCGCGACGGAAGGTCCATTTCAGCATTACATCACTATAACACGTATCCGCCGTCTGGTCCTCTGCGCGCTGCATTTTCATTTCACGGAGGGATTATTTCAGCATTATATCACTATAACACGTGTCCGTCATCTGGTCCTATGTGCGCTGCATTTTCATTTCACGGAAGGTTTATTTCAGCATTATATCACTATGACATTTGTCCGTCATCTGGTCCTCTGTGCGCTGCATTTTCAATGGCATTTCATCAGTGAAATAAATGCACAAAATGAGCAATGATAAGTGACGACCCCCGAGATAAGCCACAAAATAATAATAATATGATAATGAAACTGCGTTTGAATTTTTTCACAAATGAGGTCCTGTAGATAGTGAACTCCAGATATAAAATAATTCATGCAACATCACCAATGCAATGAACCAAGTAAGAAAGCCAAACACTGCATGGATTTTACCCACAATCCATAATAAAACAGAAGCCAATCCGACAAGATATTTACACGACCGGCACTGCCACAGCCGAACAGTCAGGAATTTCTGAGGACACGGACCGGGGATGATAAGTTCTGAACTTGTCAATGTGCCAGCTACGAACGCATGCAGACACGGCAGAGTTCGAATGTGTTAACAAAAAGCGTGTATGCCCATTATGTCCACTATTCGTGTCCACTATGTTCCCCATGTCCAATATGCATGTTCATGCACATGCATACTGGTATTAATTGGGCAACACCATATTGAATGACGTCTCTTGTCGTTACATCAGCGTAAAATTGGCGACGGTATACTTCTATCGGGTAGTATTCAAACCAACAGCTCACAATCGAACAAAAGATGACACTGCTCTCCAATGTTTGGACGCTGTGAACTTTGGATGTACGAAGGCTGGATGTTATAAACGCTAGATGTTATAAACTTTGGATTCTTGATTTAGAATGCTGCGAGCTTGGACGTTGTGATTCGCTCTATCGTGGAACATTGGACGCTTTTGGGGCATGGTGAACGTTGAGTGCTGCGATTCTTGACGTTTTGACCATCAGACGCTACGAACTGTGGATGTTTCAAGACGCATCCGTATAGGATAGGTGCGATGATAATGCATGTTCTTTGAAACGACTTTCCTAAACTGCTACGGGAATGCCTATGGTAAGCAGCCTTCCCTTTCGTCACCCCGACTCTGATCGACAGCCAGTCTCAGCCTTGCAGCCTCTACCGGCCTTGACCAACCCAACCTCACGACCTTGACCCCGACCGGCAGCGGCCGACCTCGTGGGCGGCCAGGCTTGCCGGGACGGCTGGGGCCGGGACGGCTTCTGCGTCGAACTGCGCTCCTGCGTCGCCATCTTCCGGCTGCTGCGTTCGAAGCCACCTTCCGAGGACGTGGCCCGGATCAGGAAGAGCCTCTGCCGCTCACCGGTACCGTTGCGCCGACACGGCCTGAGCTCGGATGGCTGACGCGCAGGATATGGAAAGGCTTCTAAATGTGTGTGTGTGGGGGGGGGGGGGGGCAATTGCTACCTTTTTTAATCAGCAGGTGCACGCCTTGACGGGATTACCCCGCTCCCCACGGGAGCTGTTTTTCAGCTTCACCTTACGACTAGGGGCTTAGAGGCCCTTTTCCATGATCTCGAGAACTAAGTGAGCCAGAATCACGCGGAAACAGCGTTGAAAAGCTCTCGTCAAACTGCAACAGCGGAATGTTCCTGAACAATGGTGAATGCCGCCTTTGACAGGTTAAACCACATCAAGGGTGACAGATTAGGACTTCATATATTTCTCCTGCAATCTCAAGAACTAAGGGTGATGCCACAGCGTGAAATATGACATTGAATACGTCTTGGAGACTATATCGGAGGCATTGGTAGACATCGACACATGTGACATGTCATGTCAGGTCAAATATGTGAAGTATGCTGCTTCATTCCTTAGTCCGCTTTTTCAAGAACCAAACAAGCCATATCAATACAAAGATATCGAAAGACCTTGTCACGCCTAAGAACATGTGGCGTTGAGATTTTCGTATGACCTTCAAACGGTAAAACTTGTCCACAGAGGTCAAACTTTGAAGTGGTTTAATTTTTAATAACCCGACCAAAAACCGCCAAAACGACAATAATGCGCAAAGTGGCAACGCAGATGAGATTTCATGTCCATAATTTTTTTGGGTGCATTTTCTGCGACAAATTACCTTTGGCTGTGATTCTTAACCAAGTGTCGATGACTCGTTCTCGGGAAAGATGTCATATATCATGAGCTGTTAAGATCAGGAACTTCAAATATCTACACCATGCGTGAAAAGTTGCGTAAAGTCAGACATTTCGGAGGCCCTGGTGGGAGGGGGGGGGGGGGGCTGATGGCGCTGACATCGTTACAATCCATGTGTGAATGGACCTATTTGAATGCATATAGATTGTACCAATCGTGAGCATGTTTTCTAATCATAAGAAAATCGTTGAATCACTTGTGCCTGAAAATGATAATTTTGAAATATTTCCGCGTTCCATAGCATGGGCACTCCGTGATGTAACCAAGACGTGTTATGCATTGTACTACGCAAAATGCGGCTTTCCTAGGCGACACATAGGCCTCGATTGCTGAGGTTAGAACTGTCATGGATTTGACCACACAATTGTGAACCTATGACATACCGTTTCAGTGCGTTTTTCTGTATCACTCCTTTTTACAGCCCGACGTGTAAGAAGTAACGCCAAACCGCGCACTTTCACACGTCTATTCTCGTCCATGTTGCTCGTATTTATCCACAACCTCTTGTCTTCCCACAGAGCAAAAAGCCGTTCGTGTGCTGTGCTACGCCTCCACCTTCACGCACGCCCTCAACCACCACCACCACAACCACAACCACAACCACCACCACCACGCCGGCACCGCTGGACCTCTCACAGTTTGATCCCAACACGCCCGAGGGGAACCCGAAGCGTCTGCTGCTGCCTGCGCCGCCCCAGTGCGGCCACCAGGGTGTCGACATTCGGATCGTGGGTGGCGAGGAGGCCACACTCGGGGAGTTCCCTTGGCTGGCCCTGCTCGGCTTCAAAGGTGCGCAACACGAGTGGAGACCTGCTGACGGCATCAAAGGCCACGTCGGCTGTCAATTAAGGAGCGTCTGTAAAAGAGGGGTGGCGGCCTTCGAAAGCGAGACATTTGACGATACACGCCAGCCGCCTGAGAGTCTAGTTGGGTCTCCAATGTCCCGGCTAGTAGAAACGCGTTTGGCTGCGACTGGCATACCGCTGCTGGTCATGCACACTGTTAGCACGGCATACAGATGTCCCCAGAGCCGTGGGTCCCTGTCCGGATTGCCGTTCGCAATGACACGTGACTTACGCGAAGCCTCCACAAATAGATGAGGAGCCAGAGTACGTTTACAACTATGACGACTACGGCTACGACACGCCGGCGGAGAGCACCGAAGAAGCCGAGCCACGCGTGCGGTACGACTGCGGTGCTGCACTCATCAGTGACCGCTACGTTGTGACGGCGGCCCACTGCATCCCGTCGCCGTCAGCGTCGAGCAAAATGTACGTGCTCGTGCGCCGCATGCTCCCGCCGATTCAGGTGACGCAAGCGTGCTGCTGCGGCAGTTAGTCCTTTTCACCGGTGATAGTGAATGCTGTTGCTGTACAAGATGTTCCCTAAGTTGTTTAAGCGATTCTCATGCGAATTATGGTGGACGCCGTGCACCTTGTACAATGGCTACTTGCTGTACTTTTACAGCATAATCATCGCACAGATGGACAGACCTTTCTCCCGTATTCGCTCAGGCGAGCGCAAGCCAGGCCTAAATCGTCGTGGCATTGCGGTTCGTTGAATCGAACCTGATCTTGCTGATCTCGCTTTTCCCATCCATGTATCAAAAAAGAAAAAAACCTTGTCCAGGAAAAAAGTCCATAGGCGCAAGCTTCATACCGGAAACTGTGTATGCGGATTCTCGTACGCAGATGTCCGTGATGGAAATGCTCGTTACGGATATGGTCCATTGCATAGGTGGCTCATGCCAACAATATCTGCATTGGAAAAGCCCGTTAAAAACCAGCGTGCATGCAAAAGGCTCGCAGGCAAACTGCTCGTAAAACCAAATGCTCGCGAAAGAAAGGGTGCAAAGCGAAACGTCACACACACATGCTCCCATCCGCAGAGCAGGGAACTTCACGGGTTAGATAAGCCCACGGGTATTCATATACAATGGTTGACGGGTTGCGTTGGTTACAGATTTTGGAGAATTACAGACGTGGATACAAGCTTAGGTAATCTCTTAACAAAAGCCCGGATAGATACACCAATGATGCTAGTTTTACTCACATTCAGCTCCATCTACACCACCTTTGTAATCATGAGCACCAGGAAGTAAGTGTGCTAGTAAAATCTACTGAAATTCTTTCTTATTTTAGAACCAAAGTACTGGCAAAAAACAAACAGGTAAGCAACAGGTGATTACAACTTAATTAAAATAACCAGCCGGTGGACATTGACACAGCCCCGTGGGTAACAGGTGGATTGAGTCAACAGAATGTTACCTGCAAAGTATCGGTGATCGTCTCAAAGCTTTCTGATGGGAAGTGTTCGCGGTGGAAGGTTTCTGCACTTTTTACATGTGCTCGGGTAGGAGCGGGTTCATTTCACCTGCAAGTTTTCCCAGAATGATTTCCAAACGGTGCGGCGTAGCCACGCCAGACTTTGCACAGTTGTAAAGCATCTAAAATATGATTTATAAGTCATTGTAAGCTCGCCGACCCATAGCAGGTCAACGTCAGGCCGTGGCTTTCGGCGGAAAGCATTTCAAGGGAATCGTTCTATGTCATGCGACAAAGGAGTGTTAGGCGAATCCATTCATATCTGAGACGGTTTCTTAAGCAATAAAACAATTGCATTTAGAGTTACAACGAATACCATTGACCTAGGGTCAGATATAAATGTCAAATCGGGATCAAAACTTACCTGCTTTTTCACTCGAGGGCTTGGCTTATGGGATAGGTTCTGGCATTTGTTTCGAATTGATCAATGAAAGGGACCGCAACGTACATGTTTTATGGTATTTTAAAGGTCACAGTAGGTCACTGACCAAAAACAACCCAGGTCAACGTGCTGCTTCTAAGGACATAACACATAGCGTCATCGTTGACGCTTTTTTTAATGGAAAAATAGCAGCAGCCTTGTGGTTACTTGGCGGTTGCATGCATGGGCGCATGCGGAACAGGGGGGGGGGGGGCAGGGGGGCCATGCCCCCATTTTTCAAGGTGGGGGGGGCAGCAATGTTAACTGGTCCCCCACTTTTCAGATTAAGGTTGCATTTGGTTTAGTTTTGCACTGCATTAAACATGCATGCCGACTTACATAGTTCACCAGCCATCTCTCTTAAGATGCGTCATCTTTTTGGTTTGCTCATTGGCCATTGCTTAGTGCTACAGCCACAAAGCCCACGCCGCACGGCCTGGAGACTGCAACGCCGGGCGTCGAGGCTGTTATTGCTATGACTTGCGAGCATGCATGTTCAACACCATATCACACAGTTTTCTTATCAGTAATCAGCTCTGATAGCATCTTGAGCATTTTAAGACGGACATGGGTTATCCATATTAACACAAGGAACCCCATTTCACCTACAATCTACAGTCAGGGAGAACTCAATGTCTCTGAAGAACACAGAAAAACACGGAATTGGAATCTATGTGACAACTATCGGACTATCTGCGCTGATCAGGGGTGTTGTTGCCTCATTGAGTGTTCCTGTGCTGATCCGGGGCTAACTGCGGGGGTCAGAAAGCTTCCCACGTCAGGGATGGGAACGATACGACATGATATACCCTGCTAATGGCCTCCGGATCGACCGTGAGATCCCGTCCCGTGCCACCAGAATGATGGCCAGAAGACACTTCGCGATGGGACAGAATGGCCTTCGGCCCTTGACCGGGAGCGGTAATGTACCCCTGGTGTTCTACTCAAGGGGCCCCTTGCCCGAAAGGAAGTAAGGGGTCTTATTATTGGTGAGTAGAGTAGGGGTCTCACTATTGTTGAATAGGTTGGGTCGAAATTAAGTTTAAAAATCAGCAAGGCCATGCCATGCTTGCCTGAGAACGTTTATTTTTTCAGAATGGATTATTGAAACAAATTACATTAGAAGATTTGAACATGTCCGCCCAAAACCTAGAGAGCAAGGACAAGGATGGCATGGGCTACAGCTTCCGTAAAACCGAACAGCTTCAGCCACTGCAAGTGCCACCAGACGGCGGGCGCTGTTTTAATCTGTCATCTGGATAAATAAATAGCTGTGAAAACACGACCAATAGAGATTTTGCTTTAGCTTTTCCAGTTCAACCACCAGATTCCAGCCCCACTTCGCGGTGCTTTAAGGGCCAATCCGTCTTTTTCATCAGTCTAAAAATTGCACACGTGAAATATGCGCTCTGACTGCCTTCTAAATGTAAGATCTGATGTCATGAAGCGTCCAAGGATACTTTTTTAGAAACGCAGTTATTTTCGTCCATCCGATGGCCACAACTTAATATTAGCTGCTAGGCCGACGTTGCGCGGCCTACGGAGACTGCAACGCCTGGGGAAGAGGCTCGTGTTTCTAAGCTTTCCGAGTGCGCATGCTCAAAATTACGCCACATAGCTTGTATACCCAGTTGATTAAAGTGTTTATAAATAATCATTTCAGAATGGCATCATTTCGTCCACCGGTGGGCCACGGCTAAATGACTAAAATAAAAGACTACTGGGCTAACGTTTCGCGGACTAAGGAGACCGCAAAGCCTGGTGTCGAGGTTTTTGTTGCGAAGATTTGCGAGCACGCATGTTAAAAACACGTTACATAAATTGTATCACTAATCGATTCTGACTGAATGGTGAACATTTTCAGGCAAACATGGCTTGGCCATGTTAATACACATTGTTGACCACTCGATCTGCAATCAACTTTTCATCTTCAAATTTGGATCAAACATATTGATCTACAATCTCCCTTCGCGATGTCCTCAATGTCTTTAGAACGCAGAAAACAAATTTTGACAAAGGTTCTAAATTCTATCGGTTTAGAAAGAGCCAACTAACCATTGTAAATTAAGAGCCCCGGTGATTTATTCCATGCAGTCGCTCAACGCCTGATTTCTGCCGCTGATTGACCTCAAAGTACAAACAGAAATGAGCTCACGGTAGCTCCTGGCTTCTGTTCTGGTTACAAGGTAAAAATAGTAATAAAGCAAAGAAAACTGTGTCACTTGCTAATAAGTAAGCTATACGCAGGGATTTTGAGGATCATCATGAGATGTGCTTTTGTCAACCTTGTGTTCCCCTTTGGCAAGGCTCTGGCTACGCCCCTACCTACGCCCAAAAGCAAATCAAGTCGTATAAGTCGCATGATAGGCAATGAATTGTCCGCTGGGCCAACTCCTTCCTAAAGCAGACAGCTTCCCGGAGGCTACTTTTCTGCGATGGCGTAGTGTGAGGGAAGATAGTTCGGAAAAAGACACTGTTGCAGGCGTACAACACGTATTTCATACATCGTGTAGTTCAAATCACGCTTGTCCAAAAGTATGCAACAAAGCAGCCACACGATCAGTTCGCAGTCAGCCATGCGGGAGACATCCGGGCCAGGGCAGTGGCCACCGACGGCGGACAGGAGCAGAGCCTAGATGAGGAGCATATGACAGATGGGCGTTGTTATGTGGCTTGATTCTTAATAGAGAATCTCCAGTTTTATGGCTTTTGTCACATTGATTCTAGCAGTTTCGAGCTCCCGAATTTGTTCCCGCCTAAAATGCTGCGACAAGTCTTGTCTCTTGAAAAGCCGCCAACGAAATGAAGGCGCATGAAAAAATATATCGCACTGTGAGCCACCGATTCACTTTCAAAATTCCCACCAGCCTGTATCCAGACCGCATTTTGGCATCTACACTGTGGAGGCAGATGCTCCCTTAATGACCCAAAATGCCTACCCGCTCGTGGAATTTCTCCTCCCCAGGAAAGAAAATGCTGAAATGGAAGAATGATCTAGGGAACCTGGATAGCCTTATTTGCCAAATAACATATGAGTTAAATAGGCAGGATTATGCACCAGTGATAAACAAGCAGCCATGACACTTGAGTAAAGAGCGATAACAACCTCCATCCCTGACCCCCTCCCCCGCCGGTCATCGGGCTCGCTTTCCAAAAAAAGTTCCTGAAGTACACCTTGAGCTTGGCCCCCCACTTTTTGAAACGTTCCTACGCCTGTAGTTACATGAGGTGATCTGGTGGCTCTTGAGACATCAATTTGGAGTTGATCTTGTTTGACCTAATTTGACCCTAAGGTCATGACCTAGAGGCCTCATATTTTGAGACAAGCGAGATGACATAAAGGCCGAAACATCCTGCGAATTTTGTGTCTCTAGCTATCTTAGTTCTTTGAGATATCAGGGGGCTAAATTGACCACCCACCCGAACGAAGGGCATGCAACCGGCCACCCGTGCGCGTGTTGAGATTCGAGGATAAAGACACGTTCTCGAAAAACCTCCCCCGTGGAAACCTTACAGCAAACATGGCTCAAAGCTTAAACCTCTTTGATAGATTCTTCAAAGTCAACGTTTGTGAGAAAAACGTTTAAAACTCAATTATTTGCCAAATGTTTCAATGAAGTCAATCTAGCCATGAGAAGTTGATCATATAATCAGCTCTTCATATGGAGAACAATATCTGGATTAGCTCCATTCAGCTCCAAGAAGCCTGGATTTTGATCTCTCTTTCGGTCCGACCCTTCTCAATGACATTTTGAAACTTAAACATTTTGAGTGCAGTGGAGATAAGTTACCAATAATTCATAAGTTACTAAGTTACCATAAGTTACATAAGTTAACTAATGAAGACAAGCGATACAGAGTTAATTGACCAGGCCTTGAGATACAATGATGACAATGGGTTGGCTCACGTCCCGTTGCCTGGGTCTATCTATCTATCGTATATCCTATGCCATTTATAGGTCACACAATGCATCACAAGACAATACGAGTTAGCATAGATCCGATCTTGGACTTAATGCGAAGGATTTCACGTTAACATAGGGCTTACGAAAAAAGTAGCGTTTCTTCAACATGTCTCACCAAAGCTCTCTGAGGCCGCCATGGACATGCTATGGGATCAACCCCACAGGCTACGCTGCGCGGCAGGATTGGAGTTTCCAAATACGTGGCTCCCATGAGAAACGTCTCACAAGCAGTTGCACGACGCCGAAATAACCGCAACCGCAACCGCAAAAAGATGCTTAAAAAGACGGCTCTTGATGCTGCCATCATGCATCTCCGGTTAAACACACCATTTGCTGACCAACCTCTGCCATGTGAACTGTGAACCTCGTTCTTAGCGCGGTGCGATAGGTGCATTATCAGAATAGAATATTTTGCCTTGTGAACGCTATTCACCGCCAACTCTCCACCACGAACTCCGAAGACGCGAGGCTTTGGAAAGGTCTTTTTGGAATGATGACTTATTATCATAAACCTGCATATCTAAAAAAGCTTGCTTGCGTGACTTTTAAACACGAACAGTTTCCGTTCTAAACATTCCTTAATGCGAATCGTATCCATCACGAACTTGTTCTTTCTTGAGAGATGTAACCGCTTCGAATATTTTCGATTACGAACCTTTGTGTGCACGAAATTTTCCATGCGAAAATTCTCTGGCCAACTTTCCAATAGGGACCCTTTTACTTTAACTGTGCTTTAACTTTAATCAGCTTGTAACTTGTCTATCGGTTATCTATATTCATCTATAATGAAATTAAGGTTGATCGCAATGGAAACTGTCGAAATCGTAACCATAGATCTTAAACATTGATTTGTACTCAAATCATTTCACTTTAAGAGCGTGACCTGGCATGCGGGTTTCAATAACGAATATTGCCTAGAATGCTTACACACGATGCTTTGAAAGACACATTTTGTACATACTATCCTTTCCTCACTAATTTTTATTATGAGTGTAATGTGAACTACCCGTTGTCCCGCTAGTGAAACGCCGACGAGCCCCGTGCGTGTCGTTAATGCGGCGTTCATGTCGTGTCCACAGAGTGAAGATCCGCCTTGGAGAACACAATCTGGATACAGAGACTGACTGCCAAGTAAGTTGATTATCTGCCGTTCTTAGTTTTACGCAATATGATTTCTGGTTACCTTTTTAAGCGATGTACTAAAAAACTGACACGCTCTCCGCCAGCATGAGAGGGTGAAGACTATGGGATAAGCTAACAGGAACGCTCACACTCCATGCAGTTTCGAACTTTAACGCGGTGTCTGTGGGCTTAGAGTATAAGTGATTAGATTAAAGCTTTATTATGAGTATGATGCGATTAAAAAAAAACACTGAACAATTTCACCTCAAATAGAGACCCAATCTCGAAGGACAGACAGAGGCGGGAGGGGAGAGGGGACGGCGGGGGGGGGGGGCGGTCTTCACCATTTCCTGTCTCTCCTTAAAATACAAACAACTTGAGCTTGGTCTTTCGGAGAGCATGCACATGAGCGCGATGACGGGTGTAATATGAGCCTTCGAGCCTTCAGTCCCCAAATGCTTCGGAAAATTGTGATTAACCTTGTGGCGGCGCATGACAAGACACAGATCACTTGGCTCCAGGCCCCTGATCTGGGACAAGCTTCCCTGCCCCGAAGTCTGACGAACCGTTCGGCGAAGCGGGATGAAATGCACGGCAGCTGTGTCTTCAAGCCTTTCCCATCTTACCTGACCTGTCAGCTTTCTATGATGCTAGGTCGACGGGCTGTGATCACAGGTCTGTTGGGCGAACATGTGTAAACTTGACGTGCTACGACGCTTCTAGCAGGTTTGAGCTGGGGCGGTTTGCAATATTTAAAACCATCCTTCCTCCAGCATTTTCTGCATCGAACCGGTACTAGAGAAATTAACGCCTGATGATAAAAGCAACTGTGCTCGCTTCCAGCATCGCTCTTGTCCATTAGTCGACTTCCGATCGATGAATAATTATTACCGCACTTCATCGTTTTTAGTTGATCAAACTATCCTTATGGCTGACCAGAACCTACGTCGATCTTCATGCAGTATGCCAGCCATGAAACACATGCATGTCGTCCTGCAACTAAAAGGCTAGGAAAGAGTATACAACCTGCATATGAAAATGCAGTAGCATCTTAAAAGCAACATCTTTTGTATTCACAATCGCACACATGCTACGATAGATGCCGGTCTAGATCAGTCGTTGATGACCAGATGGCTCGCCATACAGCCTAGTAGTTCGTTATTTATTCGAACCCAACTCGTACGTGTTCTCGACCATGGATATCCTACCGTCGGCCACCCGCTTCTCAGTGCCGACTCCTGAGTCTGCGAAGCCGCCTCGCGCGGATCGAACGGAGGATCCTCTGGCGGAGGGTAGGCGTAAGCCCTGATCCATCGTTCTGAGGATAGATGGCGCTAAAGGGAGACGGCACCAGAATCCGGAAGCCCAGCAGGCGGAGTAATGACAAGCGCTGTGGCGGTCTCCACACTTCCGCTCCAGCGCTGTAAAACAAGCTTGCATGAGACAAACAATCGATCCGCACGCTTTTCGGAATAACTGGCTGTCGCTTCTTATCTCCAAAGGTATGGCATGAAGCACATACCTACGCATAATGCACTTGCACAATAATGCCAAAAGTGATTCCTAACTTTGCGATAGAGATTGCATAATATTTCGCTCACGTTCCAAGGCATGCATTTGTCTATGAAAAGGTAGGCAGATGCAACGCTTTGGATGCAAAAGGGTGGGATGGGGTGGGGCGAGTACCAATGCATTAAAAAGCATCTGGACCAAGACAGAGCACGAGATTACGGCAACGCAATCACTGTCCGCACCTGGCAGCCCCTCACCTGATGAGCTGCTGATGCGGGTCGCCGCCGCCGGCCGCCTTCGCGACCCGCCTTCCGTGACACGCCGCCGCGTGAGATGGGTCAGGCGGGCACCGGGCCTGTCCCAGCGCCAGGCTCACCAGCAGCACCACAACTAGCGGGGGTAATACTTCTGCTCCCATGCTGCCCGGACGACTTTCTCCCGGCGTCTGGGGGCGACCGGGCTGGCCGTGGCCACGCACGGCCCGGCCGCCCGGCTGATCAAGATGGCCCGCCACGATCGACACTGCCAGCCCAGGGCATCTGACCCGCCCAAGGTCGACGTGGTCGCCGTCGGAGGCCCGGTCGTGGGATTGTGACATTTCCAGCGGGGGTGATTGATGCAGCGTGGTCACGCTATGGGCGGGGGAGGGGGGGGGGAAGGCGTATAGGCAGAAGGTCACAGCGCTCACTCTCTTTCTGGATACGCGTTGCATAGGGATGTTGTTGTATGATGATAGGAGGGCATAACGCGGAGTTCGGTCCGCGTACATTTAAATCCTCATCCTTTCCCAACGCACCAGAACCATGAAACAGGGGCGTAGTTTCTCTTTCAATTAGGGGGTCCCAGCCCCTTCTCACAATTGGACTCAAGCCCATCCATCCCCTAAAAAGGTAACAGAAGGCCAAATCCGCGGACAACCCGCGTGTTGGCGTAATTTAGCGGTAAATTGCTTGATTTTTTCACTGTTCAGCCTCCTCGACTCATTTCAGTTTCCTTCTACTCACTTTTATGCCCTTGCCACGAAATTGCACATTCTGATGCACATTGATCTGGTTAGTATTGCCAATCAAGGATGGGATCCATTTTGAGCGATTCATATTATGAATTTTTCCATTATATAATCCCGCCAGTGGATGATTTAAAGCATTTGTTTTCCTACCAGCTGAGTTTTCGTTTTTTGTTCCAGGCAAGTCATTGCTGTATATATGTTGTATTGTTCCCTTTATAGCTTTCGCAGGAGAACCGCAATCGAGGATTTTTTGACCATCGGGATTCTGTGTCAACAATGCGTCAATAATCATCCCTCTAGCCTTCATGTAAATCATCTACCGAAAAGAGCCTGCCTGTTTGTTTGCTACTGCCTGTTTGTTTGTTTGTTACTGCCTGTTTCTCGCATTCGACCGTCTCATGTCGGTAGTATACCGGTCGCATGCTTCCAACCCCCGTGGTTGTTCGCTACCTGACAACGACGACGGCTATGTCCTACAGGAGGAGGACGCCGCCATACCCGGCCAACCGCCAGGCGAAGGGAGAGTCTGCAACAACCCGCCGGTGGACGTGGCGCCAGAGTGGATTCTTCCGCACGAGGACTTCAACAAGCCTTACCGCAACAAGAATGATATCGCGCTGATCAAGCTCTCCCAGCCCGTCAACTTTACCAGTGAGTCGAAGCCAGCGGAGGGACGGGGTTAGAGAAGTTACAGCTTGCGGGAAAGGAAGCCACAGCATACGGGAAAAGAGGTCACAGTCCTGCCAGAAAGGCATACTGCATTGTGTATACACGAGGTGTACCTTGAAGCTCAGACCGCAATCGAGTTAAATAAATCTTTCATAGACTGCAGGACATAGTTTGAATATTTCTGCATAGCCATGCACCTCAAGTGGCTGCGTTTGTGCTGGAGGAGCGGAGCAGGTGCGGGTGTGGAGACGGTATGGAGCCTCTTTGCCTGACACTGCGATCGTTTCAGCGTGGATACGGCCCATATGCTTGCCGTTCGGAGACTGGCGGATCCAAGATCCCCCGCCAGGTCCCAGGCCGTATGTTGCTGGATTTGGGCTGACCAAGGCCTGTAAGTGCTGTGAATGCTGTTTCTCAGACTAGTGGCGTTCTCTAAAACTCTCAAATTGTCTAACCGCATGAGGCTTGTTATCACCGCCACCTGGCGTCGTTTGACGCCACTTGGCGTCAACCGCTGTCTCAAGGGAGCCACCATTCGAGTCGGCGTACCCATGACGGACTTCGTTTCGCAAGGTAGCTTTTTTGGGGAAGCTGAGCAGGGAAGAACCTACCCTTAGATACTAATACACGGGTTTCTCCCAGAAGTTGAACTACTCTCCTTGCTAATGATGATAATATCTTTAAACAGAAATTGCAGCTTTACCGGACATGTGCTCTTTCCTCCTTCCATGATAAGGAACACGTCCGTTATTTGTTTTGCATCTCTAGCCCAATCAGGGGCCAAACGGACGTTGTTTTTCGGAACGTTATCTTAACACTCACCCGGGTGGGGATGGGGTCAAACTGACCCCCCGAAGTTTTTTCCAAAATGGTTTCCGAACGGCGCGGCGTAGCCGCGCCACATTTTGCATAAATATAGACAATTGAATATCAAATCGTTTGACATCACAAAATTAGACGTACCTTATAAGGTCACTGACCTATGGCAGGTCAAAGTCAGGGCATGGTTTCAGCGAAGTCAATCTCTAGGGAATCGTTTAATCTGATGCAACAACGGAGTGTTAGACAACGCCATACATCTCTGAGATGCTTTCTTAGGCAACATAAATACTCAGTGAGCAATTCGTGTTGACCAAAGGTCAGGTATAAAGGTCGGACCAAGGCCAAAACCAACCTGTTTTAATACTGTAGGGATCCTTTTTTATTTAATGCTGCTGTGTTGGATAGGTTCTGGTGCTCATTTTGAGAATCTATTGATAGCAGGTACCGCATGATACATCTTCCACGGACTTCATAGAGGTCAGAATAGGACATTGACCTAAAATGGTCCAGTTCGACATTTTGCGTTTAGAAACATACTGCCTAGCGTAATCTTTGTCGCTTATTCAAGTGCAAAACTCACAACAGTCTTGCTTCACTTTGGTCACCATGACCTTCAGAAAGTCAAAAAAGGTCACTGGCTTTCCTGAGCATGTGACGTTTTGCTTAGAAACAGTTATCTAGGTTCTGGGGCCAATTTGGAGACCAACGAGGGATTCGACCTTGCTTCACCTTATTTGACCCAAAGGTCATGATCAACGAGCTTCAAACTTTGACCTAAGCAAGTTCACGTACAGAGAAATACACCCTATGAATTTAGTGTCTCTAGCTCTCTTAGTTCCGAGGTCTTAGGGGGTCAAACTGACCCCCACCCGAGCGAAGGGTATCTAGCCAGCCACCCGGACGCGTGTTAACACATCATATTCTTAACACAATTTATGGACAGTCCATGTGACGTCGATTGCACTAATATGGAGTTGAGAAGCATTGCAAAGGTCGCATTCTCGCTTAAAAACAATGTTCAACATTTAAATATATCGATGTGAGCATCAGACATGGTGACACAAGCTCACGCACAACTGTTGTTATCGTTTTAAGTAGAAAAGAATGCTCCGGAGAACAAAATTTCTCTGTGAAGTAAATCTGCGCCTAGATATGTCTTTGTTTGATTACGTCATCGTAAATTACACGACATTTATTGATAACCATTTGACGGTCGTTATGTTTGCAAATCGTGCTCTCGAATGCCAGATATGCATGACTTGACCATCATGTTTTTATTGGTCCAGATCACCGCATATTTTTTACATGACACAATTTGAATGACGTTATTATAACGCCATGAATGCCGAGATGGTCTTCAATTACTCTCCAATATTGCTCTCCCTCATCTTTGCGAAATTTAAGCTAAAGAACCAGAGAGCTTTATGTCTTAAAAAGGGCATGGCTGTGAGCTGCATCAAAGGGTCTTCAATATGGCTACCTCAGTTCAAGACCACAGATAAATTTGGAACTCACTTTAACATGTTAATGTATTCTTCCAGTGCTTCGTAGTTGATGACTTGCGTTGTTCCTCCTGTGATATCGGCCCCGGCAAGGATGCGTTCTTCAGGTTTTCAGTCGGTTTTGTGTCACAAGCCAGTCACCCGGACCATGTACCGTCGTTTCCCATGTTTTAAATGGAGATGTAGAGTGGGATGCAGCATGACCGATGTGTGCAGCCCCGTTGACCTCCCCGCGGTCGCCCTGATGGTACTGACGATACTGATGGTATGGTACCTGATGACGATGTGGTCACCCTGATGACACTTTGTCCGCCTCCAGACGGCGACATAAGTCCAACGCTGCAGATGCTGCGTGTGCCCATCGTGGATACGCAGCAGTGTGCGCGCCAGTTCCGCCGGCTGCGCGCCAAGGTCGGCCAAGGTCAGATGTGCGCCGGGGGCGAGAAAGGCAAGGACTCGTGCAAGGGCGACTCGGGCGGCCCACTGATGATGCACGGGTCCTACGGGCCGCCCTACTACTTGGTGGGCGTCGTCTCGTACGGCACGCTTCGCTGTGGCGGCGGCAACATGCCCGGTATCTACACGAGAGTCGCCGACTACATGGACTGGATCCTCGACAAGATGACATACTGAGCATCCGCAGGGACCGCCACCGGACACTGAGACACCGTCTGGAGGCGCCCGTTCCGAGTCACGTCTCGGTCGTCGGGTGGGGGGGGGATCATCAGGGGGGGGGGGGATGGTGCTCAGCGTCGGCGGAACTTGGAGCTTTGGCCACCGGAGTGTAGCCACTGGTGACGCGCGGCGTTTGAGCTGGAGGCATGGGGCTCGGTGCGCACGAATCGCCGAGTGTGACTGGTGCTGGAGGATCGGTCACGTGGTGTTTCAAAGGCAGGAAACAGTGCCCGCTGCCAATAGCAGATATGAACTGTGTTTGAAACGCGTTGTGCAGAATGACGCTACAGTTTCCTAAATTCACCGTTACCGAATAATCTGCGACCTGGACAACCGTGCCCGGGATGACAGCAATACAAGCGTAGGGGCCACTGAGAGCGTTTTCACTCAGGACGACCAGGCAGGACGCGGAGGTTGCCTGCTTCCATGGCGTTTGCTACCGCTACCGAAGCGGATGAAAATAGGTACGTTCATTCAACTCACATGCGACACAACATCCAAGGCTCTCCTGAAGAATGGTTGGGGGGAGGGGATACCGCAGTTTGTGTTGCAGTAAGCCTCGTTCGCCGTTTGTGTTGACAAATATACGTACACACATGTGTCTCCCACTTGATTTCACCGGGAAGAAATCATCGTATTCGAGTGCTTGATGCTGCAAGAGTAAGTAGCTTGAATTGGAATGAATAGGCATTGTCTAGCACTGTCCGCGATAAACTCCAATAATTTGTGTTTAAACAGAGCAGTGCAGCTGCACCACAACACTTAGCGTAATTGTCGGCATGTTCAACACCTGGTGACTAAGGCTCAACGACAAATTATGTAGGCATTGCCGCGTAATGTAAGCCATTTACATTATGCACGCCTGTGTGACATAGAAATAATATATATATATATATATATATATATATATATATATATATATATGTATATATATATATATATTGTTTAGTTTAGTTTGTCTGTCTGTTTAGGGCAGGAGAGAGTTCGTTAATGAATATGCTTTCCCAAATTTGAAGGCGTCTTCTGTCATTGCATGTTCGTGAAATTTCAGTGCTGTCTGTCAGTTGTTGCCGTGTCAATGTCATGTCGTGTTCGTGTCGCATGTGGTCGAGAGGTGCCCCGTCACGTAAGTGCATTGTCAGGCGTCGTGAGAGTGTCGTTATGGTCACACCAATGTAGTGTATGGGATGACGTTTGCAGCCTTCGATGCTGCATATATATATATATATATATATATATATATATATATATATATATATATATATATATATATATATATATATGGATCACGTGCCATTTCAAGTTATTTTCTGGCCTGCACAACTTTAGTCTTATTTGGTGAGGTTTCTGCGCTACCATGCTTCAACTAGTGTGCACATATGGAAAGCACTGGTCTTGCCTGGCTATTGCTTTTTCACACGGTGTGTGAAAAGGAGGACCGCTGCTCTTCCAACACGTGATACTTCCTGCAATGCTTTTCGATCAAATGCCTAGCAAAAGTGGTCATTTTAAGCGTCATTTTTAAGGAAACGGCATTTAAGGACATTAGAGCTTCATCGCTAACGCTGTTGTGAACAAAATAGGGTTCATTTACACTTGTAGCATGCCTCATGTATTCAAGGTAGAGAAGAGTAGGAATAGAGAGATTTGAATCAGTTTGTACTCTAAGCTCCCTCATGTCATAACTACTGACGACCAGACTGATATATCTATATTAACAGACATCTGTAGCTTTCAGGTACGTATGAAGTGGTACTATTTTGGAGAATTATGACCTCCGAATGAGCTTCTTTGAAATGGTATAACCTGCCCCACCTTGGGGTAAATCATTTCACCTGGTGGGGAAGTTGTATTATGTTTTACTGCCTGGAGCAGGTCGATTCAGAAGCAAACTGGATGGATTGATGTGTAAACAAAACAAACAAAAACGCTCGTGTCTGCCAGCTGACCATTGGTCGTAGATACGTCAAGGCAGATGTTTCTCCCTTTTACAATTTCGTTTACTAATTTTTAACCCTTTCTTGTAAGTGTTGCTTAATTCCGATGCCTATTTGAGTTTTATCCTCCCAGTGTCTTAGACTTCTCTCCAATGTTTAGATCATTCCAGTGTTTGTTTAGAAATTGTGGTCACCTCGATTTCGGTTGTTCGGGTGGGAGTCACAGACCTACCTAGATACCGTCAAGGCCGCCTTATTGTCTGGATGACAGTAAGTCAAGTCAATCATATCATTCAATCATTGACGGCAAATCATCTAATTGATCCTTTCGGGTTCATTGTACCACAGTTACAACATGCCCTATATACACGGCTGATACAACATGCACCGCCCGACACTTCGGAAGAAAGTCCGGAACACTCCTAAATCCTAGGCATATAGACGCCAAGTTTTTCATAGTGTATGCAGTACATGTACCTCCCACCGCTCAGTAGCACATCCAAAAAACTCTGGCTGTACTGTAATATTTTAAATCCACATTTCATTCGACTACTAGAGCTTTCAGGAATATAAAAATTGTCGCGCTCATCCTTAGATGCATGCACGCATGCAGCCTGAAGAACACTAAAAAATAGAGAACGCCGCTGTGCGTCAGCCAAGTGGCTCTCAAAACCGGCACCTGTTGCACGGATTTAGAGTAAATCGCCCTGATACTTCTTGAACATGATACAACTTACCTCTCTTCCACTTGTGTCAGCCCCTCATAAACTTGTAAGAGAATCTCAGAATCGCGCAGCGGCAGACAATGCTGATCGCTGGTAAGCATCGTTACTCACTCAAGTTATCGGCATAGGCTTTTTCTCAGGCAGATATAAATGAAAAAGTCCTTAGGTTTTCACAGTCGGCACAAATATCGTCTGTTATTTTCTTGCGAGCTGTCATAGCTTACAAGTTATGAGGCTGTACATGCAATTATACGACGAAATATACGAAATAGAACGTGTAATTACTAGACTTGACGGCAGTCGTACGGGGGAGGGCGGGGGGGGGGAGGGGTTGCGAGTGTTTTCCATACTATTACTTGCCATATATGCCTATATGCTGAGTGTTCGGCCATGTCATACGTGTTGCAAAAAGTACTTTAAAGTTTTAATGGCCCACTGACCACAGTCATGTAGTTTCAAAAACGCCTTCCACTGAAGTAAGACCGGTAGCAATCAAGGGAAATTATGTTCAGCTGATGAAATGCTTCTGGTGTGCTGCTGATGAAACTGAGCATGCGCTTGGGACCAGGCATTTGGAACTCAAAATAGCATTACTCAGTAAGCTATTTGAATTTGCCAATTTTTCTGTCACAAAATGTAGTTATGTTCAGGAGAATGTGGAATAGACGGGGTATACCCTATCATTAATGGCATCGGAATATCGGGTCCATGAGAAAGACCGTTGTTGAGGTTGAACGCGGCAAAGTCTTCATGTTATTCCCACGTGCGTAACTTACTGGCTGACCTCGCACCACAACATAGTACCCGCTTAGATCATTGTGGCCAATCAACTTCCTCACCATCTTATGACGTATCTCGCCTGCTATAACTCTTTCGATCTCAGCTTTTCATTATTTTTCTCTAATTCTTGTTTTGAACATGGGGCCCACTGATTTCGGTGCTCAAAAATCCACAGAATCCAAAGGTTTTGTGGAATATTCAGATGCTCTGATTACGAATACTGGTTTCTAGTTGCAACCAACTGTATGAAAGTCACTGCACTTTACCACGACAAGCTGAGTTTCTCAACATACGCTTAAGGTTAGCGGCGCAGACCAAACGGACCACAGCACCTGCTCTTGGAGCGGCGATAACATGGCTCCCAATGAAAACGGCAACCTTAGGAACAGTTCCAGAGTCCATCAACAGTTATGTCGTCGCCTGATTTATTTGTATTTCCCAGCGGTGGAACCAACACCTAATTCAGCTGCTTCGACTTTATAACCATAAGCGCAGCACCCAAGCCCCGAAAATTTCTGCGACCCGCTGGTCAAACGCGCCGCGGACGAAAAACGCCACCGGATCAGGCGTTGTTTGTCACCCTTGCCTGCGCCTTGCCCTGCTCGGCGCCCGACCGACGGAGGGAAGCGTCGCCAGGCGCCGCCACCTGTTCCTTGTTTACGGTCGCCGTTGGATTGGGTGACCTGCACCCGATGTAGGTCGCCTAGATGGCGCCAGCGCCGCGCCGGCCGGACGCCGGGCCACCGACCGGCCGACAGTGAAGATCCAGAACCGGTGTCACCGACAACGCAGCGTCGTTGTCGACTGCCGACCGGACTCGACCGTCTCCAACTACCACCGGTCAGTGGTCACTGCCGTTACCTCCGACCAGCCAAGCTGCCTGAAGTCGGTGCATACCGGTTCGGAACGGGTTTAACGACTGTCCGGCACTAAACACGCCCGAGGCTGCTTTCGATGGTTATGTGTTGCCAAACTTGAACGGTCCTCGTAAAAACGTCACCTGCGAGTGTACAAATCAGAGAGTCCGAGAGTGTAACAATAAGAAACTAATTAATGCACCAGACTCTTGGTATCGCATTTGCCTCATTGCTTCATTGCGGCTCCAGCGGCTGCTAACCGTTTATGTGGTACGGATGTGCCCATTGCTCTGAATGTGGTCTTTATCAGGTGTGTTCGTATGTACACTGCAGCGTGTACAAAGGTGCTAACACAGCGGACGAGGACGATGGAGCAATGATACTATCCGTAATAACATTGCGCTATATCAATTATTTCGTTAAGCTGTAATGATTGACACACCGAATAAAGTTGAAAAAATGATTTACCGATAGATCGTAACAAGAAATATTGATCATAACAAACATAGCGCATAATCTGTCTCGTTGCGTTCAGCCCCTAGCACCCCCGTTTTGCACCATGTATTTTTGCTTCGGATAAGCCATAACGCTTTCGCAATGCATAATTTTACACCACCATCATGGACAAATTGCGCAAAATTATCGTAAGAGTGCGCTTAATACCAGTTTGTCCGATCATGCTGGCCAGAAAAGCTTTGTTGGAAACAACAGAGTATGAAATCGTCCTGAATGTGTGCGGGGATTGGCGGAATGGTCCGATGGCGCGTAGGGCAGGAGCTGCTTAACGGTTGTCAACAGGACTTTGCTAAGAGACCTGGTCATGATTTCACACTCAGATAGTTGTTTTATGACCGCGTAGCTCTCATAGGTTGTCAAATCAAAAGCTTTCGTCAAAATAAGAGATATTTGCATTCACCTCCAGCCATAGCACTCTTGCTATGGCAAGGCATGTCTGCGCTTTAAGGAATACGTTCTCCATGCACGGTCTCTTTTCGCGGGAGGGCTCACGGCGCGCATTACGTAACTCCCTAACAGCATTCTCATGTGTCGCTCCAGTAGTCGCACGAGCCCGAAGCCGTCCTCTCACATGCCCAGCTCACGCCTCGCCGGGTCGTTCGGTCCGAGCCCCATCTGGCGCCCGCAGCTCGGTAACTGTTTTGGTGACCCGGTGATGTTGTGACGTCACTGCCGGTCAGCCGGCGCCGGTGTGCTGCGGCCCGGGCCGGCGGCGCGGCCGGGCGTGCTCCACAGTCAGTGCCGGTCAGCCGGCGCCGGTCTGCTGCGGCACGGGCTCGCGGCGCGGCCGGGCGTGCTCCACAGTCAGTGCCGGTCAGCCGGCGCCGGTCTGCTGCGGCCCGGGCCCGCGGCGCGGCCGGGCGTGCTCCACAGTCATGGCTGCCAGCCCTGTGACGCGCGATGAGATCCTGGACGTCACGGCACCTTAACTGGGCTGATCGGACGAGCATAAGCGGGTCATCACGGTACAGAGCAGTGAGCGTCACGAGAGCCTTCGTGGCAATGACCGAAAAAAACAGGCGATACGATTCCCTGGCACGCCATGGGGACATGTGATTGTTTTATGAAGTCGCGTTCGAAGGAATCTATTGTCATCTCAGTAAATGTCCCCGAAATTGATTAAAACAAGTGCTTTTAGCATGCCTGACACACGTTGCACATTTCAAAACAAGGTATGGTCTGCATATTTTAGGTCTGCGTTTCAAAAAATTTAGATGTGCTCCACAGCTTATCAGTCGAGAAAAAAATTAACTGGATGCTTGATTACTCACGAGTTAGGAAGTTTCTTGAATCATCTGTGATACCGATGCGCCGTTGCTCAGCCGCCTGAGCCCCTCGGATCCTATGCCCCTCGTCCAAACCCAAGCTCGATCTCCCAGCAGACACTATGGTCAGTGGACGCTCCCATGTTGTCTCTGGCACTCCATGAAAGGCTGCGTGAAGACGGGTGTCACGCTCTGCCTTCAGTCTGCGATGCAATGCATTGTGTGGAGAGCTGCTAGCGGCGATGACCTTTAAGGATGGAACCACCTAAGACGGTGATCAAGAACTAGAAGAGACGTTTGAAATCCTCCGTTCATTGCCATTCACATCTGTGACACCTGATATGGGAAGAGGAAACGTTTGCATCATTTCGTAAAAGTAATCCTTGGGTTCTTGCTATTCAATAAATTTCGCCCGCTACGCTGACCACATCCATTTAATTCGAAATTAGGAACAGTTTCTATCAAATGTACGACACGCAGAAGCAGAAGGAAACGCACGCAGCATATTTTTGCATTAATCCAAATCTTCAGACTTAGCATGAAGCCTATGAAAGGTCTTAACAACTTCCAATGAATAATACCCGCGTTTAAAGCATTTTGACTAAATTTGACGAAACTCATAGAAGTCTAAATGTCTTGAAATGAAACTTTTTGTGCAATTGATGTATTGGAATGTTGGTCAGAATAGAGAACACATCGCTCCATATATGGAGATGATCACTCCACCATCGCCCTATGTATGGAGATGGTCACTCCACCACCGCCCTATGTATGGAGATGGTCACTCCGCCATAACTCTATGTGTGGAAATGGCTACTCCACCTCATTATGCGTACTTGCTCGATTTATCCACATTCATATCGCTATTGCAAGTTGATATTCCAACACGATAAAACAGCACGGACATGTCACCACACCCCACAACAGAATATAGCTACAGGACGCTCTCATTAAATCATGCTTGTCACCAGCGGGCCGAGGTGTGAACTGTGCGGATCGTCATTGACAACAGTCGTGCGCATCGAGGACTGGCTGCGACCACAGTCTACGAACTGCCGTTCCGAACGGATTCTCATGATAATTTCAGCGCACTGCGTTGATAACAGATTTAAGCACGCAGGAAAAAGGCGAGCAATGACTTTCAAGGAGCAAAGCTATTGTTCCTCCATCATAATGGTGGCAAATTTATTATAATTGGGAAACTTCGCAGGCATAAGGACCCCAAATCTGCTAGAAAAGCTACCGTTAATATGACGATCTAGTCTCTAAAAGTTATCTGGCTGTCGTATGAATAACAGCCTTCGCACTTCTTGGGGCGAATGATTGAACGGTACTACAGCTGATCATCGGGAGTCCACGCTTCAGGCATCAATCGCCACCCGTTTCCACGGTCGGGGAAGATGGCGTGGCGATCGGGGAAGAGCTTTCGATGCCACGGCATTCAAATACGCCGAAGCACAGCTGGCACTCTACATTCAGCCGGTGGTCTGTCGTGCGCCAGGGCGGCCCAGCCTCCCTCTCTCCGACGGAAACTGTCACGCCCAACCAGATGGCCGGCTGGGGACTGCATCCGTGGGTGTGCCGCTATCCCGGCACCATTCATCCACCTGGCTGCCAGCTGCGGTATCCGTAAATCTCGGCAGCTCCGCCGCCGCCGCCGCCGCCGCCGCCGCCGCCGCCGCCGCCGCCGCTGCCACCGGGCTCGCCGCTGGCCTACCTGGTCTCGCCGTCGTCTGACTGCAGCCCCGCCGAGGGGTGAGGGACCCCGAAAGGGGGGCAGCCGCGCGCGCCCGGCTGGCGGCCGTGTAGGCGTAACGGTGCGGCCAGATGCAAATCGGTCGGCGGACGGGCGCGCGCGCTGCCAACATACCGCCTTACGGTACTAGCCGCCACCCGCCGCCGGCGCCGGCGCTGTCTCCGCCGCTGCCGTCCACTGCCAGTGCCTGCGCTGGCGCCGGCGCCGCCTCCCACCACTGGTGACCGCGCCGGGTCTGTCTCCGCCACTGCCGTTCATCGCCGCCACCGCCGGCACCATCTCCGCCACTGCTGGACATCCCATCCTGGTAACGCACCCCACGTGGGGCGTGTCCGTCGTACTGAAAGTAAGAAATGTCTGCAGAAACAGGTTGTTCGCATCAAGTCGATGGCGGCTGCGGTGGGCAGTGGTAACGCAGCGGTGGCGCAGTGGATGAGCCAGCTCGGCGAGCTCTTGGTCAGCTTCATAAAGCAGTCGAGCCAACACCACCGGCGAGCGGGCGGGGAGCAGCGAACCTGCCTTTGCGCAGCCCTCTGCGCAGCGCACTGTCTTGGGAGCACGCCTGAGCCGGGCCGACCCCGTTCACTCAGCAGGCCCGGCACCGCGCCTCAGCTCCGGCGGCAGATGGCGCGGTACCGCCCCAGACTGAGCCGATGCTGCACGGCGCCCGCCCCCAGAACCGACCGTGGGAGCGGGCGGCGGATGCGGAGCCGGGCCGAGCTCTCTCCGCCCATCTCCCACGACCGACATCGCTGGCGGCGGCGCCTCTGCAGCGCGACCGGCGCCGCCCGCACACCCGCCCGCAGCTGACCCCGAAACGCGCCGGCCGGGGCGGTGGAATGGCATTGGGGCCCGATCAAGCAAGACGCCATCGCCCCGGAAAACGGGGTGCTCTTTGATAGCTGGGCCGCAGGGCATTTTGCCGCGAGGAATCGGCGCTGCAGATTGCGGTCAGACGGATTAATGGACTGTAATTTCGGCGTCGTTTAAAGGCACTTAGTGCGGCACACATTCCGGTTATTTGGAGCCCGGCTGTCGGCCGCTGTTACAATGACATTCCGGCACGTGTCGCTGGCTAATCGCGACACAACTTCCAGCGGCCTGGATGAGTGTGAGCTAGTTCCTGGAAATATAAAGCCTTCACGGCGTCCTTGATTAGCAGACTGGAACACCTGGTGTGCGAACTGAAGCTTTGTTCAAAGGAAGCACGGCCACTGAGCAGAAGCAGAGAAGGCTCGGAATGGACTGTTTGAAGGAGACATTTCAGCTGATAAGAACATTTTTTTCTGGGATATGAACCTACCTGGGGGCAACATGCACGTCTATGTTTTTGACGGTTAATAGTTGTAAACTGCATGCTTATTGGCTTGCATGTTCTTTTGGTAACATACCATACTTGGACAATCGCCATTGAATTTATACGCGTTTGTGAAGCTTTTTAACAAACGTATATATGTCTTGTGTTCTGTTGACGCAAAGCAAATCTGCTGAAAGTTGACGAAATCCTAAAGGAATCTGAACTCTAAAGGTACAACTTATAAACAACGGTACGAAAGCTCATCGACATAATATAGAATAGGATAAGATTAGTCTACTTCAATTGCGTGAGGTACTTTCGTAGCACAATGTGCAAGAGCATCGAAATTATTCTCCCATTACACGGAAACGTTTATGTCTTTACGATCCTATAAGCTTTGTTGATCTGATCCTAACTCTTCTTTAGCGATCCCGATTACGATTACGAGGCCACATCAGCCATAATCAGGCCCGCCAATCGGTCCAGCTGCCCGTGAAAGCACGGTCACTGCGCCACTCCCCGCCATCGACAAGTCGGCAACAGAAGCTCCTTTATTTCCCCTAATGCACAAGTTAAGAACAAGCGGGAGGAAAGCCAGTTTGTTTCACAACCATGCCATTAAAGTTCACTGGACTGGGGTCAAGGCCCTAGAAATACGACTGGGGTGTGTCTGGGTCATAATAACCTACCGGCTCGACTGGTACATGAGTGAAGCCCGACAGTCAGCTGACCTGACCGGCATGTCTCTGGGCCTGCGACCCTAAGCAGACGCGGACTGAAGTGCGACTGACACACTCGGTCTCCAGCTCCGATTGCCATACCTGACACAGCCGAGTCGCTGCACCGCACCGCGGACTGCCGCGCGTCTGAGGCGAGGAAGGCCCCGCCCCAGCTAAGTCCGAGCAGGCGCGGCCCGAGCGCTAAGACGTCACCGACAGAACGCCAGGTCTGGCAGCCCGACACCGATCTCGCGCGCCGCACCGCTGGCGGGCCCCGCACGAGGCGCACGGTCGGCCGCCCGCCGCGAAGCGGGCCACGGGGCGCCGCCGCCACCGCCGCACTGGGTCATCGACCGTGACCCCGCTGCGCAGGACCACCGTGTCAGCCGAGGCTGGGGCTGACCCAGACAGCGCGTACAATGACACCCGTCTGATTCATGCGACTTTCTAGCGGCGCCCAATGTTTCCAAGAGCGGCTCTTCCGGGATGATGAATGTCAGGGTCGGAGAACTGAAAACTGTTCAGCGGTGGACGAGAGAAGCGGCGGGAAAACCCGGGCTGGCGTAGCTGCAGTATATAACACGGTCTCCACGAACAGCTGTAAAAGCAAGCCATTTTGACTGACATTCGACTAACTACGATACGTAAACCAGTTGTGTGCATGGTTGTTGCTTATGTTATTTCATCAAGAGTCTGGCAGGCATCTCGCAATCCCGAACTGACGTACGGAAAACGTGTCAAAACATAACTTAGTTAAGTTCACTCCCAGTTGTATTAAACAACATTGCCTCGATCATTCACTGCCTCGCCGAGAACCTAGAAAACAAACGCAATCTTCAAATCGTTGAATTAGCAGCTTCCAGTCCAATATAGCATGTCTGTGTCTTTGGTCCTATGGCTGAGACCATTTGACTACGGCAAGACTTTCTTCAACGTAACAATAACGGTCCAAAAGTTGGCACCCTAACCTTGAGCCCGCCCACTTCTCTGCACAAGTTGGACCGTCTCCAATGCGGTCTTCTCGCTTTTCTGGAATCTTCGCCTTGGTGTGGGCCCTCGTGTGGCGGATGACGCGGAGCAACAAATATCACCGACGTGTGTGGTCCGTTTGTGGCAGATGATGCCGGGCAGCAGGCATCACTAAAGTCTGTATATGGCAGATAATGCCGAGCAGCAGGCATCACTGACCTGTGTGGTCCGTTTGTGGCAGATGATGCCGAGCAGCAGGCATCACTGACGTGTGTGGCTCGTTTGTGGCAGATGATGCCGGGCAGCAGGCATCACTTAAGTCCGTATATGGCAGATAATGCCGAGCAGCAGGCATCACTGACGTGTGTGGTCCGTTTGTGGCAGATGATGCCGAGCAGCAGGCATCACTGACGTGTGCGGTCCGTTCGTGGCAGATGATGCCGGGCAGCAGGCATCACTTAAGTCCGTATATGGCAGATAATGCCGAGCAGCAGGCATCACTGACGTGTGTGGCCCGTTTGTGGCAGATGATGCCGAGCAGCAGGCATCACTAAAGTCCGTATATGGCAGATGACGCCGAGCAGCAGGCATCACTAAAGTCCGTATATGACAGATGATGCCGAGCAGCAGGCATCACTAAAGTCCGTATATGACAGATGATGCCGAGCAGCAGGCATCACTAAAGTCCGTATATGAGAGATGACGCCGAGCAGAAGGCATCACTGACGTATGTGGAAGATGATGCCAAGCAGCAGGCATCACTGACGTGCGTGGTTCGCGTGTTGCAGATGACGCGCAGCAGCAGGCACGGTATGCGGTGGCTGGCGCTCTGCGTGGCTGCGGCAGCGGTCGTCTGCGCCGCTGGCCTGCCGACCAACGGTGAGCATCGGCTGACGGCCGCCGTCACGCGCCATCGCCCGCCCGGCCCGCGCCACACCGTCCCCGACACAGACACACACACACACACACACACACACACACACACACACACACACACACACACACACACACACACACACACACACACACACACACACACACACACACACACACACACACACACACACACACACACAGTCCTCCGCCCGGCCCGCGCCACACCGTCCCCGACACAGACACACACACACACACACACACACACACACACACACACACACACACACACACACACACACACACACACACACACACACACACACACACACACACACACACACACACACACCACACGCGCACACACACATACACACACGCACACACACGCACGCACACGCACACACACACACACACACACACACACACACACACACACACACACACACACACACACACACACACACACACACACACACACACACACACACGCAAGCATGGGGAAAATAACCAACTGCCTACAAACGCACAATGTCTACGGTTTGCACATCAATGTATCGTGGTGTTCTCGTTGTCAACAAATTTGTTTGGTTTCATTTTCGTTCCTTGCAGTGGTATGAAGAGTGTGATTTTACGTATCAAAGGTAAAAGCCATCGTACACAAGCGAAAGATGCATATTCAAATAACCATTTCATTTGCTGCTTTCGCCGTTTTGACCACTTTTGCAAAAGCTTTTAACGCGGTATGTTTGGAATATTTTGCAACCATGATCTTTTTAGTCCAAAGATGCATTTATTGCTGCAATGTTTCTCACGTGAGTGCATTGACATGCGTTACGTACAGAATAACCCGTTAAAAGTGTATAGCAGTTGAATTTAACTGCTTATTTTCCGAAACTCTCCGCAAATTCCAGAATGTTCCACAGAAGAAGCTTTTGTAAAAGCGGCTCTTGCCTAACGCGCTCTGTCAGTCTTGTCAGTGTAGCAGCTTGTGGTGCTTGCCCTGTGACTAACCCACGGCCGACCCGCTCCCGCGTGGTCCTGTATCTCGGTTGCGCTTTCAGAGTCCCCCGACCCGCACACAGAGCGCAGGTTTAACTACCGGCTGCCGGAGAACCACTACCTGCGGCGCTCGACGACGGCGCGGCCGCGGCGACGCTGGCCCACCGGCACCTACGAACGCCTGCCGAGCCGGCCGCGGCCGCCAGCGGCCCGGCCGAGCCCCCTCCAGTCAGCCGACCTGCTGAGCCAGCTGGCCGGCGGAACGGCGCAGCTCCAGCCGGCCTTCCAGCCGCACGTGGACACGTTCAACGTGGTGGTGACGTCCAACGGCACGGACAACACGGCGCCGAAGGTGACGGTGCTGCCGCCTGGCGCCCAGCTCGGCATTGTCCGCGTGCTGGACATGATGGCCGGGCACCATCAGGTTGGCGACCAGCGCTATAAGGTGGAGGAGGCGACGGCGCAGCTTATCAAGCATCCCGACTCGGACCTGGTGGTGGCCACCATGAACAACACCATGGTGGACAAGGAGTATCTGCGAATGATCATGAAGGGACTGCTGGGTCAGCAGATCGACCCGAGCCAGGACCAGGCGGTGCTGAGTCGTCGCGAAGTCGACCAGTCCTACCTCAGCCAGCTTCTCAACACCACCATCCGCAGGAACAACAACTTCTACATCAACTCCACGGCCAAGACGAACGTGGTCAACATATACGTGATCAACATCGTGGCCGAAGAAGAGGGCGCTACGGACGGGTCGCTTGGCGCCCAGAGCCACAGCTACGCGGCCCCCAGCGTCCCCTCCACCTCCTACATCCCTCACGGCGGACACGCACACGCATCTAGTGCGGCCGGCCCCGCCACGGGGCCACCAATGGCGTACGGGCCGCCGTCTGCCGCGCCCTCCCCGCAGCCCTCCTCGCCTCCACCCCGCCCGTCCACCATCTACGGTCCGCCGCGGCCGTCCGCTAACCACAGCCCGCCCAGCCCATCCACCCAGTACGGAACACCTCGTCCGGCCGCCGCGTACGCCCCGCCCAAGCCGTCCGCCCAGTACGGTCCGCCGCCGCCGTCGACGAAGTACGGCGCGCCCACGGCGCGGCCGCCGTACGAGTTCGAGAAGCCGGACACGGGCGGGCCGCCGCGGCTGCCGAGTCAAGGTCTGCTGCCGCCGACCCCGCGACCGGCCACCGCTTCCACCACGCCCCGGGACCCACTGTACGCCTTCACCGTCACCATTACGCCACACACGACGACCACCACGACGCCGGCGCCGGGCTCGCCGCAGTTCAACAGTCAGAACATGACGGTCGGCAGCATCCTGTCGCTGCTGCCCAACGTCTTCCCGGCCGCTTCCAACGCCTTCGCCAACGTGCCCTTCCCCAACGTGTCCGCCGTCGAGGACGGCAACGTCCTCAAGCTGCTTCCGCATGACTTTAACCCTGCTAATTACACCCACAGCGTGCCAGAGACGGTTAACCCGATGCAGCAGCTCTTTGGGCACAACTATGATTACAAACACGCTCTGGGTGCTAACCCGCCGCCGCCGCAGCCGCTGCGCCCGTTTCAGCCGCCGCCCCCTTCTAATGATGCTTTGACTAACACCGTTCCTAATCGGCCCACCAGCAGCGTGCTCACCACCCTGATGCCGACTGTGGCGGCGGGCGCTTTGGCTTTCTCACCGCTCTGGCTGCCTCTGTTTCTAGGTCGGAGGAAGCGCAGCACGCAGATCATAAACCCAGCCTCGGGCGGCGGCGCGGCCGGCGGGCCCGAGCAGCGGGCGCAGATCCCACAGGCGTGGCTGGGCTACTTACGCGGCGAGCGGCGGCCGAGCGACCTGCGCGGCCGGCTGGCGCTCGGCGCTGCAGCCCCGGCCGCGGCGCCGCCCAAGCAGAGCAAGGCGGACGTGGTGTCGCGGCCGCTGATGGTGATGGACGCGCGGGGGCAGGAGCAGGAGGCGACAGACGCCAGCCTGGCGCCGTACAGCGGCCAGAGCCGGCGACCGGTGCTGCCGGCGCCGCAGCATGACATGGTGAGTCAGATCATCAGCTCGACGCTGAACGGCGGCTTCAGCGGCGCCAACACGGCCGCCTCCGTCAGCGAGCGCTACCCGAGCCTGCAGGGCTACGAGGCGTTGCAGCAGGGCGTCATCAACTCGATCCAGACGCTGCGCGACCAGATCGAGACGGCCGGTGAGCCGATGGTGACCGAGGCCAGCGGCGACGGCCCGGAGGAGGAGCAGGCGCAAGAGGAGGCCGAGGCGTCGCCCGCGCCGCCAGCCGACCGGCTCGACACGACCAACAGCCCGATCACGTTCATCACGCTGAGCGCGGCTTCGCAGCAGGCGACCGAGGCCTCGCAGGGCGCCAGTACGGACGGCATGGCGTCAATGGTGCGCGGCCCGACCACCAGCGCGCCGCAGCCGGCGGCGGCGGAGCTCTCCGAGCCGGTCACGTTCCCCCTGCGGCCGCGGCCCTCGCTCCGGCCGCGCCCCATCCCCACCATCCTCTCGCAGGAGAACGCGGCGGCGCTGGGCGTGACGCTGACGACGGCACCGACGCCGGCGGCGACGGAGCCGGCGCCGGCCGGTGCACCCATCTCCTCGCTGGCGTCCATTTTCGGCGTCAGCCAGCCGCCGCCGTCGCTGCTGTTCAGTCGGCTGACCACCCCGCCGCCGGACGGCCAGCAGCGGCCGACCGTGTTCGTCAACAACCGGCCAGTATTCGAGGCCACTAGGGCGCCGCTTCTCGGCGCGGCGCAGAACACCGACAAGGACAAGATTATGATTATTACCTCACCTGGGGGAAGCGCTGGTTCGACCAAGGACCAAATGAAAAAGCAGCAAACCGACAAGGACGGTCAAAAAGCCCCGAAGCCGGAAAAGAATAAAACCAAGGTAAAAGACGCGGCGGTTAAGGACAAGAACATGAACAAGGACTCGGACGAGGTTCAGCTGAGGCCGGCGCTCAACCCCGTCACCGCCACCACCACCACCACCACCACCACCACCACCACAACCACCACCACCCCGGCGCCCACCACCACCACAACCACCACCCCGGCGCCCACCACCACCACCCCAGCGCCGATCACGTTCCTTGATACGCTGAGTCGGGCTGTGCCAATCATGGCCGGCGTGGTAGTAGCAGGGGGTGCCGCCATGATTCCCATCTACTTGGCATTCGGCAAGAGGAGGCGTCGGAGGAAGAGGAGCGCCGAAGGCTCCGAGTGGCCTATCGACCTGGACGCCGTGTTCGGCCAGCTGCTCGCCGGTCAGCAAACCTTCGAAGACCTGAAGCACCCGAAAGAGCTGTACAGGAAGAACGGCAAAAAGTACAGGTCTTCGCAGAAGACCAAGGCCAAGGCAGGGTGAGCCGAGAGGATGCACTTGCAAGCAGCTGCTGTAAACTTATGTGGGAGAAGCGTTTTAGCCTGTCGTTATGAAATAGCGGACCGATGAATGATGAGGCGGAGGAAGGGGAGAAAGTGGCTTTGGGCATGGTTTTTTGCCTTGATATGTTTGTAGTGCAAACTACGTAACAATGGTGTGATTTGGAAAATATTTGTCTGTTCTCTAGCGTATAGCATTGGTACTCACGTGCAAGATGCAGTGTGTATGAAGTAAATGTCCATTTTATGTTCTATCTCATTGTTATCATATGTTGTTTTACTATGCGCAGTAACCGTTGTAGTCACGGGTGTTGAAGTTTTATCATGTCTAGAACCTCAGTTAGAGGCCTGGACGTCTGGAATAGCGTAGATGCTCATGGTGTTCCCATCAGGAGATGCGCTATTTATTACTGCGTCACGTAGTTTCCGCAGGATATCATGCAGTTTAGTTATTGTGCCGATATGAGCACACTTCATGAGATCTGGTAAAGCCAATAAATCTCCGAGACGAATTTTTCCCCCTTGGGTACTATCTTGACTGAAACGGAAAGTGGGCAAAAAAGCTCAAGCACACCGCTGACAAGAACGACCACCACTTCAACGTCTGAAAAAGCAGAGTTTGCTTAGTATGGCCGCCTCGGCGGTGTATTGCGGTGGTGTATCGCTCAGATCACTGTCAGGGACAGACGCGGCGAGGCCGAACCCGACTTCAGATGTCGCAATGCATTCAAAACAAAGCGAATCTCTGGCACCGGCTGATGTGTCATAACAGTAAGCGAGACTTTAAGTCGCCGAAACTATTCACTACTGACTGGAACAAACTAACCCATAGCTCTTTCACCACTTGAATGATGAGGTCAGGGCTCAAGTAACAAACTCTGCTTGGCGAGGACCCCGGTCTCTCACCGTCCGAGCGAACAGGCCATGTGACTTAATCACAAGGCTGCTAATCCAACCGTTCGGGCCGTTTGAGCAGTCATGCGATTAAGTCGAAAAGATGGCAGACACACCACCACTGGCCACAGTGTGTTTGTGGCCTGGTGCTGGAATGGGCAGGCTGACATCTGCTAGCAGCCGCCTGTGCCGGCTGATGGCCGAGATCGTCCTGCCACCGCCCTCCACGATCCGGTGAGATCTTGTGAAGCCTCACCAAGCTGCCGCCATCGCCGAGCTTTGCCGACCACTGACCAGGTATGTGCGTGCATGCACAGATTAATGCTTATATTCATGCATTCAGGCATTTGCATACACACGGATTCGTGCATTCATAGATGCATACCATAGGGAACGTCTTCAAAAGTGAAGATACTCAAGCAAAACAACCTGTTTCATAAATTGAAGTAAGACACAAATAATACGAGCCTTTTCATTTTTTTTCAAAGTTAAGCAATTCCCTTTGGAACGTTTGGGAATCTAAGTTTGTCTATGTTTTCTAATCTTGTTTTCTAAAACAGCTCCAGATACGCCGCCCCGTTGCGATGTATCTGAATAGGATAGCAAGTTAAACTAAATATAAACGTTTGCCATTTGATTATGGCTATAGCGTAATGCGTTGATGAGGAACAAAATATGAATGTTGACTTCTGTAGTCAAGTCAAAGGTGGCAACATTTTTACTAACGAGTAGTTTGATGTTAATGAAGCCTACCTCTGTAGCTAAATGGATTAAACCCCTATAGAGGATTTTGAGTGAAACGCTCCCTATAGATTTTGACTTTTGGGAAGCAGCGATATCATAATAAGGGATCATCCATATGATATCATGTAGAGCCAACTTATTGACCTTGGTTATAAGTAAACAGATATCAAAACCAACATGGTCGGGAGTAAGTAATGATGTAGCTTGGGAGTAAGTGGAATGCGAAGCACGACCGGCACACCTACGTATGTTCTACGTCCATATCAATTGTAAAAAATGTTCTAAAAGATCGATTTTACATTTCCTAGAAATCCCAACTGTCCGACGACAACAAGCCGACGCCGAGGAACAGGCTCAGGATCACAACAGTCCGAGGCGGGGCACTGTGTCAACAATACGAATATCTGAATGTCTGCGTAAGACTGTCAGTGCGCTGGAAGCCCAAGCACGAGACTTTGCTTCTGCCAGCCTTTAAAATACAATGATTAAAGGCCTTTGTGGCATTCGCCCAAGACCCTAGGCATTCGCCGCGTTCGCCTATGACTGCTTCATGCGACTCAAGACCCTATGTTCCTGTATACTCTGCTAGTACTGTAGGTGTGAATCGTGTTAGACAAATGCTGTTGGGGCCTTTTGGGCTTCTTAGGGCACTTTGACTGTCGAGCGCATAGCTGTTCACCAGTTATTTATACTGCATTTGTTGTAATAAGTCTTCCTATTGTCACACGTGCATATAAGGGCTGTGTTCAGGATTTCTCGCTCATAGATCTTTCTTTCATCCAGGTCTGTGGCACACTGTTCTGTGGCAATGGTCCTTTGCTTTTCGGATGCTGGTAGCCTGCCCCGCTCTTGAAGACGATCCGCTTTTTATAGTGGCTTAATATTCCCCAAAATGTATCACTTCTTGGGCAATCTGTGGGGCGCAGTTTCACTAAGCTTTCTTACAAGAATAATCTCGGAAGCTCTGAACGACTTGAAGGCAGGTAAAAATGATTTACCAGCGCTGTAGTTAAAACGAGAAGGTGAAGCCAACAAATAGGTAAAACTTCATGTGGAACAGAAACAAAAAATTGACGCTGTTTGCAATGAGACGAAACAGGCACGTATACTAGCATCTCTGGACCAAAAGTATGACATCCCTGGCTACCGCAAACTGTAGTTGGCAATAGCTTTCAAAGTTACATTTCTGACAAATAACAATTATAAATTCCAGTCATTGGCATCACTGGTATGCAATGCATCTACCTGCATACTACGCGTTTGAACTAAAATGTTAATGCACTCTGATTATCGAAGTATCAGTCAGAGAAAAGGATGAATCTCCAATCTCCTTTGGTCGAGGCGCACCAACAAGAGCTATAGCGACGAGTGTAATGAGACTATAAACTTGCGCTAGAACATACGCTAAGGACTAAACCAGAAGGAAACGGCTGAGCCGATCTTTGACGTGATTGCTTTGATGGTGTTCCTTTGGTGCTCGAGGAGCTGTCCGCAGATGAAAAAGATATGCGAAGCAGGCAGGTCAAACAGCCAAATAATGCTTTCATGTACGATCGGACCACCTGCACGGATTTGACGGCAGTCATCCAGCAGGACCAAATGACGTTAAAGGTTTACCATTGAATTTGATGCGTCAAACGCAGTTGGATGCTAAGCCGGCAAGCGCATCGACCCTTTTGGAATCGATCAAAATATGAAATTGAATTGAAATGAACTACCATTTCTGTTGCCTTCTAAAGTTTCACTTTTTCCGAAGCGGAAGGCACTTTACCACGCCAGCAGTGACATGAAACATCTTCGCAAAGGCAGCGGACATGCTTGTCCAAAGCACCGATCGCATCACCGCTCGAGCGGACAGTTTCGATGGGACTATATTTATTTTAAGGACGTGCCTACTCACCGGCATAAATCTTACCACCAGTGGCATTTCTGAACCCATGGCAACAGTAAACAAGGACGAGGGCTCATTGGCATTTGAGACTATGTGCTGAAACATATCAAAGTGTATTTTATATTCTGCATTTTGAGCATCTCGTTGTCCTGCAGGGAAACATTATTGGCGTATAAGTGCTGCCAGACACAACAGGATTTATGATATTCAAATGCTATCGGATGGCGAGCTGGAGTTCTGCGTCAACAAGGACAGCGGTACAACTATCGCAATTCAGCACTGACTTTGTTCTGCTCGTCTCCTGGTAAACACACCTCACCATGAGGCAAATGTGTCCCAAAATAATTATGCCATGACGTTGAAATCATATGCTTGCTAGCGAAGGGCGGGATCTGCCACCACCTGCTGAAGTACGGGGGTAAAACCTCGCATGCATTATACTCATGGTGAGGCCTCGCGAGAACATAAGATTCCTATTTTCCTATTGGTTTCCTATCAAACCCTCATTTTCCCTACATCCCATTGCAAATTTCCGGAATGTGCGTGATCCTGCAGAGCTTGAGCACTTTAATCCAAATATCACGTGAGTGTGCTTAATTATTTTAAACGCGTCGTTTCTGGCACAAAACAAGGCCCGTATAAACAATACTTCTAGCAAAGCTGCAACATACGGTCTTGTCTCAATCCATGTTGTTAGGATACTTTCCTATACTCAGATGAAAATGCTGACATGTGATGAATTGCAGTCGTAACTTTTTCATTTCTAGCTCATGCAAATCATGATGCTTGATGGGCACATGGTGTTCCAAACTTAGACAATTCGTGCCATTCAGAAAGTTTCGCTTTCATGTGCAAAACCAAGAAGTATTGTATGATCTTTCCTCTGCAGGTAAGTTGACATTTGGTTTCTGTTATAATTTACTATTACGCTGTTTTTTAAGATAAGTCCAAGTAAAAACCCACACAAAATTATGCTCACCATGAAATTGTTCCTAATGTTTGTTCTTCCGGCAGACATGCAGGCCGCAGAGCACACACGTACACTGCATACTCATTCGCGGAACAAAATAGCCCTCGTCTTTTTTCGATATTAACGACGTGGTTAAAAGGAATTTTTGAAAATGAGCAAGCGTTGCTTCCAATAGTTCATCAGAGTCGTCTGTTTATCGCGATAAACGTGCAATCGATGATAGTCTTCAGTTTCTTCAGACCATGCCGAATGCTGCGAACCACTGAAGTTGATGGAAGTTAAATATCGCACGCAGGTTTTTATTCCACTCCGAAGTCAGGTTGGAAAGGAAAGGCCCAATTTGGAATACTCACGCACGCCTCTCTTGCTGAGCGGAAGAAGCCATACGCAATGACATCCACCACATTCTGATATTGTTTTTGCTGCCGAACATTCTGCAAGGACCACCGAGCTTGTTTGTCCGGCGTGTTAGCCTGCCCCAACGGGCAAACAAAATGCGAACAGGCTCTCACCAGTCGTGGAGTACTCTTCTTTGGTCTTCTTGGACTAAATACGCAGGCTCCGAGTCAGCCAATCTGACGAGAGCTCCTGCGTTCCATTTACGTTGCTCCGTCCCTCCGGATGCTCCATGTGACTAAAGCTACCACTTTTTTGTATCCTTGGATCACCTTTTGAAATTGATTAGAATTAATTGGGAGGTTCCAGTCCCCCCGCCAGCTTTCATTACCATTGTGCCCCGCCCTTGTTAAGTGGGAGCTATTTCGACTGGCGTAATGGCCGACAGAGGCAATGTCCCTTCTCACTGGTGTGCTCCAGGTTCATGAAACAAAATCTATTGGGTAGTCCATTGCATGGACAATTTAATGTCTCCTATATCTCTTGTGGCCAACCGGTGATCCTTCAGGTCATGTTAGTATTAATACTTGATAACGTGATGATAACAAGCTACTTAACTGTGACAGCCTGAAGCTTGTTCTTAGCTCTGAAGTGATAGCCTGAGCGTTGGGATATTAACACGTTTGTGAATGCTGCGAGCTCGTTTTATTGGTGAAATAGCTATACTTTTGTTTGCGCTATCAAAGATATATCACTCCCTTTTAATTGCCTCTGAATATTCATTGCAGAGCTTGAGCAAGCTCCTGAAGGACCCGTCATCAAAGGGTTCGATCGTCTCCCGCCTAAAGCCTACAACAAGATGCTTCACAGCAGAGCAAAAATGCATCAGGTAATACTCGTTCTTGCAATCGATCTCTCGCCTTCTCTGTTTTGCTTTTTAAGCCCAAATGTGTGACGTCCCCTTTTGAAAGATAGCCAGAACATTGGCTTTTTATGTCACTATTTCACGGCTTAATATGATTTGAGGAATCCTTGGTTCGCAGCACGGGCTTACAGGTCATTCATTTCTAGATCAGTGCGCACCAAGGTAGATAGCGTGATAATCATATGTTTCCTGTTGATTAAAATGGACATCGCATGAGATCGCCAAACATAATTAAGCTTTCGACGTGTGGGACAAGTTTTCTCGTCATTTTGTTACTACCACATTCAGCCAGAATCCTTCAACTGGATTTCTGGAATCAGAGTTCACACCGAGCAGCCCTTGTTTTGTGAGTTCTGCCCTTGGCATCCGATCAAGAATAAAATTTGCGGTGTGAAATGTTCCGCACCGTCGGCCCTTCGTCCTGACCCCAGCTGACATTGAGTGCTCGCTGCCATCTGCCGCAAGCCTTCCCAGTCAGGGACACATAAACGTGGACGTGTAGCTACACGAACCCCCACCCGGCCATCGGATAGGCTGGGAGACACGCGCTCCACCCGATTGAGCCACGGGGCGGGCGAAAACGTACCTGTAAACGTGCTATTGGACGACTTATATTATACAACATTGAACAATTCAAATATTACTGTTCCTTGCAATGAAAAGTAAAACCGTTGATTTTCATTGCACCTGGCTGATTTCTGGCATTCTGCTTGTTTTGCCATGCCTACAGTTATTTTTTCGTCAAAGAATCTGAGCGGACATTGAAACGGCCAATTCATCTGGGAATATACGGTTGTTGGCTCTTCAGCGTGAATCAAGGGATAGGCAGTGAGTGGCCATTGATACCAGAAAACGTTGCCACTGTTAGATACATGGCGGGGTACAATGCATGCTTGTTTATGAAAAACTACTGCGGTGTGGGAGCAGCTGGAAATCCCCGTCGGCCTTTCGAGAATGAAGGGAAAGCAGCCAGACGCTGGTTCACAAAACGATTGTGTATTTGTCTTTGCCTACAGTCTTTTGGCATGTATTGCTTCATCGTAATGTCTCTTCCATGCCTCATCATTGTCCGGTGACACAAACCGATCACTTCCAATTCTATGACATGCGTAATGCTACTGTCCCACAGAATCTGGCATCCACAATGTTTAGAGAAGGTCATAAGTCATTTACCTGAGGTGAGCATCTGGAATCTTCTGCTTGATACAAGCAAAATAGGCCTTTCTGGTATTTTGTATCATGAGCTCTTGTGCCAAAAGTAACCAAAATTTGATGCGTCAGGAGTTAATGACAAACCGAGAATAAAATTGATCATCCCCACATTAAACAAATATTCAACGTTGCTAGCAGTACCATGTTCACAGGCGCCTCACGGAGGCTTGATACCACGTGGACTTAGGGGCATAGTCACCCGTGACCAGAAGCGGTGTTAGATACTCTGGGTATCCTCATTATATATTCCAAAAATCATGTGATGTCGACGTTAGCTCAGCACCTCCGGTTTCATTTATTTCTGTTATTTTCAGCATCAAAGCTGATAATCCTGCAATTTTTCAGTTTGTGAAAACAAATGCAGCTGAACAAATGCTGGAAATGGGGTGAGCATCAAAGTTAAGAATGCAACGCAAAATGATAAAGTAACATATTAGAAGTACCCTGAAGAAAAAAAGTTCACAGCATTTCTAACCCCAGACTAGATCAAACCTCAGGTTGATTTTTTTTTAGTTGTCCTTTAAAGGTTTGCGATAGTGTTTGTCGCGTGCGTATGTCTGAGTGGCTTTGAAATGCCTTCTGAATGTTTTAGACGTTGCAGGGGTAAAATAAGGAAACAAATAAATGCTCATGACCTTTTCCACGGTCATGCGAATGCATAACCATATTGGGTTTGGAAGCTCCTGAACTCATGTGGCTAGACATTTAGCAGTGCATATTGGTGACATATGAAGATTGATTTATCGATTGATATCAAGTGCTAGGTCATCCGGTATAAAGATCATGATAGGCCATAATTTCTGCCTTAAGTGAACACACATTACAACTCTACAATGCATTGAAATTGGTGATTGCCATCCTCATGTTACCACTGTCATGATGCTCGGTATAATGCCGACTACATTTACGTCGGGTGGCTTTCTTGATCTGACCTGGTGTAACTTGGACCTCGAATGAGCATCTAAAAGAGCACGGAAAATTATGCCGTTTGATAGTGAGCCATACGTTATGCCGCATAACATTATAGAACCTCAAAACCATCAGTTAAAGCTCGGCGTGTTCAGTGCCAAGTGCACACCTCAAACCGTCAAGGTTCGGGATATTCTCCACTCAGACATCGAGGTCATAGCTCAGTGGTCTGCCAAATAAGAAATCGTACAAACATTTTGAGGTCAATCTTGCTAGCCAACAGAGGGCTGAAAAGTTTTGGTTCCAGCCTACAACGCGACCAAGCGAGTTATCTTAACTGCAATCCCATCAAAGTGTGTTGTTGAAACAGTGCTGAGTCCTAAATTTTCGTACACCTTTACACCTTGTTAGATGTAAAGTTTTCTCCGGTTTTCCAAGCGCGCAGATGTAATTTTGAAGAAAAAAACATTGGTTCCCTATCTCAGGACAATTTTGGTTTGTCTGCCAGGGCACACACACACACACACACACACACACACACACACACACACACACACACACACACACACACACACACACACACACACACACACACACACACACACACACACACACACACACACACACACACACACACACACACACACACACCGTCCCCCGCCCGGCCCGCGCCACACCGTCCCCGACACACACACACACACACACACACACACACACACACATATATATATATATATATATATATATATATATATATATATATATAATATGCGATAAACGTACCTATACGCAACGCTGTGTAATATTAAAATGCACTCATCGACCAAGTGACCCACCCCGAAGGCAGTCTCACTATGGGTCCCGGAGGAGCCCTTTGACCATCGGCCCAAGAAATCGAAATAGGTCCGTTGCATGCATAATTGCATACGTGCTACAGTGGGCGCCCTGACAGCAAGTAAATGGTTAAGTCTGTCCAGTACCGGTGCTGCTCCACGTGCATATACATGTATATATATATGCAATACTCAACACTATAGAAGGCAAAGGCTTCATTTTTTCCTTACCGGTGCCATTACCGTACCGTTACTGGAGGGTCTTAACCATTTACTTCCAGTCAGGACGCCCACTGTAGCACGTATGCAGTTATGCATGCGACGGGCCTATCTCGATTTCTTGAGCGGGTGGTCAAAGGGTTTCTCTGGGACCCATAGTGAGACTGTGCCCTAGAGGTGTGTCACTTGGTCGGTGGGTCTTTTTAAAGGCAGACGATGCCCGTGAACCCTCTGCCGCCGGCACTGGCCGGCACAGCGCTAAGCCCGCGGCAGGGCGGTTACTCCCCAGATGCTACCATCTCCTGGGTTTGATCAAGGAAACGCTCACCTAAGTCAGACTCAGACCAAATAACTCCCACCTGTATCGACACGCGCTTTAGCCAACTACGTCGCCGAGGAAGTCGGCACAAACGCACCTTAAAATTTAAGGTGTGATAGTACTTACCACATGTAATCAAACGGCTGTACATTCACCTACAGGAATGATTCGCGAGCTATTTACCTTAGCACCTATTCCCAACATATCATAACTTTTTTGCACATTTTCAGGCGATGGGTAAGTTCCACGACGGCGCATCAAGCCTAGCTCGACTACACCAGACCTGTCCCGGCTGGGACGATGCCACGATAGCCGACGTGCGGGGCATCTTTCAGATGCTGGATGACAACGGTGATGGGGTGCTGGATGTCAATGAGTTGTAAGTGAAATTTACGATCTCTCTACGAAAGGCCTCCAATAAACGAAACAAATGCATAAAGTAGATAACTACTTGTACGATCGTCATTGTTTTGATCGTGATCTATGCATAACGTTGTTTGTGCAAGCATTAACAGCTAAAGCCATTAAAATTATATCTATGAGACTGGGTTTATAGGTCATGCGTCTGTGAAGTTTGCACGTGGAACCATTGTTTAACTTTCCGTGGAAATCAGACCACCAAAAAGCAAGTTGTGAAATAAGGGTCGGTGCAGGTAGCTTCAAGCATTGCAATGTTTCTACCTCTGTCACCTCTGTCAGATTTCAATCTGATTTTTACCTGTCCGGTAAATGCCCCAAAAAAGGAATAGCACCTGACCACCTCTGTAACACGTCCAGCACACTTTGCCTTTAGCACCCTTTAGTCCGGCTGCCTACGCACAACGTAACTGAAAGATATCCGTGTTGTGTGAACGGATGCCACAATACGACGCCGATTCCAGTCACCAGCGCATGCGGTTGCTTCATGCGCGATGCGCTACATCTGAGCTACCGTCCATTTGCTACATTGTGTCGACTTTTCAGTGCTGCCGGGCCGGAAGATGGACGCTCAGATACCACCGAGGCTTTGCTATATATGGACTTTGAAGGGTTCATGAAGGTTAGTAGGACGTCTGAACCGTTTGATGACTTTTGTAATCCAAAATGTTGTCAATTACTCAGGTATAGCGATGGAAAACCTTGAAAAGACAATATCATAATTTGTCAATTAGTCTTATAACAAGTGACGCAGCCTATGAATACTGGCTGTTGTGTTCAAGCGTGCGTTTTCTTCCTGTGTGACTGATCTTTGGGAACTGTCTAATCAAGACCCATTCACGGGCTCAGCTTTGCAATGCTGTGGTCGCCATATCTTTTGGTCGCCATATATTTTGAATAATAATGCGTGATTGTATTTATCCCAGTGCACATATGACATGGCACAAAATTGGACACACGGGGGAAAGGCTCCTGTTGAAGTCGACCTGGTGGAGACCTTCCTGATGTTTGCACAGCACGATGAAAAAGGCACGCAGTACTCGCTGAATGACCTCAAAAACCTCTTCTACGTCAATAACTTCTACGTTCGAAAAATACGGAGCCAAAGCATAGGGTTTCAAATCCAGCATGGCTTCATTTGATTAGCAATTTTGCTTCGAAATGAACTCATCGGATGGTAAGTGAGATTCGCGGACATGATCACAAACATTGAAAACTGTTTGGTGTTGTGCTATGCATTGGGACAATGTTTTAAACTTTCCCAGCATACCATAGGCTCTCACAGCTTACTCGTGAAGAATGCCTGTATAATAAGCATTTGATCGGAGCTTTGCTATGTGTGTGTGTTATTGCAATACAACTACGCATTGGCTTGTCCTAATCTCTATACGTCCAAGACCATAGCCGTGCAAGATTGCGCGTTCCGCTGAAAAAGACGATGTCAAGAATCGCGTCGCTCCAGCCATAGGCACCCCAAGGGCCGTCCCCACGATCGCAGATAATCCAACCGAGTGAGCATAACTGGAAAAGAACATCGCGAAAAGGTTAGCTTTGCTCGCAATGCAGCAACAAAATAGCCAGACAGTCCTGTGACATCAACTCAAACAAACCCGTGCTTTGATCATAAAACCGTAAAACGAAAGAAACAAAGGTAATCGGAACCATTCATATTCCATATCGCCCGAGCCATCGCCGTCTAATTACCCTCGCGCCGGGTGCCACGGTCGAGGCCGAGGTTGGGGAGCGGGGAGAGGGGGGGGGGGGCACCGCCGGAAGTGGCGGGAGCCGGCGCACCTGCCCGTCGCCGCCGCTCCCTCCAAGGCTCTGACCCGCTCCGATCGCGCCAATTACGTTGGTGGGGGCACGTTCCCACGGCCAGCGTCCGGTCTGCGCGCGGCGCCCGCCGGCCGTCAGTGGCGAAGGTTCGCCGGTCGCGTCCGCCCGCCGCCGCCCGTCCGCCGCCGCCGCCGCCCCGGCCGGCCGCTGCCCTCTGCCGTGCAGGTCACCGCCAGCAGCTGACCCGCCGTCGGTGCAGCCAGCCGTGCCCCGCCCGCCGGTCGCTTGGCGGCCGGTCCGCGGGTGGGGGGAGCAGCGCCGGCGACAAGCTTCGGCGGCTGTCGTGCCATCCGCAGACGGGTGCGGCGCCGGTCACGGGTCACAAGTCACGGGTCAGCTGACCGGTGACGCGGAGGTGGCGACTGGCCGAGCGCCGCGCGTGGCTAGCGTTGTCGCCGCTCAGTGCTGGGGACGGGCCGGCGGCGGGGGAGTGAGGGGTGTCGGCGACCGGGCAGTCTACAGACCGTCGCTAACCGTCAACGTCAATCGCATCTTCGCGAGGAGACGCAGGGAAGAGGCCCGGCGTCGGGACGGGAACAGACCGTCAAACTGTGTCGCTGCCGCTGCTCAGGTGCAGCTGCCAGCGAGCAGTTGGGCGTCTAAGTTCAGTCGTCAGTCATCGCAGTGCAGTTCGAGGCCTGGTGCAGGGTTCACAGCCACCCGTTGAAGCGCAGGGTGTCCTGAAAACAGGTGAGAGGCTGACGGGACGAGATATGTAATGTCGGAACGCATTCACGTGCGATTACGGCTTTCATCTTTTGGTCCTGTATTCTGGCTTTTTGAGCATAGAAGCTTGCACTGTTTGATATCAATAGGAGACGAAACAAAGTAACCTGGAAAAGGTTGCAGTCTTAATCAACCTGTTAGTGTGATACGACCAAGAATCACCAGCAGTGCGAGGGTACTTTTCCTGTTCAATCCCTGTAATAAGAGTAAATGCCCGCCCAAAACATCGTTCATTTCTCCTTGTGCAATATATCAACCAGATACCACATACCAAACGCGCTCCCTTAGGTTCAATTAGCATTTTGTACTTACTGGAAAAGTTAATTTGTCAATGCAAAGTAAGTCATTGGGTTATACGTTTATTAGTATTTAGCAGCTATCTATATATTTTCTATATCTCATTGTGTTATACAATAGATCGCCCTGGTAACTATCCAGGTGTTATCGTTGTCTATCGTTTTGGAGGCGTCAAGTAGTCGGCTTCCCTAGAATATTTGGTACGAACATTACCGGAACAGAAACGGAGGGTAACGGAATAACGAAAGAAGCGTTTCACGAACCTAGTGGTGATGGCATTTCCGTCGAAAGGTTTCGGTATCTTTAAATCGGATTTGCTTCAAGGTGACTGGCTCCTTAGCATTGATTGCTACATCTATCTTGCGTGAGGGTAACGCGTGCGTTGCAGTGCGGTTCTCTGCATCATGGTGGGTCGGAACGGGAGTGTTCCTGGTTTTCTGTCTTTGGCTAGCTGACAAATGCGTACCTGATTTTGTGACGCTAACAGGCACCAAATTTAATTGTGAGTGCACGGCGATGTGCCATCACGCGGCTCGTGCAGCGACAGTGTCTGAATCCCTGCTCGAAAGGCTCGTGCAGCGACAGCGTCTGAATCCCTGCTCGAAAGGCTTGTGCAGCGACAGCGTCTGAATCTCTGCTCGAAAGGCTCGTGCAGCGACAGCGTCTGAATCCCTGCCTGAAAGGCTCGTGCAGCGACAGCGTCCGAATCCTCGCTCAAAAGGCTCGCGATCAACCACCGCCCCACAAGCGCGCTGGACACGAGCAGGGGGAGAGCCTACCAGCATGCGTATCAATGGAATGCATGTCCAGAAAGAACGGAACCCTGGTGGTAAAGACCGACCTCCCGTTGGCAGGGCTTTGACATTTCTCACATAAATACTTCAATGACATTTATTTTGGTCTGCGTGTCAACGCACCAGGTGCCATCATGATATAATCCACATGCTTAATTTGAACACAGAGTCGAAGATGCCGTAGTCTTCCGAAACTTTAGGACTGTTATTTGATTGGTGCGTATACCTGATACCGCATGACCTTAAAACTCGTCATTGGTGCGTATACTTGATACCGCATGACCTTAAAACTCGTCATTGGTGCGTATACCTGATACCACATGACCTTAAAACTCGTCATTGGTGCGTATGAAAGCCAGTAGCCGCCATATAAGCAGCTGCACTTCGCACGCCGCTTGTAAACAAAGAGCTCACAGCAATACGCGGTCAGGAGGACCCTTGAAGAGAGTGTGTGACATGTGTGATGGTCATGCCGTGGACGTTCGGTGAGCTAATTCATGACTCGATGACTTATCAGAATGATTATAACTAGTCATGCTCCTACATGCATCGGAATTCACGTATATTATTCACCTTCGCTGAGCCAGCGTTTCCGCCACCATTCTCCCAGGAAGAGCCCCCAAAGCTGTAACCCGGGAACAGATTTTGATAGATCAAATGGCTGGGGGATATCACTCAGTCCTTGCAAAACTGTATCAGACATGTGTCATGGAAAACTAATGTGAATGATCTTTGAAAGGCCAAGTCGCGTCCTTGCCGACACGCCGGGGCCTGCCTCCGCAGTGCAGGGCTTCTGCTTTTACTTAAACAGTACAGGCGTTATGTCTCACAGCAACACTGAAAGCAGTTTTGAACACCCCATGGCTCGCTGCGCCCCACAGTTGCAATCACCTCTCGCTAAGCGTGACCAGTGACATGTTATATCAAGCCCTTCTAGTCAAGCTTAGCGCATATCTATATCGGTTCTGACCTCGGATAACTTCATCTGCCAGCTGATTTAACAGAGCCGCCTCGTCATGTGGTTGCGATAGAACTTGGGGTGATTGCTTGCACCCGAACACCTCGTGGCTAGCTAACAGCCTGGCTGGGTAAGAGCTCCTGTTGACGTGTACACGTAGAGCCCATTTTTGGACGGGGAGATGATGGAGGCCGGTAATAAGTGGGATGAGACACCTGTCCCTCTGCTGACCGCAGACGGCATACCCCAGAGCGGCCAGCTGCAGCCGCCAAGAATAACAACCATCGGGCGAGGCCTGCAGGGACGCAAAGGCAGGAGCGCTGGACATTGAGCGGAAAGGAAACAAGGGTGGTGCTTGGGCAACTCAGAAACATGTAGAACAAGTACGCATCTGGTTTCAGGATCAACCCCTGGACTGCTCACAGTTGGATGCTGGGGAATGATCCCACTGTGTTGTTACTCATGGAGTTATGATCGCACGCCTGACACCAGCGTTCAGATCTAACCAAACGCCCAAACAAGTATCATGAAGGGGTGAGACGTTTCACCAGATCGGATCCGGCCACCTGTAGCAGAATACGGGAAACAGTAGTTCTTTCCGTGGCCGCGGTGCCTGATGATTACCTTTGGCTCCGCGCCACGACACTCGCCTCGTTTCGTGAAGGCCGCGCCGTGGGTGACGTGATGGCCCGCTGAGCCAAATGAATACGTGAGTCATGAGGTCTTTAGAACAAAGGCTTACCTCCGTCGCCGCCGGGTACCATATTATCATAAAATATCATTCTGAAAGAAAATAAATGAAAAAGCGCAACCCAAATTTGTCTCGATCTTATCTCTCCTCTTTGTTGACATCAAATCAGATAGTCATACTTCCACGAATGCGAATTTTAATGATACGGCCAGTTAATCTTGGGGCGCCCTTGCATCACTGGAATCGACTGACATGTCATCCACTTTCCAGGTTTCTGTGCACGGTGACCATGAAGATGAAAAATATCAACACGGATCCGACTAACCAGATCGCTGAGTTGAAGGTATATAAATGAATTTATTGATAGACCGCCTGCGTACCTGAAGGTTGAAAGGTGCTCTACTACCTTACATGCGCCATATTAAGGCAATGCTTCATATGCAGGTTGGCACCAGTCCGAAGTACGAAAAACTTGGGCGCGTTTTAAGCAGAGCTGCTACAGCCGATGAGTGCGTGTCTTCCCCAGCCGTTGAGCAATGGGTATTCACATGCCTGTAAAAATATGCTGCCCTGACAAACATCCACGACAGGTGAGCCACTTGAATTCCAGCTGTGATCAGTAGTTACAAATATAGCTTGTTGAAGTGCCATCCAGCAATAAGCTCGACACACCGGCCGTGTTCGTCTGGTGGGTCGGGTTTTGGTATCCAGCGGCGTAATGCCCCTCGGTTGGGATCTGGTTCACAGATGGCGCTGTCGAGCACGGCCTCGGAGGTGGTCGGCACGAGAGCGGCATGCCAGGGACCGCCCCTGCCGCCGCGGCAGCGTCAGGCCTCCTCGCCGCCGGCGCGAGGCACAGGTAGGCAAGCCGCCGTCCTTCACTGGTCCAGGTGCTGATGACTCTACAGCTACACGAGACGGCTTTCGTCCCACCGGCGCAGCTGTGCGGACGGCATCGATTTTTTCGAGGCGGAGACTCGCGCCACATCCGTTGACGGACATTAAGGATGCTTCGGTCTTATAACCGTATATACAGCAGTATTCCACTAGATTTCATTACTCACCATTTCATCC